GATGACTTCCTGAATTCCCAGAGACGGTTGTCTAGCTGAATAACGGTCTCAATCATAGTTGTGATGTTCGGAAAAGTCATATTTTATCTTGCCATCTCCTCGCGGAGATGCGTCTTGAGTCCCCTTTGGAATAATTCCATGAGTGCAGGGGCGTCCCACCCTGATTTGTTCCCATAACGCTGGAACTCGTTGGCGTAGTCGATAGCTGATCCGGTTTGTCGCAAACCCAAGAGGTTGCGTACCGCAGTACGGACAGCATCGAAGTCTCCAAAGACTCGGCGAATCGCCTGTTTGAATCCTCCCCAAGACCTGAACATGGCCTTGGTTACAGTCATGTTTCCTCCATCGTTGTCGAAGAAGTCTTCGAGGTAAGGTTGGGCCCACTCTAGCGCCGGTCCCCTGAGGTAGGAGACAGCGAAGATCGAGCGGTAGCTGTCGTCGTCCTCGAACTTCTCTTTGTTGAAATTGAAGTAGATGTCCATCTGAAGAAGGAACAAGTCAAGTTCCTGTCGTTTTCCGTTGTACGTGTCAGGCATCTTGACCTTGATGTTCTCGAGTGCCTCGACCTTGTACGGGTCAGGCGCATCTGGCATGCTGTCGTCGTCATCGTCGTCGTCGTTACTGACGTCCTTTCCGGCTGACTGAGACGTGTTGAGGTTTGTCGTAGCAGTTCCTCCTGAGGTCCCTGGGAGGTTGACTCGGCTAGCCGAGGGGCTGGTGGCCGGTCCTGCTGCTGGCGGGGTGGTGGGAGCCATGGTGATAGTTTCGACTTAAAGCAGGTGCTCAAAGTGTAACGAATACTCAAACTGGCTAACTAAACTTGGCTGGGTGTTCGCTGGTTGGTATGCTATGATAAGAAGAAGACTATCGGGTTGTTCACTTGGAAGTGAACTCGTTACTTGTATCAAAGATGTCAAACTAATATGATAAGATTGATGACTAAGTTGAGCACGAAGCTCCTATCTAATGGCAGACGTGCCAGTCTTATACAGAACCTTCGTGTTCCTGAAGTCGACATAGTCGATAATCGACTTCTCGACCAGGCGAGAAGTCGACCTGCATATATCACGTGACTTGTATACAAAGAAATTCCTGGATCGCTTAACTAACCTAAGCGATCCCTTTTTGCTATAAGAGCCATGATGTGTTTGTCCTGTCAGAACCCCGTCTGGACTAACTCCTCACGTGCTAGCACGTGATTTGTGACACTAAGTCTATATTTAATCTAAATATCGCGGTATAAATAATAACTTCTAAGGGGTAGAATATTAATACATTAAATAAGAGACTCTATGTGACGGTTATGGTCACGAGGGCTGGATGTCACATGCTCGCTTAGCGAGGCGCTAGCGCGCACGACCTGTATTTAGTTCCCAGCTCACTAGAGCTCTCCTTCTTTCCTCGTCTTTTGTCCTAAGAATAGAGTGTTAATTGTTCTGAGTTCTACCTGAAGCACGTCTGTCACACTCTAGTAGTGAATTAATAATTCTAACTAAGGACTTCAATATATTCTTTTAGATAAGGATTCGCTTAAGTTAGTATTATTTATTAACGCTTCTTTTATAAACCTAATAGAGTTAAGTTTATAGATTAGATAGGTTTTATATCTAGCGGATAAGGATAATAACGCTAATATTTTATACTAGAGTTTTATAAAGTATAAACGAATTACTAGAAGCGTACTTACTTCTAAGCTATACGCTTTAGGTAAAGGTTTTAATACTACTAGAGTAATTAAATTAACGATTAAAGCTATCCTTAGATAATATATTAAGCTTACTATTTATATAGATTTAAAGTTAATTTATAAATACCTAACAAAACTTAGTACTACTAAGGAGAAGCATCTTATAATTAACGTTATAGCTTTATAATAAGTATACGAATAATAAGAGATTTATAATATCGTATAGATTAAGGGAGATTCGAATCCTACTAACGCTATAATAAAATTAAAGCCCTACTAGGCGCTTATAAAATTAATCGATTTAAATAAGATTAATATTATAATTAAGGAGTAGGTTAAACGAGATAATAAGGATAATAAATCTAATAACGATTCGGATTAATAAGTAAGGAATTGAGGATTCTAATTAGACGAGAGATATAGAATAGGATAGATTTAGTTTAGCTAATTAGTTATTTTAGTACCGAGTATTTACTTCTCTTTTTAAGAGTAAATCTAGTATTACTATACGAATTTCGAGTGAATACTCGGTATGAGTTATAGTACATGTAAGTTAGCCTCAGGGCTAGCAGGGGCGTTAGCGCCTTGGCACTACTATATAATAGCGAGCACCTACAACCTTTACTCGGTGTGCACATCTGATAGTTAAATACGATACTATTCTATTTACATCAACACTTTGTCTGGACTCTCTATTAGAGTCAAACCAACAAGAGCCTACGGAGATTTTTTAAAACCCTCTGATTGGTATAAACTACTTCCTTGCCGTACCAACACCCTCATCAACCTTCTTGATTAAGCTGTTTTCCGGTTCAAGAGTCAAGCAGCAAAGAAATCAAGCATTAAGCCCCCGGTCTGGCGTCGCATTCCCTGCTCGTTCAATCATAATCCAACGCGATTCCTCTGCAATACCATATCTTCGTAAGGCTCTCGTATTGTTGACAGTAGTCCAGCGTTTGTGTAGGGAAAGTTCGCGTCCTCGTGGAATGTTCGAGTTGCTATCTTCACAAAGAAAGATCGTACGAGTGAAAACTGTACCTGCATCGCAGTCAAAGAAAAGTTCATGCGTTGAATGATGCTTAAAAATCAAGACCCTTAATACGCGTATTTGGGAGGAAAAGAAGAAAGAGCACGGATCTTCCAAGCAAAGACTGTCCGACCAAGACTTTAGCGATCGTATAGCCTGTGTCTCAATTGGTTGGTTGAGTTAGCTTGTATTACCACACCAAATCTCACGAGCCTATCCCAATTCTGATACAATAGTAAATATCCCACCAGATGTCATCCATGAAAGATATCAATCTGTAACAATTAAATTCGTGGCTCGTAAGGACATCTGTTCGGAAGCTGTGTCTGCCTAATATTTGTTTCTCCTCGTGGTTGACTGCCAAAGTCGGACTAGTGAATTTGCCCGTCTTATCCAATCTACAGGCCGGGTAAGCATGACTCTTGCCCGCAGATACATGCGTATATGATCTTCAATTCGCAAAAGCGACCAGCTGTGTCGACAATTAATTAGTCTAGTCGCTCCCTTAGCACTTCAGTAGCGGTAAGAATCTGACTTCAGTTCCCTCGCTACCTTATTTACTATCCGTTTGTTATCTTCCACACCGACTCTTTACACGTTTCACAGGCTGACTTGAGGAGGCGATCGTATTCGCAGGAGCCTCGGAGGTCTTCTCCCCTCCGTAAGGGACACATCCTTGGCCTATAAATTGTCGAGAGCCCTTTGAGAGCCTCTTTGGTGGTCGAACGCTACAAGCATGGACAAATCTCCAGAGAAGGTCACTGAAGAAAGTGATATCAGTCCCGCCTTATCCAAGGAAATGGAGAGCCGCGATGAAATCAATTCCAGTATTAGCCAAGACGAGAAAGCAAGCAGTAAAACCACCACTACGCTTGCACAGCCAGAAAATGATGCCTCCAAAGCTCCTGGTTCCCAAGTAGTAGAGGTGCAAGATAAAGAGGGGAAGAAAACTGATTACACAGCCAAAGCGAACAATAAAAATTCCTTCAAACATTACTTTGTATAGTCATCCATCCCGGTTCCCAAGCTTTACTAACAATCTCTAGCGAGTCTTTGGTTATTCAAATAAACTGGATAGATTCCTTATTGTCATTGCGATAGTGACGCAGATTGGTACTGGAGCTGTATGTAGCAATCGTTTTAGAGCATCTTCTCATTCTAATAGAATACAGACTTTACCTTTGATGAACATTATCTTTGGTTCACTTGTTGGCGACTTTAACAATTATTTTGTTCCCGGCTCGGGTGTGACAAGGCAACAATTCAATAGGTCTCTCAACAAGCAAACGTAAGCATTACTTCCTTTTTCGCATGTTTTGACATAACATTTTTGATACCACTATTTGATTTGTGCTTGCCACCTTTGATTTACTATCGGACTCTTATAACTTCAAGAAACTGACAAGATATAGCTTGTACATTGTCTATCTATTTATCGGTCGTTGGTCTCTCAGTTACATCTCCATGTACATCTTCAGAGTGGTGGGAATCCGCATGTCCGCCAAAATCCGACTTCACTACCTCCAAGCACTCTTCGCCCTACCCATCTCAGTCATCGACACCTTACCAACGGGACAAGCATCCAATACCATCACCACCACCGCCAACGTCCTCCAAATCGGAATTTCCGAGAAACTGGGAATGATATTCCAGTTCTCGGCGCTCGTGTGTACAGCACTCATCATCGCCTTCATTTACAGTGCTCTATTAACAGTAGTAACCGCCTCCATCATCGTCTTCCTCGCTCTAGTCTATGGAATCCTCGTCCCCATCATTCTGAAACACGAGAAAGAAGTTCAATTCGCCGATGAGAAAGCAGCTTCCATAGCCGGAGAAACCCTCAGCTCCGTGCGAATGATCATCGCCTGTGGAGCCGAAGGCCGCATTGCCTCGAAGTTCTCGGGCTGGGTCGAGGAAGCTAGAAAGAGAGGAATCAAACAAGGTCCCTTTATGGGAGTACACCTGGCGCCAATTTTCTTTGCTGTCTTTGCGACTATGGCTTTGAGTTTCTGGTTTGGATTCAAGCTGTATGCTCAGGGGAAGGTGGATGATGTTAGTACTATCGTGATTTGCTTGATGTCTGTTATGATGCTTAGTTTTGCTGTTGGTGAGTTTTCCAGACTGCTGTTGCTTACTTCAAGGAACTGAAACCAGACAACGAAATATTGACATTCATCTAGCTCAAACCGCCGCACCAATCATGGCAGTTGCGAAAGCTTCCGCAGCAGCAACGGATTTCTTCGCAGTCATTGATGCTCCTAAACCCAAAAAAACCGGTCTCTCTGCCCCAGATGTTTCTCCGCGTGAAGACATCCTACTCGATTCTGTTACGTTCGCTTACCCATCTCGTCCTCACAACAAAGTCCTCGACAACCTATCCATGAAATTCGAAGCCGGAAAAATCACGGCAATCGTTGGTGCTTCAGGTAGTGGAAAAAGTACCATCGTCGGTCTGTTAGAAAGATGGTACGAACTCGACAACAACTCCATCTTCAAGATCCCCGAATCAGTAATGCTCGATGAAAAAGAGAAGAAGAAACGCGAAGAGGAGAAAAAGAAAAAGGCCGAGCTTGAAGAGACCAAGGAACCGGATGTGGAACTCTCGGGACGCATCCTGGTTGGAGGGAAGAATTTGGATACCTTTGATTTGCAATGGTGGCGTTCGCAGATCGGATTCGTTCAACAGGAACCATTCATCTTTAACGATACGATTCGGAAGAATGTCGAGTATGGACTTATTGGCTCCGAGTGGGAGGATGCTGAGGAGGGGGTCAAGGATAGGTTGGTGGAGGAGGCTTGTAGGGAGGCTTTTGCGGATGAGTATATTGTTAAGCTTCCGATGGTATGTTTACATTCTATGCCTAATATTCCCTCACTTTGTTCTACCAACCACTAATAACCTCTTTTTCTGCCAGAAATACGAGACTCAAGTCGGAGATGCGGGGATCAAGTTATCCGGCGGTCAGAGACAGCGATTGGCGATTGCGAGAAGTATCATCAAACGACCGAAGATCTTGATTTTGGACGAGGCTACTAGTGCTATCGATGTTAGAGGAGAAAGATTGGTTCAAAAGGCTCTTGGTTTGTCCCACTCAAAGCTTCACCCTGCCTGGTACTTGGGGTTTGGAGAACAGGCTAATAGTTTTGTTTTCTTAGACCGTGTCGCGGAAGGTAGAACTACCGTTGTTATCGCCCATCGACTTTCGACCATTCGAAAAGCGGATAATATTATAGTCTTGAGAAAGGTTCGTCTCCGACCCCTCTCCAATTTCATACCAGACCACATCAAGCACCAAACTCTGAGAGTCATTGCTAAATATCGAATCAACAGGGCAAAGTAATCGAAACAGGAACTCATGATAGTCTCCTTGCAAACGAGAATGGAGCTTATTGGGCACTCGTCAATGCGCAGATGCTGACTATGGGCGAACACTTCTCCGATGAAAATGATCTCACCGAAGCTTATGAAACCGATAACATCCTCAAAAAGGAAATGAGTTCTGCAAGCGTTCGGCTGGAAGAAAACGTTGTTTGGAAACCCAAGGGGTTCTTTAATAGTTTTGGTCTTCTTATAAGAGAGCAATCGCAGAGGTGGCTTTGGTATGTTGTGTTGACAATTGGTTGTCTTGGTGCAGGATGTATGTCTATCTCATTTCATTTCACGGTTTGAATCAACGTCGCGCTGCTAACCTTACACGTCAGCAACGCAACCAATTCAAGCCTATCTGTTCGCTCAGATCATCAATGTGCCGGTTTTTTCTGGTGGTGCTCTGACAGGTGCTGTTAACTATTGGGCCTTGCGGTTCGTATACCTTGCGATAGGCGCTGGAGTAGCTTATTTCACTATGGGCTATTCTTCTCATGTAATTTCTGCTGTAAGTACTTCCTTACCCCTCGGTGCTTTGGAGAATGGTCTCTGACATGTGGAAATGAAGCATATCGCATGTACATCCCGACAGCAGTACTTTGAAAACATTCTCGCGAAACCAGTAGCCTTCTTCGACGAAGAGGATAACTCTTCTGGTACTCTGACTGCGAGAGTGGCGAATGACCCTACTCAGCTTCAGCAAATGTTGGGAGTCAATATGGGAATGGTATACATTGCACTATTCACCTTAATCGGTTGCATCGCCATCTCATTTGCATTTGGGTGGAAGTAAGATTCATTCCTCCCATTTCATCAACCCAACTAACCCTTGCACAGACTTTCAATCCTCGCTATATTCGTGACCATGCCCGTCATTCTCGCTTGTGCATTCTTCCGTCTGCGCTATGAACTTCAGTTCGAAGCTATGAACCAAGCCGTCTTCGCTGAATCCTCGAAATTCGCTGCGGAATCTATTGGCGCCTTCCGAACCGTCACTTCTTTAACTCTCGAAGATATAATTTCGAAGAGATACTCAACTTTATTGCAGGATCACGTTGATAAGGCCTTCAAGAAAGCGGGATGGACGACATTGGTTTTCAGTGCTAGTGATAGTGTTTCCTTACTCTGCATGGCTCTCACATTTTGGTATGGTGGACGATTACTTTCCACCATGGAATACGGGCCTGTACAGTTCTTTGTCGTGTACATCGCCATAATCAACGGCTCCGAGTCCTCGGGTTCTCTCCTCTCGTTCGGTCCAAATATGGCACAAGCTGCCGCGGCCGCAAATCGTATTCTCAGTTTCCGCATTCGTCCTCAGAGTGATGCGAGGAAGAATCTGGAGATGCAGAATACGGAGGGGGGTGTGAAGATTGAATTGCAGAACATTTGGTTTAGATATCCTACGCGAGATACCCCTATTTTCCAGGGTTTGAACTTAACGGCATGTCATCCTTTCCCTTCCATTTTCCCCACCCCGTTCCTATCGCGTTCCCAAATTCCGAGATACGAATCTCACTAACACCATACCAGATCGAAAAAGGCCAATTCGCAGCAATAGTAGGCCCCTCTGGCTGCGGCAAAACCTCCATCATCTCCCTCCTCGAAGCCTTCTACCCGCTGCAAAAAGGCCACATCCTCCTCAACGGCACACCCCTCACCGACCTCGACACCGCAAAGTACCGCTCCAAAATCTCCCTCGTCTCCCAGGAATGCACCCTCTTCCAAGGCACCATCCGCGAAAACATCCTGCTAGGCGTCCCCTCCGACACGCCCACCCCGCTCCTCCACCAAGCCTGTCGCGACGCCGAGATCCACGATTTCATCATGTCCCTTCCCGAGGGGTACGATACCGATGTCGGCAATCGGGGGATTGCCCTGTCTGGGGGCCAGAAACAACGGTTGGGGATTGCGCGCGCGGTGATTAGGGAGCCGACGGTGCTGTTATTGGATGAGGCGACGAGTAGTTTGGATAGTGAGAGTGAGAGGGCGGTGCAGAGGGCGTTTGAGAGGGTGGGCAAGGGACGGACGGTGGTTACAGTTGCGCATCGGTTGGCGAGTGTGCAGAGGGCGGATGTTATCTTTGTGCTGGGTACGGGGGGTGTACTTGAGAAGGGGACGCATGAGGAACTGGTTAGGAAGAGGGGGGTTTATTGGGAGATGTGCCAGAGTCAGGCGTTGGATCGGTGAGTGTGAGAGAGCCGGTGGTGGTTGGGAGGGAGTAGGGGGATGTAGCATTTTGGGAAGGAAATATCCGCTTTTTGATGATAGATACCTGAGCTTGATATGTAGATTAGCTCGATTTTGCAACTCGCTTAAGCTGTTGTGGTTTACTCCTTTCTCGTTATGGGATCAGAAGGAGAGGGGTAAAACAGAAACTCCACTTGCTATTCAGAAAAATAATTAATTAATCGGATTCCTTAACTCTAGCCTGGCGGCTTACCAGTTACCACATAAGAGATCTACTAGTCTATTACTCTCTATATACACCCTCAAAACACCTCATACCAAATTCCAGCACATCAAATCGTTAAACTCAATACTCCCAGTACCCAGTATACCCAAGTCAATAATACAAAAGTAGAAAGTACCAACTTACCCAACCAACTCGATTATACGATACCTTTGTGATAAGTTTGGTCCTGATTTGATGTACATACATTGGTATTTAAAAGTTAATGACCTCTTCTATACTACTACTTCATTCTAGTACGATCTGCGTACGCACTCTGTAATTTTCCCCAGTTCCCACGTCGTACAGTCACACCTCAGGAATACTGCGACTTCTGCTCTTGGAAAGCGAAGGCTGGAGGCGGGAGAAGTGTTCTTATTCGTCTGGGCATTCGATCGGTCCGTAAGCTATATATGCTGCGGAAATGGGGAGACTGGCCTCTGTGAGGCTGAGCCGTATTATAGAGACCGGGATTCAATCTGATATGTTTAATCTCTGTGTGTCGAGATAGGAAGTATGTTGGTCATTGGTCAGTACAGAAGTCAGGCTAGTTCTGCGTAATTCACCTCCTATTCCCCAGGATACTTTATGCAGATTTTGCTATTCCTAAGAGTGTCTGTCTTTGCGGCGTTGCGTGTGCTACCTTTGTCTAAGTATAAGTACTCTAAATAGGTTTTGTGAACTAGGAGCTCTAGATTGTTGAGTGATAGAATTTATGTTTGTTTATAGAGGCTAGCTAGCTATAGTAGAAATTCGAAGAGATAAGGCTTGACCAACGTTCAGCACTTGGAATGCGATTCCAAGAATTCCAAGATTCCATTTCAAGGTGGAATATTCCAGAGGCTCTTGGATTTAGGCCAGAATATTTCCATGATTAAGGCTCGGCATTTTGGAATTCCAAATATAATATATATAGCTTGGTTTTAAACTTTAAAGTGAAATAATAATAAAGTAAAGTAGGTAGTTCAATTATTCGCCACGTTAGTTATATACTACTAGCTTACGTGTCACGCTAAGTAGATACTAGCGTATTCTATGGAGTAAACGTAGGTACGAATAGTCTCCTAAGTACTGGTCTTGGTTGTCCTAAGCTTCCTGTTGGTTAAGATATAATATAAGAACAACTAGATTGTAAGTTATGCGATATTCTAATTTGGAACTCTGATTTCTATAGTGAAACCATAGAATAGCATAACCCCTCTTTAGATTGGGATAGAATATTCTATACGAGTAGAGGGGGGTTCGGGAATGGAAAGGAATTCCAAATGCCGAACGTTAGGCCGCTTGACCTGCTGTCTTAGCGAACGGTAGAGTGATTATTTACTTGGAAAGATACATAGACATGTCAAGAAATAGTGAACGCTGACTCGCTGAAATAATCCCTTTTTATAGTACTTTGTGACTTAACTGTCTCTTTTTTTTTATTTACTAAAAATGGGTAATCATTTCAAATTCCAATTAATCGCGAGTAATAGAAATATCCCTAATCAATGGCTGCTGTACAGCCCCATCGCAAAAGTAGCAGGACGTTAAGCGACCCGAGAACCCGGGAAAGAAGGAATCGAGGTACAAAATACCTTGCAAAATGTCCTGTGACATACTAATAAACACCTATCCTAGAATCATGCTAGCTATGAGAAGAGGCTGTTAATATGAAAAAGTTGAATGGGTTTGCTTACAAGCCTACCTGCATACGATTACATACGCACCGTTAAAATCATCCATGAATATCTTATCGTCCTAACCCAGTAATGGAATGTAAACAGGAAAAGGAATCAAATGGAACACAAGAACTATCAGTCACTCAGACCATTCGTACTATTTCTCATCCTGTACTAGAAATCTACGACTACCGAGTGTGAGCAGGACGGAAGCTTTGTTTATTTTGCTCAGTCGGCTAATCTAGGAGATAGTATGGAGCATATGCTTTTTGTCTGTATCCTATCGAACTGGAGACCTGGATATCTACGCCTGACTTTGATCTTGATAGGAAAGAGAAATTCGAGATCCGGAGTGTATGCTTCCGCAAAATTCATGATACAGAAATAATCGCACAGAAAATCTTACATCTGCAAGAATTATTGCCGATAGAAGCTGTTGGTAGGTAATATGTAGGAAATTAAAAAGGATTCTGATTATGCCTTCGTGAGCCTTAGGATAGGAATCGATGACCGCACTTCGGAAAGCCTGCAGTCTGCAGAACATAGGGGTAACACAAACCCGACCAATCACCCCATTGATTCGTGGAGGTAAGGACAGCTTCTTCAGGGGTCGGTATCAAGGAAACTCAATTGAAGAAATCTCCACCGAACCAACCGTCGACCAACATTCTCCAAAAGCGATGACGAGCGTGCTTGTGCATTGTGGAAGGATGGGGAACACGGCAAGGTGATACCCTAAAGCGGTTGTCATCTCCAGCGTAACTTGGCTAAAGTTGGTCCTCGGTGTTGGTATCACGCTAAACACCACACGAAACGAACAACCCGGAAAACAACTGAAATCGAAAGTCTTTGTGGGGAAAGTACGAGCAAAAATCAGCGTGCAAATCCATATACTAAAGTAGAGAAAGCCACGCGTATCAACACGAGGAAGCCAGGGAAGCTATTCGTCGTAGATTGGTGAGCTTCGGGCATATGCCAAGTCGCAGTGCATCAGATACGAGAAGCAGCAGAGTTACCATTACACGGCTGCTTGTAGCTCGCATACCAACTAAGGCCTGTATATGAGGCTCATGCTGAATGGATTTGTTGGCAACATGGATATCAAGCTCTGAAGCAGAATAACTATTCAGCCACCAGAAGGCACGGAGGGCTACCCGACTTGAGTACTGAACACTCTGGGATTTGCCGAGGACCAGCGAAGTTTATATAAAAAAATTCCCCAAGATGCCGACATTTTGAACGACAGCAAATTTTGGCAAACGCCGGGCTTCCGGCCGGCTCTAGATACCCCATACTATCTTGATCTACCGCCAAGTCGCAAGCGCCGATTCCAGCTCCACAAATGAGAGGTTCGTGTTAGACGGGGCCTCCGTGGACACGGTGGACACGGTGGACAACACAGCTCAGGCTGGAGAGATATGACGATATAAAGTAGTACCAAGAATCCTTCCAGTGTTATCAACTCCGGAGATGAAAGAAAATTATAGATAAGGAAATTGATCTCGTGCTAGGGCAGAGTGTCATCAATTTGATAGTCGTACCCCTTCCCATTCAGATATTTGTTATACGTGGATGACCAAGGCTCAGCCACATCGAGGGATCTGCATAGGTGCAGTTACATCAGTTACATTTACTGCAGTAAATGGCTTAGAATCAAGCTTCGGGGCGTTGACCAATTTAGGAGCCGCCTTACGGAGCAGAATTATGTCGTAGGTGTATTTAGAGGAAGAAAAGAGAAACGTTTGGACTGCACAACAAATTAGTATGCAAAGCTTGACGATAGACAATACCATTTCTGGACGTATCGAGCTGATTTTAAAGCTTGCTATTGCATGTAGAAAGTTAGTATAAGAAGCGCATTCCCGAAATAGCACATACGGACAGAGACAGTCGGCAACTATTGGCCTTAGAGCGCTTCACTCCTGAGCTTACCCTAAAGGGGGGGATGGCGTTTGAAATAGGTTTCTACAGGTCCACCATCTGATACAGAATCACGATTCTTGCCCCCCATGTTCCCCGCGAATCCCCAGGTTATTTCTTTGTAGCTAGTCATTGTTAGCTTCGCGGTGGAAATTTCATGAAGGAGATTCTGTATTCTCGCTTCGGAGGTCTTGCCCCTTTCCGATACTTCGTCCGATGGCATCCACTGAACCGTGTTGCCGACCCGAAATGTAGCACGCTTCTCGATTGCTTGTGAATACTGCGAATGGCGGGGAAGGAGATTAGAGGGCTCCCCGAGGCCCCGTGGGTCGGCTCACATCTGACAGTTCAGCTCCACGATCTCCTAGTTGCACTGACTGAGGTCAATGATGCTTTTTGAAAGATAATATGCGAAGTGCTCTCCAGATTCATTTCTATGTGTTCCGTAAATACAACCAGGACGCCTACACAAAAATTATATATATTTACATCTTTGGTGCTGGTGCCAGCGTCTTCCTGTAACACCATTGCGCAATTTTAACACTAGGTTCGTCAAAAACCTTCGTGACTATCTCCGCCATCCACAAAGTGAAGGGCAACAGAAATATCTGCGGTACCCAAAATGCCATATCAAAACCAAGTGGGCCCGCCTTGCTGAGTGGGAATGCGTCGACCCAGTATGGGGTGTGAATAAGGTTGGCTTCCCTATGCCAGCCCGTAGCAGTATACAATCTATCGCCCAACAACCACAGAACTGGCCCATGAGTGAGATAGAGTGCAAATGAAATGTGACCAAGGTATTGGCAGAATCTCGTCTCGAAAAAGCCTTTCAACCATTTCAAGTTTGGAATGGCAATCATCATCATGAAAGCTCCTGTCCATAGAAACAGCCATTTAGGATCCATATTCGCTTGAGGATGAAACCAGGACAGCCAGTACCAACCCGGCGAATCGCGAATGATTTGAATATCGGAACCGTGAGACGGGCAACCGCCCAGATAGATAGCGCAGCAGAACAGGACATAGGAGCCCTTTACTTTGTATTTCGACAAATTCGAGATCCAATTGGGCAGATTGTTTTGCGTGGCCAGAAAATCCAGTTCGCAAAGGAACATACCCGAGACAAACATTGTACCAAACCATCCATCCACAATATACATAAAGTAAAACATAAGTCCAACCTGGCACCAAAGTCGCGCATTTCGGGTGCATCTGGAAAATGCCAAAAGTGCCGTGTAGACAATGATGGATCCGCGGAATTCGACTGGAATCGACCAGGCGTGGAAGTTGTAGGTGAGCCAAGATTCGCCGCCAGTTCTGAAGACAAACGTAAAATTCTTCATCTCACAATACCATTTCCAAAGCTCGTCACGATATGTTCGTTCATGTACCGGAGTCACTGTCCAAATTCCAAATAGATGCCATGAGGTCATGTAAACAAAAGTCGTACCCATAACAGGAATATGAAGTCTAATCCATCGCCGAAAGAGAGCCGAACTCAGATTTTGGCCAAGTTTCTCGTGTTCGCCGGCGTACATCAATTTGATCGGTTTGGCTGATAAAACGTAGCCAGAGATGACGAAGAAAATAGCGACTGCAAAATGGCCACCAGAGAAGAACAATCGGATTCCCGGAAATGCGCCAAAGAAGTATCGATCCATGTATCCAAATCCGTTCTCGAAATTTTGATCAGCGAAAATCAGTGTCCGTGGCCATAATTGGTGATGTTGCCAGTAGACCATAAATGCAGCCCATCCTCTCAATCCATCCAAATAAGAAGTGCTCATCAGCTGTTTTCGTGGTCCCTTGACCAAGATTGCTGGTCGGATCACATCTATAAAGCCCTTCACCGCGCTGCGTAAATATGATGGTTTTGGCTGATGTTTTTCTCCTCCCCACATCTCCTCGTCCATTATCCTGTCGTTTGTTTGCACCATGGCTTCGTCCGCTCAAATGAATGTGCCTTTGTCAATTTGGAGGGGGCGGGGCACTGCGGCCAGGTGATCGTGTATAAGAAGCAAATCAATCACAGTAGTAGGAGGAGCATGAGAAGAAGAGGTGTTCACATCCACCAAGCTTTTGGATGGCAAACAGAGCAAGGGTTCCCGAGAGATCCAAAAAAAAAGGAGGTGCCGCTCTGCTACACACCATTACTTCGTAAGGCACCTAACGCATGGATACACCCCACATATCAGCTAAGACCCTTTCTTCTAATAGAAAAGGGGCGAGGGTACCTCGCTAACGGCACACCCAGCGTTAGGCCAATTAGGGTATGTCTATCAGTGCGTATTATGCAAAAGGAAGCTAGTGTAACGGGTACCAGTACAAGCAACAATCTGGCCTTGTTTGGTTTCAAAAAGTCATGGGCGAACGGTTTCCGTGAAGGCAGAACCCACAAACAAACAGTAGTGCTGAAATGACAAGTAGAAGTAGGTAGAATTACGAAGTACAAGACACCCAATTGTGATACCCCGCTCCCGAAGCCGATCTACGGCGTAGCTTGATAATACGAGTGCTATAGGATTCAATTGGACTCATCTTGCGGTACAGAAACTGACTGGAGATAGAAGAACGCGGATGTGCAGTATTACGCCACAGACGATTTACCACACTAGTATTACTGTAAACACCAAGAGGTTTTTCCTGCTATAACAAGGGATGAATCTTTCAGTGCTTCAAGTACCGAACGATGCGAGCAATCGATACACAAAAAGTGGCCACGAAGTGAGAGTCGTCTCGGGAAAACAAACTAGAGAAAACTTACTTGGATGTGAGTACGGTGTACAGCCATCGCCCCAAACTTTAGTCTGTAAACCTCGCCATAGTGCGGCGCGCCACACATGGTCGACCCCTAACCAAGCTTACTGACTGGCCAGTGGCCACCAATATATTGGAAGGGGCCTAATTGATCCTGCATGAAGGTAGGAATCGCCAGCCTTCCCCTGACCGTTGTTTACACCGAGGCAGGCTATCGAGCTACTAGCCCAGCCCCTGTCCGCTTGTGATAACCAACACTTCAAACTCCTCGATGCGACAGGTTCAAGTTTTCATACGGGTCCCAATTTAAACTCGGACGATCACTGACAGTTGGGCAAGCCCGTTCCAGTAAAAGAAGGGGGCCACCCCGGTACCTCCAGAAAGTAAATCATGCCCGTCTAGTGTAATAAAACTCCCCGAGCCCCCCTCCCACAAGCGTGCACTGAATACACCTCCTTCTGGACTCTCTGTTGTCTGCTTCAGCAGTCTAGCAGACATAAATATGCAGGTTACCAATACTATTTTTGTTGGGCGACCATCGAAGCAGATACGTCGAGCACTTCCGGTATACTTCGCCTGCATTTTCATTGCTTTAGTCTTTTTCAATTCTTATTCAGGGGACGCGTCCTCTCTGAAACCATCCAGCATCTGGAAGCGCGTGTGGCCTCAATCACCATTATACCCGAAAACCAATTCGAAGTTCCCCAAGAAAATATGGCAGACGTGGAAAGTCGATCCGCTCGAGTTCGACGAGAGAGACTCAGGTCGAGCCCGAACTTGGCCACAAAAAAATCCGGGTCATCGATACGAAGTTTTGACGGATGGCAACGATATGGATTATGTGGAAAGAAATTTCGGACCTGACGGCCTCAATCGCCTTGATGTGGTGTACATGTACCGCACACTAACCGCGAGAATCATCAAAGCCGATCTTCTGCGGTACCTGATCATGTATGTGGAGGGCGGAGTTTATGCGGATATCGACGTGGAGGCAGTCCAACCAGTCGATACTTGGATTCAAGCCCCTCACGACGAGGGACAGGTGGGGTTGGTAATCAGTGTTGAGATTGATGAGCCAGACTGGAACAAGCATAAAATCCTCGGTCCAAAATCGCAATCGTTCTGCCAATGGACAATCATGGCGAAGCCGAAACACCCAGTAATGTTACGACTGATTGACAATGTGGTGGCATGGATTGAGACAATGGCAAACAAGCAATCGAAGGGTGTGGCCGAAATCGAGCTGAATTTTGATGAGGTCTTAAGTGGTACAGGACCTTCGGCTTTCACCACTGCTGTTCTGGCAGAGATGGCCATCCAGGTCGGTAAAGAACCACCTTGGGAGAAATTTCACCGCTTGAATGAATCGACACTCATAGGAGACATTCTGGTTCTTCCCGTTCAAAGCTTTGCTTCTAACCAAGGCCATTCCCATTCCGAAGATCCAGAGCCCACGAAAGCTCTTGTCAGACATCACTACCATGCTTCGTTATGGCCTTCCCGTCATCCAAGATACAGCCATCCCGGTTACGGCATGGTCGAAGAGTGCAATTGGACGCCGGACTGTGTTCACGAATGGGACAAGAATGTGGCTAACTGGGATGCGCTTCCCCAAGATGCAAAGGACAAGCAAATCGCGGAGCACAATAAAATGCTTGAGGAAAAATCCGCCCAGGAAGAGAAGGAAAGGTTAGACCGCGAGAAGGAAGATCGGGAAAATCGTGAAAAAGAGCAGCTGGAAACTTGTGCGAAGCTGCAGATCGAAAAGCTAAAGGAGCACCCACTACCTGTAGACAATCAAACTGAGATTCAAAAGGACGAGAAAAAGGAGGGCGATGCGAAGCCGGCAGAAACACCAACTCCTCCATTGGTCCTCGCAGCGCCACCAGCGCCCGAAGCGAACCCAGCAGAACCAAGAAAACCAGTGACAGACAACCCAAGACATACAGATGCAATAAAAATATGAAATTGAAGAGAGCATGACGGATTGGGTGGCATAGCGATGAATTTCTTCCCTTTCTTGTGAATAAGTATTTTGGATTGGGATATATTTGGAGTTTTGAGCAGGTCTTTGGGGGAGATGATCATATAGAGGGATAAAATACCACGATGTACATTTTTTATTGAACTTGATGACTCAAAATATAAAATCCATATATAATACCTGTATTTTGAAGACTTGACTTGATGTAAAGGTGAACCATTCACATCCTTGTCCCAGCTCCCCCTTTTAGATAAGCGAAAAAATTGGAATTGATCTCCTGCATTAGTTTGCTACAGACTGCAGGTGCTACAGACTGCAGGTTGCATAAGCTTTTTGAGCCGTTTTGTATGCTTGTTTTTTCTCCTTTTCCAAGCAAGGTTGGATCCGGTTGTTTGTCTCGTACTAATACAGATGACAGATGGCATGGGTTCTTAAGACGTTTCTAATGCTTGATTTTACTTCTAGACCACAATGCAAGGAGACGAACATACTACTGGTAGTATAGCTTATCTACCAGCAATCAAGTTGATCATACTTGAGTCGCTTAAATTATTCTCTTAACATGTTCAGCTCTTTACCTAAGGTGTGTGGTATTTTTCAAGCTATCGAAACTATTTGAACTTGGAGAGATCCTCATATGTCAAAATGTAGTAAAGTACTGTACCAAAGAGGTGTTTGATGTGGTTGTATGAATAATTAATGAGGATATTATACCAGTACCAGTAGTCTACCAGTACTAACATTCATTGCTTGCAGGGTTATTAGCTAGTGGCGTACTGACCCGTAGCGAAACGCTTTTTCTGCAGGCACATGACAGGTTTGCACTTCAGTCTGAACGAATTACGGGTTGAGACAAACAAGTAAGTGAAGTGGGATGACCGGAAAATCTTGCATTTAATAGTTTGATAAGCAGCATATGTAACTTTGATATAAAGCTCACACTACTAGTAAGAAACAAGCAACAGCTCCAGTACATGAACGATGGGTTCCATTCCTAACATGAGACAAAGCATAAAAAATCAAATGAACTCGAAGTCCGCCCCATATTCCCCAAGCTCCATTCTCTAAGTTTCAAAGGTTCTACCAACATGTTTCAAAGAATCTGCAAAGAGGGACTCCCTAGCCTTTACGCAGTACATCTCTCCTCCAATACAGATTCATCGCCTGAGCCTGACTGACTCGCAACACTACGACGACAACCACTAAAGTCGGGGATTTTCTTACACTCTTTGCTCAAATCAAGTTTTAACACCCTCCTGATTTTGGCGCCATTTTTATCGGGTCTTGCTGTACAATGGCAAAAGCTAAAATCGCTGTGTTCGTCCGGCCCGTTCAGCAGTGCCACCATGTCTTTGAGCTTCATTTTCTTCTCCCGGTCTTCTGTAAGCCGACAGATGGGGATATTCCAGAGTCCTAGGTGGGCAAAACTGGGAATGAATAACTCCGGATGAGGACGGGAATTGTCTAGAGGGCTATTGAAGCGGGTCTTGTAAGCGTAGCCACCAGTAAGGCCCGCGTCGACACTTCCCTTGATAGCATCCCATGTAGTAAAGGGGTATTCGTCTTTTCCATCTAGGAACCCCCAGCCTGGTGGGTTTTGGGTGGTAGGGATTGTAAGCACATCGGATTTCTTTGTCACGATACTTGAAAGTTGATTAACTTTTGTCTGAAACCTGGTGAGGAGGAAAGGGTTCCACGTACCTTTGGAAATAACATCCCATGTCTTCATAGTAAAGTTTCAAGCGACTGTCATTATTTCCTGCTTTGACCTTCGTATCGTCGACTAGTCCATCAGCATTTCTCCTCCCGCATTGAAAGATCCTCTCAAGCTTACACTATTGCTGTGTCATTGGAAAGCACATGATATACACGTTTTGCTGCTTCCATGAAAGATTGATGACAGTACTCAAGAGCATTTTCTTGAAGTAGTTTCTGAGCTGAGTCGAATCGAACTTTGGTAGACCTGTACCTGAATTGAGTATGGGAATTTGGTTGTAATCCAACCAAGCTCCTTTAGCTAGCAGCTCTTCAAATTTGGGGTTGAGATTGGTGCTGTAAGGTCCATGAGATTTGAACTCGCCCTCGACGTTAACCAGCAAGCCTGAGTATGAGCGACTAAAAGCACTTGCTGCCCTGTATCGTGTTAGAGAAAAGAAGTGTTCGTAATAAGACTACTGGAGTCCATACCCTTCCTCAATTGATATGTGTGCGAGGCTACTGTCACTATTAGGCACTGCCATTATCCCATTACCAATGGCTCCGGTTAATATGTTTGTAGCGACACCTGCCACAGGGCCGCCTGCGACGACGCCTGCCAAAATCACAGCTGTCCCGATTGCAGCCAGTATCTCCTTCAGCGCAAGATTTGCGCCATCGTTATTGGAATAGAACTTCTGCATTGTTGATACTTGTAGAGTATTGTAATCCTCTCTAGCAAGGTTTACAGCAGAGAAAAGCTTACTCAAATACTGTTTTAAGTTAGTTGCGATGGAGAAGTTCTAGATAAGTGGAAAGATATCTACCTCTTTGAAATTCGCCATGGAGAGTACAACAAGGTAACTCCAGGCTGTGTTAGACTGACCCGGATTCTCAATTGACAGACAATCCACCCTTTTGCAACCCGCCCCTGCTGCTATATCGCAAGATGTAAAACTTTGACCAATACCCATTGGCTGTGTAAAGGTTTGCTCAAAGTCTGTTGTTGCATTCTTATTATTGACGTTCGCTTTTACCCACTCTTTATTGAAGTCAGTCAGGAATGGTTTCGTTTTTCTCAAAGATGACACACCTGAAAGATGTTGACTTGTGCTTGTTTGATCCCACATATCTCGAATTATCTTGGGGCCTAAGGTAGTTAGTGAGGGTGTCTATAACTGAGTGGGAAGTAATCACCTTTGAGATCATTGCAACTAGCACTTGGATTATTCCCATCGAGTTGATGAATAGTGATTCCTTTGGCCGGAAGATCTCTAGACCGTAAGGAATGAGAAAAGGACCACACTGGAATGTTAAGTCCCAAAGCCGGCGCTGAAATAGAGGTAAAAGACCAAAGCACGAAAGGAATACACCGGTAAATTGAAGGCATTATTACTTCGTATGCTCTGAATGTTATGGTTGTCAGGATATCTGATTCTCGATGTAAATGAAGAAAGACTAACAATATAAATACAGCCTTTTTCTACGCCGTCTTTTCAACAGTTGAACTGACAATCGTGAAGTGCATAGCCTCACTAGATCACATCCCATGCCGTTGGGAAATCCCTTCATTTCAAATTTCGATGACTCTCAAAGACAGCAATGCATCTGTTGGTGTTTGAAAAAGGACCAGCAGATCAAAATTCCCAACATGCGAAGCTCTCCTTGTTGGCATTTGACTAAAAGGGGCTGGAGTAAGATTTTTCGTAAACTTACTGCCTCCTCGGATACATGTGAGGTTGCAAATCAACATCTGATTGACTCGAAACATCCCAGAGAAGAGTTGGATTTGCGTGAATTTACAAGGAAACCATGGCGAGTGGCCATGAACTGGAATCCTTCAAAACGTGCTGCAGAATAACATGGAAGGTTTGAGTGTAAAAATAACAGTTCTTACTCATTTTTGGCTGATGTAAATCTTCCGCTAGTTGCATAATCAGTTTGGTGTGGATCTAGAATCACAGGTAGCAGCATTAGTTACCTAGAATTTCTTAGATAAAAGTAAACCATCTAATCTTCAAATCGATCTTAGGTAACTCATAATCCACATGATAGACCCGTGAGAGCTTTGAGCGGCTGAACTACCGGAATGGGGTAAATGTGGCTAAGTATAGTGTGAGTGGATGACTGGAAAGATATCCAGGGAAATATTTCTACTAAAGTCAAACTAACATACTATGAGTAAATATATAACTGACTTGTCTATTACTCTAGACACACTTTAAGAACCTATTGTGCTCGATTCCTTAAACAATTGACGCATTTTTCCTAAGTCACTTAGGTCAATAAAGATATATTGATTTCAACTATCTCAGATCGCTCGCATAGCTACTTTCGTTGTGCGAGGCTTTTAGGAACATGCCATTCTAATCTAGGTATATTCAGAGTAACAACGGCATCTATTGACCGACATCTCGGAATGGAGTGAAACTGGAAATCCAGCTCTACGAGAATGTACATAAAACTTGACCAGGACGTGGTCTTCTTGGATCCTTCGTATTGTGCCGTTCTTCAACGTCAGCTAGAGAAAAGGCCTGGAGAATTTCTCCACCAATTACAGAATTGACTATGCTTGACAAGACAAATCTATAAACAAAAAGTGACCGCTCCATTAATCCTTGGATGCTTAGATATATTTCTAGACACAGGTACAACTTGGTTCGTAAGCCCAGTATTCAAGGTAAAGACCAGTTCGACTATGCTTGTAGAGAGATCAGCTGATGATCTTTTGGGAGTAGGCGAGCAGACGCTAGCTAGGCTACAGACTACAGCTCCTGTCCTGAGCTTGGATGCCCTTTTGGGAGTGCTGACGAGTATAAGTAAGAAAAGCAAAGTCAAGTAATTAAATTTTCTCTAATTTTTGGAGTTTATTCTTGTTAGAAATATATTGTTTAAGACATGCCGATCTATCTGAATTAGTGAAGTAAGCATAGGAGGCCAATGAAATGAGCAGAGAAATCAGTTCATGGAGGGCTACAGCTGATAGTTTGTTTAATTGAGATAGGTACGTAAGGTTCTCGATGGTCCGAAAGATCTTGTGTTCTTCGCTACTCAAGCCGAGGCTAGTAAGCGAGTTAAAGGGGAGGCTTGCGAAGCGGCACTAGCGTGCCTGTGAAACTCCATGGAACATAGTTTTCGTTGCCGAAAACTATTTTATTGACGTAAATTCTCGTCCATTTTCGGGAACATCCGGGCCTTTCATGAATCCTTCCGTTGGTGCAGAGCAAGAACTACAGGCCAGCGAGTAACAGTTGTTGGCGCCCACCCTTACGTTATGTACGCGCCGCTAGGGATTATCGCAAATGTTGGTATTACTGTTGGTGGTTTCCAGCCACCAACCTGAAGGAAGATATTGCTATACACGTGGGCAAGAACACAGCCATCCTTTAGGCACTCGTTTGCCCCCAGCATATGTATTATGTTTCATATGGGTGAAAATGGGGCTGTGGCCGCAAGAGCTGAATTATGTTGGATTACTGTTGGAAATCGCCAGCTATATGGATAACCATAAGAAGAATCATCATATCCTTTCATACTTTGCTTCGGTTGTTGCGAAGATACCTCGACGAAAACCACAATGTCTTCTATTCAAGCCTCAGTCTTGAAAGGACTTGTAACGTTACTTCTATTGAGTAAGTTCACAAGAACGTAACCCCAACAAAATCACTGACCGAGAAACTCTTAGGTTCTGCCAGCTGCCAAAGAAATGTCTGCACTCTGACACCTGAGGAAAGCACTTTCAACAGTCAAAATGATATCGCAACAAGATTGGCGGGATGTACGATAGTAAACGGCAGTCTTTTCATATCTCCAAAATTAGAAGGAACCTTGACTCTCCCTGGCGTCGAAGAAATTCTTGGTAACTTGGAGATTGCTACATATCGTTCGAGCAGTGAACAAGAGCAGAATGGCCAAATCACATCAGGATTGAGAGAAATAATCCTCGATAACTTGGAGTCGGTCTACGAAATGGACACATCAAATGCACCCAACCTGGAAATAGTACGAATGCAGTCATTATCTAGGGCATCCAAACTTCGATTTAACTCCACACGGCTCACCAATGTTACCATGCACGAATTACGGCATGTGGACTCCCTAGATTTCATAGGAAACTTCAAAGAGTGCGTGATTCCTCCTACCTTCAATGGCTTTATATGTGGTACCTTGCTGACACTTTCTGGAAATGAAGAATAGGGTTAGGGAATTTGGAGACTGTTAATGCCACCTTAACCATCGACAGCCAAGCACAAGAACCCCCGTTAGGTATAAGTATTCCGAGTCTGCATTCTGCAAAGAACGTTGTGATCAGCGGGAACATATCAAGGTAAGATCAATGATTGACTTGACTCTCCCGTTACTTGATAATGACGAGAATGAATGTTAGTGTGGACTTGGGATTTCTCAATGTAGTTCAAGAGAAATTGGTCATCAAAAGTACTGCTCCCATTTCAATTTGGCTTGCCGGTTTGATCAATGTCACCAATATCGTGATTGATGGCAACTTCACCGAGTAAGTATTGAAAACCCCACATGTGGTATCTATACTGACCATAGAATAGGAGCCTGAATTTCCCAAATCTACTAGCAATCTTCGGGGATTCAAGCTTTAGAATGGAGAGTCCACCCAAAAACCCCGTGTCTCTGGACTTCGATCATTTGGCGACTTCAGGTGCCCTTGATGTACATGGTAACATTGCAGAGTATGTTCTCCTAACATCCACAAGAATTTGCTAATGACTGAATATCTAGTGTCTTTCTCGGTGCGGGGCTACACCAAATAAATGGTGCATTTAGTATTCGAAGCAATGCTACAATGAGGAATTGTAGCAAGATCCAAACAATTTGGGATCAAGCTCAAAAGGGACCACAAGCTTCCTCATTTACTTGCTACAGCGCTCCCGTACCTGGGTCATCCAAACCACGAAAACTTGGGCTTGGAATCGGAATAGGACTTGGTGTTCCTTTCTTGCTCCTATGTATCTTAACTTGGTTTTGTGTCAAACGACGAGCGAGAGCCACGCCTGTGCTTGCACAGCCAACAAAACCACAGGAGTCTTGAACGAAAATCCTACAGTAGCAAGTTGCATTCGGAATGTCACAATCGCATCGGAAAGGAGGGACAAAGTGTTCTTTTCTCATTAGTTTGATTCACCTTGAGAGATACTATTCTACATCTATCAGATATAGGCTACCGGTAGAAAAGATTGGCAGAAATACTTCCCTCTTAGCGTAACTTGATTGAAACTATTTTACTATTCTGCTTATCTAGACTATCAAAATAAATAATCGAAAGCCATAAGTAATGAAGGCAGTTGTTTCAAATATTTCGAGTATTCTGATACTTGGAACCAACTTACGCTGATTGGGAACAAAAGTTCTCTGCCACTTTTCTTGTCTACTAGGAGATAGAATACTAATCTGTAAAAGAAATACTAGACGAAGAAATGAATCAGGTAAATCAGTGATTTAATCCTCTCGATAAAGAAGTATCTAGATCTCTAGAGTAGCAATAGAGCTAGATGTGATATTGATTTATAGAGAAATGGTAGGCCATTGAGCTAATGTCTCGGTATGTAGCATGCTGTATATCGATAGTATCTATCTCAAACAAGGCTTAGAACATACGAGATCGACTCAAATTGTCCACAAATAGGGCTGACTCTTGAACCTTCTTGTATGCACGTAATTGTCATACCTTGAAGTCGTACAAGAACCACATGAAAATATGCGTTCCAACCCAACTTGCCGCCTTGGTCCACCCAAGTAGCCCAATCAGGTTCAAGGTATTGAAAGTATGATGGGGCGGTCAGTGACTTTATCCTTGGTGTTGCACAAGGTTATGGAAAATGCCGAGCTCTCCTTACAAACTCGGTCAGAGATGAGGGGCAGCAAAAGATTAATAGAGATCTAGCCAAGGAGCAGTTTATAAAACCCGGAGCCAACATTTGAGATAACGATAATGTCCGTGAAACGGTGAAAAGATAGTTCAAACTTCCTTCAGTATAGAAAGTTGTCTGGGGTTCACTGTTGCCGTCACACCACCCAATGAGTTGCCAACACATTTGTGCAGCAAGGTTAGTATAATCTTTGCCCCCGGGCAAGCACGACAGCAGCCCTCCACTCTTCTGCATCTACGCAATCATTGTTCGCTGCAGTTAGGTCACAAGTGAGGTTGCTCCAACCTGGCGAGACCTAAATCCCGGCGCAAATCAGTGACGCTCCACCAGAAAACCTTCAACTGATAGATAGGACAATTGAGTGGAAACTACCCGTGGAGTAAGGGAAGTAAGAAGAGGCAAGAAACTGCCACTACAGTCTCGCATGGCATGCAATTCTGAACCCGATTCTGATTCTGATTTTGATGCGTAGCGCGGCATCATGAACTCGGTTGATTGTGCATTTGAGTGATGTGATATGAGAAGTAGAAGTCGGAGCTGAAGCTGAAGCCGTTGAGTGGCAAAGCAAAACAAAAATAAATAACAGTAGGCGAGTACACAGACGAGTAAGATTACCTGGTACACAGACCTCCCATCACTGCAGCTTGATGCCAAGAAGAGGCCCAGCCACACCCATTTTTTTGACGCTCGCTCACGATCTCACATCTACACCCCATATCTGGGTAAGGTGAGCTTGTAAAGTACACTTTGGAGCTCAAGTCAACAAGAGCCAACCGCTCGTTCCTCACTCCGTTCGAGTACACCTACACCCGCACCTACACCTACACCATCCCACCCTAACAAATGATTCTGCCCCCGAATCCCAACAACCACGAGCAGTTGCCATCATGATGGCCGATAATAACAGGCGTCGTCGCAGCCCGGGCAGCTCAGTGGGTGGCAGACGAACAGAGCGAGACTCGCGCCGAGCACCTTCAGCAACAATATACAACGAGCCACAACTAATGCGCGTTGAGTCTCCACCAACGACCATGAGACCCATCGAACGAGGCGTCGATAATATCGCATACGGCGCGCATACAACCTACCTTTCCTCGTCCAATTCCTCGAGCTCGAGCTTTGAACTGGTTGACATTTCGCGTACATTCCCCAACCTCCGAGCCGGGATTAAAACATTCTTCACTGCGCCCTCGGAGCGCCGAAAAGCGCGAAGACGCCGTAGCAGTCGCCTATTGAAACTGAACAATTCAAGCAGCTCTAGCGTCAATAGCGATTTGGCTTACGGAAATGGCTACATTAAAAGACCAAAGCTTAGGAGGATCAGGTCGAAGTCGGGGAAGACCATGGACAGAGACAGTGGGAGATGGAGCGATAGGGAAAGAGAAAGGCACAGAAATAATGATGGGAGAAGATATAGTGGTTCAGAGCGCCGCGGATATGCTAGTGGCTCTGACAGAAAAGGTAATGGTAGCGGGTCGGATCGACGTGGTAATACAGAGGCGGAAATTTTAGCTGTGGGAGCGGGTTTGGCAAAACTTGCTAGGGAACAAAACAAACACGATTTAAGAAGCAGGAATGGAAGTCGTTCTCAGCTTGTTGCTGTGAAGGAAACCAATAATCATTATGGAGCAGCTGCGTTGGGGGCCGCAGGTGCTGGGGCTCTCTACGGCGCAAGTCGTGGTTTGGCAAGCTCGAAACCAAGTCATGAATATGATACGTCTGATGACGATGGATGGGAGTCTGCCTCTGATGATGAATCTGACGATAGTGTTGATTCGGGGTTGGCTTTCGGAGACGAAGCAGCTGGTGGATGGTGGGGTAAGGCGAAGCATCGTCCACTATCCAGGAAGAGTACCGTTGTCGATCCTCAACTGTTCGGACCGGAAAACTCTCTCAAGGGACATGTCGATAGGCCTGTTGGGTTTGAAGAAGTTGCATGGTCGTCTTCAAGCGACTTCGGTCAACACTATCACGCCTATTCAGAATCAATTGTACCCAACGAAAGTGTCAGCGGTTCGCAAGCATCGCTTAAGCATGTATTTCCCGTTCAATCCTATGGAAGCCCTAGCAGATTTGAAGCTGCAAGAGATTCCGTTGCATCTGGGTCCCAGCCATATATTTCATCTAGACCTGGTCCTGCTCCTTTGCAACCCCAGCCATATACTCCTGTATCTCAGAATCTTTATGACGGGCCATTCTCCAACACATCGGAACCGCCCAAGACATTGAAGAGAGTCTCTTATGAGGGGAAGAGCAATTCTGTTGCCCAAGCTGCCTTGGCAGGTGTTGCCGGCATGGCTGTAGGAGCTGCGATTGCTTCAAGCCGCGATGACGACCGGAAAGACAAGCAAAGGGGGGACGATCGCAACGTCATTTCCCGTGTAAGTTCCAAGCGCCGAGACGATGATCGTGATGATAGGTTTAGTACAAGCTCAAGACGGAGAGATGATGATCATGATGATCGTGATCGTGATGAATATTCTCGGGTGAGATCAAAAGGCAAGGACAGTGACAAGGAAAGTAAAGATGAACGTCGAAGAGACCAGCGTGATAGCCCTGATCGCAATGAACGAAACGACATGAAGCGGGAGAAAGAGAGGAGAAAAGACGTTTCTCGATACTCCGACGATGAGCGCCGCGAGAGAAAACGCGACAAAAGACGTGATGATGCCCGAGTGGAAGCCCAACAGGAAAGACGTGAGAAGCGCCGTGAAGAACGTCGCTCTGATAATGCCCCTCCCCCGGAAATCGCCTCTCGCCCAGAAGTTCGCTACGACGATAGGGGGGCCAGAAGCGAAGCGGCGATTACTGCCGTCTCTGCAATTGACCCTGTGATGTATCGAGTAGCTGATAATGCTTTCCCAACCCCAAAGATCTCACCACAAGGACATGGGCGCCACGATTCTGTTCCCAAAGTTGTCACTGTTGAACGAGAGCCAGAGTTTGTTCGCACTACAACCTCATCGGCCAAGGATGCGCCTTCCGACTGCAGAGGTGACTATTATAAGGATACGGGGTATAATGGGGCCCAGCATTACCATGGAGGCGTTAGCGACCATGGTCTTCACGATGCCGAAGCTGCTTACAGAGATACAAGCCACTCAACCGCACCTATTGTAGCTGGTGCTATCGGTGTCGCAGCAGCAGTAGTTGCTGGCGAAGTTCGCCGGGAGTCAAGGTCTGAAAAGCGACGCAGTGAGAGACGACAACGGTCAGAATACAACGATACTGTCACTGACTACGAATCCAAATCACGCGATCGGGAGCCTGAGCGCGATACCGTTCAAGAAGAAGCAGATAGGGCTTACCGCGAGATAGTTATGGCACGAAAGATAGCATCTCAAGTTATTCGCTCACGCTCTGCATCTCCTGATGGTTCGGTTGTAGGAAGATATAGCCGAAAAGAAGAGGCTGAAGAGATTCAGATTGTAACTCCACCTGAAATGGAACACCATAAAGATAAAGGCCCTTATGATGCACCCAATGCGGACTTTCAACCTGACTATCAATTTGATGACCCAAGGCAATTGCATGGTTTCAAAGACCAACTAAGCTCCGGATATTTGAAGCGAGATCCCGACGCTACAAAACCCAGGCCACTATTGAATCTAGTTCGACCTACACCAGTGCCATCCCCATTACCCAAAAAGGGAGTCGACATACCAGAGCAGTCTCGCTCGGAATCCTCACGTTCAGATTCAACCCGCTCTGAATCGGCCCGCACAGAATCGACACGCACAGAATCGACCTACACAGCATCGACTTACACAGAATTAAACCGTTCTGAATCAGGCCGATCGGGAACAAATCATTCAGATCCCCCTCGATCATCCAAATCCAGAGATCGCGATGATAGGACCCGTACTCCAGTATCAGATAATGGGAATGGCTCACGGGGTAACGCCATGTCTTCTCCTGCAACATCAACCACGTCAAAGGGTGTTACATGGGGCGAGAATGAGACGAAGCATTTTGATGTCGAGAGCCCTTCCGATCACCAACGGGATGATTACATGTCCAGCTCTGACGTCCCACTGTACGAAAAGAGCCCAGAACCAAAGCAAAGATCGGAAGCCAGATCGGATTCCAAGCCCTCAATGGGATGGGGTGCCATTGCCGCTGGAGTTATTGGTGTTGGCGTGGGAGCCGCCGCTGCCTCGAGCGATTCTTCTTCCAAGAAGTCAAAGTCCAAGGAAAATGGCAGAGAGAACAGCTCACCAGATGCTTACGAATATCGTGGTGTAATTGTTGAACCAGAGAGTCCTCCAGCCAAAGGTCGAAGACAAGCCAGCCCCCCATCACCTGGCCCCAAACCCACATTTCAACATCCACATATGCCAGGTGGCTTTGGTGACGATCTTGAATTCACGGCCCATGTTGCAGCCGGTTTGAAAGATACTGGCTTTGACCCAAATATCGTTATCGATGACCCTTCATTCCGCAGACGAGACTCTCCGCCAGGATCTAATGAACGTCGAGTTTATCAAACCCCGTATGTGGAAACTGTCAGTGACTTGACACAAATTCCAGTAACTGGGGCTAGCACCCCAGGCCCCGGCTTTGTGATAGGCGAGGTTGCGACCACACCCCAAGAATGGCGCAGCATTTCACCCGAGGGCGACAATTCTACCGACAAACTCAGTGAGAAAGAGCAAAAGAAACGAGACAAGGCCAAGCGACAGAGTACTGATTCTACTACCTTCAATGAAGTACCTTTCAATGAAGAAACTTCAGTATTCAAGGAGCCAGAGCCAGATCGGGATGACTATTTCAACGAACCAAAATTGAGCAAAAAGGAACAGGAAAAGCGCGACAAGGAAGCCAAAAGACATAGCAATTCAGCTGAAGATGTCACCCCAACATCTGAAGTACTTGGGGCCCGCCAGATCGTCGATGAACCGGAAAGCTACACTGAGACACCCAAAAAGTCCAAGAAGAAGTCTAAGAGAGATTCTGGAGCTTTTGATGACGATAGAGGTTTAGCGTCTCCCAGTGGTTCAAGTATTGGCCGAAAAAGCTCAATTCATAGTGAACGTTATGAATCTCCTCCCCGTTCTGCCGCTACATCGGAAATCTCAGAACGAGAACGATCATCCAGCAGAAAAAAAGATAAATCAAGGAGACATACTGACAAATACGACCAAGAACCATCTACAGTTTCCCTGCCTCCAAGCACGCCCTCTGAGACAAGCCAGGATAGAGACCTGGACGATTCAAGAACGTCAAGAAAGTCTTCTTCAAGAGATAACGTCAATAATGACGACGAACCTCGGCGCAAGAAGTCATCATCACGTAGTAGCACCAGGGATAGGGACGACTTTGACGATTCCAGATCTGTTGGATCCGCAGCCTCCGTTCCAGCCGGGGGAGAAGATTCAGGGAAAAGCAAGAAAAAGGAGAAAGATAAGAAAGGCGGATTTTTTGGATTGTTTGGTTCAAAATCTGAGGCTGTTACACAGGACGCAAGTCCCAGGGGTTCAAAAGACGACTTTGACGATGTCAAATCGAAGAAGAAAAAGAAGCGAAGCTCAGTGCCTGATGTTTCCAGTCTTTACGGCGACGCGGATTCTCAGTCTGTTGGCGATCTCTCTCGTTCATCAAGCAGACACAGATCTCACAAATATGATGACGACGAGGGAGCTCGAAGCGACGGTGAACGGAAGAAAAGTCGACCAAGGGGAGATAGTTCGTCTTCGAAAAGGGATTCTTTTTTAGGTAATTCCGGTACCCTTGGCGCGGGTGCCGGACTTGTGGGTGCTGCAGTGGCAATTGCTGCCCACCAGCAATTGAAAGCCGACGAAGCCTCTGGGGACGAGTCTCGAAAAGATCATTTTGAACGAACTGGAAAAAGACTAACGAGGGACGATGAACTCGATCCCGAAATTACTCAGCGTCACATCAGACCATCCATTGATCCTCAATATGGGGATTTGCTTCCACTTCCACCTAGTGAACCAGCAACTCCAGAAAATGAGGACTTCGCCGAGTTTCCAAGTCTGCCAGACAGCCGACCACATACCCCAGAAGAGAAACGTATTATCAAGGACAGAATGAAGGGGTCTGCCCGAAAACATATGCAGGAGACTCCGGCCAAATCCCCAAGCCAAAGTGCTGTTCCCATAAACTTCAAATTGAAGAAAGGCAACAGATCCACTCCTACATCGCCAGGCTTCCCTAGGGGAGTAACCCCACCACAAACATCTCCAGCAACTCCGCCTAGTGATTCCTACCCGTTTCGCCGACATTCACGAAGACCCACATCATGGGATAGTGCGAAAGAGTTTCGACCTTTATATCTTCCAGAAAGCGTTCGTCGCGATTCAATAATAGTCATCGAGGAGGAAGAGCAGCAGCCTCTACCAGAATTGCCCGCCAGCGTAACATCTTCCCGAAGTTCGTCGCAGGCGAACTTTGAGGGTGCGCTCACAATGCACGAGCCTTTCCCCGACTTGAGTGGTCGTTCCAAGGTGCCTCTTTCGCTTAAAACAGATTTCTCCTCAGAAGAGCATCCTAGAGGGTTACTGGACTCCCAACAATCAACGCCTAAAGCCAGAATTCCATTCCGGGATGATGAAAGCGACCCCTTTGGTACCGAGTTTCACAACCGTGATATTGTTGGTGGTGCATTTGCTGGAGCTGCACTTGTAGGAACAGCAGCATATCTTGCCTCTTCAAGTCAAGAAGCGCAGGAAGACCTGCCTCCGCCATTCGAACCCACAAGCAAAGACAGCAGCTCCTTTTTGTTGCATTCGTCGCCAATTTCCAGAAGAGATGATAGCTCTGTTGACCACAATACTGATTCACCTAGTCGTGGGAAATCACCCAACTTTGAAGACCCCCCGAAAAGTATTGAGGCCAGTCGAGAACAAGCGCTTAGATTCCTAACTGGCGAGACACTAACACAGGATGAACCCGAAGCACCCTTGGCTAAATCCAAGAAGGGCAAGGAAAAAGAGGAAAAGAAAGGTCAACTTTCACGTTCTTCTACCCAGGATGATCTTTCCTTATCTGAGCCAGTGGTCGATGCCGACACTGTTGCGGCAAAGCAAGAATCCGAACTCATGTCCTTGTTGAAGAAGGACATGAAAAAAAGGAAATCAGCAACTTGGGAGATGGGTGCGCCCGCACCCTCTCCTTCAAAGATCGAAGAATTGATGCCAGATTCGAGCAAGGAGCTTGTTGAGCAGATGCCCGAAGTTGTACCTGCCGACGAGGTCTCTACTCCGACCAAGAAGGGGAAGAAAAAGAACAAAAAGAGCAAATCTACTGCTTCGGAACCTGAGCCAGAGCCAGAGATTGTTGGAAAGGCCTCACGCGATGTCCACCCGGAACTTGATGCGGATGCCAATGAAGAGTTTCATGATTTTGCGGAAGAGAGCCACCAAACCATAGAGCTTGAGCAGCCAAAACCCAAAATCTCTGAAGTCTCGTCTCCTAGTCCCAAAAAGGGAAAGAAGAAGTCCAAAAGATCCCAATCATCGGATGTCACAGTGGAGCTTCTGCCTTCCACATCAGAGCTTGAGCCTTCTCTCGAAAAGAACCAAACGGAGATTTCTGAAACTCCCAATGTCATCCAAGACTTCGCTACACCACTATCCAAAAAGGAAAAGATAAATCACGAAGCTCAAACTTTGGAGACAGAGGAATCACCAGCTGACTTTTTCACTCCCGCTGAGAGTATGACTGCTCGTAACGGCTCCTCGCAAAGTAAAGATTACTTCTCTGGGGCAGTAATTCCTGCCGCTGCGGTGGTTGCTGGTGCCGCTCTTGTCGCCGCAAACCAGGACGAGTCCAATATTGAGTCAGAATCGAAACTGCTGACTCCTGATGCATCCAAAATTGCAGAACAACTTACTCTTGCCAAGCAATTGCGAGAAGATTTTTCTTCTGGAAGTAAAAAATCGAAGAAAGACAAGAAGAAGCGGCAAAGCTTCCCTGCAACGCCAGTTCCTGAACAGTTCAGATCGCGTGTTGTCGATGAGCTCTCTGATGTGCAGATCCGTGCACGCAGTCTATCAACAGGGCCAGCTACAGACGGCGACCGATCGAAGACAGTGTTCTCCGAAGATCAACTTGAATTCGCTCGTCAATTGAAAGCGGATTTTGAAAAAGGCAGTAGCAAGAAGTCAAACAAAGGCAGGAACAAGCGACAAGACTCTGCAACTTGGGACGATGACATCGCCAATCAACCTGTCGAGGAGCTGCCTATTGGACAAGACGAACGCATTCCCGTGCAGGACGTTGGTCATACCTCCGAAGCGAATGTGCTCCCAACTGGATATGAAGAAAGTCAACTGAAACTTGCGCGTCAAATGAAAGCAGACTTCGAAAAGGGCAACAAAAAGTCGAAGAAGGACAAGAAAAAGCGGCAAGAAACTTCTACTTGGGATGAGGAGCCTCCAGTGGCATCTGTTGAACAGAATGTACCTGTATCGGAAGTTTTGCCTGCTCCAGAAGCCACTAAGGATGTCTCTAAACCTGACGTTGCTCCAATGGTTTACGACGAAAATCAGCTCTCTCTCGCTCGACAAATGCAGGCAGATTTCACCAAAAAGTCGAAGGACGAAAAGGGCCGCAGCAGATCTCAGACACCTCAGCCGAAAGAACCAGCGGAAGATTACTTTGGAAGCTCTTCCCAAATTGCTGCTTCCGAGGAGCCACAAATCAACGAAACAACCACTTCCCTTGAACCAGAATCAGAGTCCAAAGACCCTTCTCATGAAGGGATAGTAAGCAGATATGATGCAGACCAGCTTGAACTCGCGCGACAGATGAAGGAAGATATTGCGGCTGCACCTTTAAAGAAGGACAAGAAGAATAAAAAGGGCAAAAAGCGAGAAAACTTGCTACAAAATCCAACCGGTGACGACGTGCTTTCTCAAGCACCAATGACTGACGAGCTGGCCGACCCGCTTAATGCAGAAGCTTCAATTTTGCAACCTGAGGCCACCGAAACTTCTTTCACCGCTAATCCAGAAGATGAATTTGCATCCACATCCAAGAAATCGAAGAAAGACAAGAAAGGGAAGAAGCGTGATACTTCCGAACCTCCCGTAGATGTGCAAAAGTCTGTGGTCGATCCACCCGTCGTTGAGCCGGAAATGCCTGATACTCTCTTGGCTGTCGATCTAGTGGATGGATCTGCTCCTACCCCGAAGAAATCCAAGACAGATAAAAAGGGCAAGAAACGTGATAGCGTTGTTTCTACCATTGATGATGAAATATCCTCGGGCGCTGCTGTTCCGGAATCCCGAGAGCCAGTTGCTGAAGTTTCGCAATCTCGGGAGATGGATACCGTCACCACACCGGCGGAACCTGAGGACAACTTTGTTAGCTCTTCCGAAGAATCCAAGAAGGGGAAAACCTATGGTAGTCTAGTACAACCCATTGCTGATGACCCTCCTTCTATGGTGTCTCAAGAGCCAGTCGATATAAATACCTTGCAGACACAATCACAGGAGGAGGTTCCTCGCAACCCGGAAGATGACTTTGCCCTCTCTTCAACAAATAAAGACAAGAAGCTTGAAAGCAACATAATTGTTGAGGGAAATCTACCTGCAAGCCCTGCTACTGACGATTCTGAGCTTGTTCGAAGTGTTGATGTCGGCGAGATCGTGCAAGAAGCAATTGAAATCACATCGGTTCCCAAGGATGATGATATCTCGGTTTCTAGCTCAAAAGGTTACAAGGATGAAAAGAGCAAAAAGCAAGAAAGCAGTGATTTCCACGACCAACCCCCAGAAGCGCCAGCTCCCGAAGTCGAGAGCGCACGGGAAACTGCTACTATACAGTCCGACGAGAGCCAGCTTCCAACCGGATCCGTAAATGATTCCGAATTCTTAGACGAGAAGATACTCAAAAAGGACGAAAAGGGAAAGGAGGCCGAAGAAGTACCACAAGAGGAGAGCACATCATCATCACCAGAGGAACCCTCGACACCAACCGAGACTTTTTCATCAATTCCATCCCCTGAGCCACTGGGCGAGGCGGCAGAGGTCTCGGGATATTCGCCAATAAAATCTAAGAAGGATAAGAAAAAGCGTGGCAGTTTACTCCGCTACTCGTCAACTTATGATGATTTCACAGATGAGCCTGCTAAGACATTCGACGTGCAGCCGGATACAGCTGAGAATGTGGCAGCCATTACCCCATCAGAAGTTGATGTTGAGGTTGAGGCACCCTCCGAGGTTCAAAATAACAAGGAAAGGGGTAAGGCAGTGATTGAAACCTTCACATCTGAGGAACCTATGCAGGATGTTCAGAAATCGATTTTCGAAGAACCTTATACGCCAGATCTCCCAGCATCAAGTACAATTGCAGATGATTTGACCCCAGCGCAGCCTGTCACTCTCGAGCAAAAGTCTGATTTGACCCCAGCAGTCATCAGTTCCAACGAGCCACTTGCTCAAGCTGCGGAGGATACTTTTGACGACTTGACCTCCCCTCAAAATTCCAAGAAAGACGACGAGGAGGGTAAGAGCAAAGATTCTTCAAAAGATGTGTCCGCAAGTTTGACTCCTTTGGGAGAGCCAATGAATGAAGAAGTCGAGTCAGCTCTCCCCTCTCAAAATGAGGCGCAGAAATCTACCTTTGATGAGCCTCAATTAGGTACGTCGATTGATACAGAAGGCACGGGTGTCTGGGATGCCTTTACGTCCTCTAAAAAATCCAAGAAAGACAAAAAGAAGCAGAAGAAACAGTCATTGGATTCTGGCGAAACTTCCGGAATTTCTACTTCTACGGGAACCGGTGAGTCTGCCGAAGACATTCTGGAGCCCGCCGTACTCCCAGAAGCCGTTCCTGATAAAGAAACTGCTCCTTCAGATTTGAAATTGGACAAGCAGGTTGAAGTGACCGAGAAGTCTATCACACAGGTACAGGAAGTAGACGAGTTGTCGGCGAAATCTTCCAAGAAGAACAAGAAGAAGAAGCGCAAGTCTGGAGTCTCTACACCAATTGAGGAGCCACTCGTCACTGAGGAAAATGTGTCTGAGCCAATTGAAACTTCCAAGCCTGTCGACGTGCCTGAACTGCCTTTAACAGAAGAGCCCCTATCCCTTAATGAGGAGCCACTTGCCGTGCAGGATGAGGTTGCATCTTCGTCTCCAAAGCCATCCAAGAAGGACAAGAAGGCGAAAAAATCTAAATCGGACATCTCAACGCCTATCGAGATCGCAGAGCCTATTGAATCGGGGATCCCGGAAAGTATCCTTTCATCAACCATGGAAGAGCTAAAGAAAACCGAAGATATCCCTCCCGCAAGTTTTGATGACACTCTCAAGGCATTCAATAAGGATGAGAGAAATATTAAAGACTCCATCCCATTCGAAGGTGTCTCTGAACTTGTAGTCGAGCCTACGCCCATTACTGAAGAGGTCCCGTCATTCACAGTGACTGTTTCCGAAGAGCTCTTCGAGGAATCTCTCCAGATTGAAGAGCCAATTCAGGAGACAGCTCACGAGTTGAGTTTTTCCAACAGCAAAAGATCCGAAGAGGACAAGAAAGATCGCAAATCTGAATTGTCTACTCCTGTCGAGGAGTCCTTGCCTGACTCTGCTAAAGCCTTCGAATCCCCTGCTGGAGAAAAACTGTCTGTCGAAAGTGAAAATCCTCTCGCGCAGCCTGTAGACAACCAATGGGCCGCTGTCTCAACCCAGGAGTCTGAGAAGGACAAAAATGACGAAACCGTCCTCTCTCCACCCAGCATGGAAACCTTCGAAAAGCCAGCTAACAGCGAGGAACCTACGGCAAAACTCGATGAACCTGTTGTCAAAGAAGACGTTCTCCCAATATCTGACAACTTAACAGAGCCTGTGGCTACACCTCTAGAAGAGCCAATTCAAACCCCAATTGAGGACCAATTCAACTCCGTCTCGAGCAAGAAATCAAAGAAAGACAAGAAGAAGAATCGCAAATCGGGTTCATCGACACTGATGGAAGATACTCAATATTCCCCGGGTCAAGAAGCCTCTGTCCAAGATCCAGACATCAAACCCAGTGAAATTGTTGAAGAACTTCCCAAAACCGACGAGACCCAGACGTCCACCACTGATGTGGGGTCTCAGCCAGCTATTGAAGACGAATTGGCTTTGACCTCTTCCAAGAAATCCCAAAAAGACAAGAAAGAGAACAAGTCGGGTACTTCGACGCCGCTTGAGGCAGATCCGATCGTCCAGAACAGTGAACCCGGAAAACTGGTCCTTGAAGTGCCACAGACTATTGAATCTTCTACTCACGAGGTAGTCGAGACGCCGGTGGAAGATTTGCCTTCAACGCCCCCAAAGAAATCTAAAAAGAACAAGAAGAAAAACAAATCTGTCAGTTCCATCACAACCGAGGTCGAGCCAATTCCCGAGTCCAGTGTATCCGAAGAACAGACACGCGATACTCCAGAAATTACCACAGAGATTGCCCAAGAGATTGCCCCAGAAGTTGTCCCAGAGGTTGTCCCGGAGGTAGCCAAGTCCACTGCCGAAGAGAAAATCGAAGAAATAATCAATGAACCGGCCTCCAAAAAGTCCAAGAAGAAGAAGAAAAAGAAGTCCGGCATTTCAACACCTCTTGATGCAGAAGCTGAGGAAAGTGTGCCTTCAACTCCCATTGTCGAACAAAGTCCGGAGACGATGGATCTATCTGTCGATGAGGGGGCTCTCTCTTCTTTCAAGCAGCCCGAAAAGGACATAGAGATGAATGAATCGGCTCTCCCAACCTCAATCAGTGACTCTAATGTCACCCAAGAACCTGATCTCGTGACGGAAAAGGTTACCACAGCCGCAATGCAAGATGTGATCGAGGAAAGTTCAGACAAGCCACTTGAAGATTCAGAGCAGCCGATCGACAACCCCTCAGGTGCAAGCGCACAACCCGAGATCGAGGATCCTGCTAAGGAGTTGGCCTCGTCCTCTTCCAAGAAGTCGAAGAAAGACAAAAAGAAACGCAAGTCTCAAATTTCTGAGGAGCCAAAGGAGAAGGGGATGCCAGATAAAGAGCCTGTTAAGACAGAAATTACCTGTGAGCCTATACCTGCTGAGGAACCCCCTGCCAATTTTTCCATACAGTCCGTAACCGAGAATGTTGCCAAGCAGGAGATCGTTGAGTCAAGAACTACAGAAAATATATCTCCTGGGGATTCTCCACGCGAGCTCGAGGATGAAGTGGGGCACAGCCAGAAATCTCAAGAGGGCGAAGGCAAGATGGTTACGAAGGACGAGGTTCCAGATATCGAACAACCGACTTCCACATCTCGAGTAGTCGATAATGATGTATGTCTCTCGAAAGAAGATCCGCAAGTTATTGAGCAATCAACCACTTCCACAAAGGGCGATTTGCCTGCATTGGAGGATATATTTCCAGTATATGAACAGCCGATATCCATATCTCCCGCAAACGATAATGATTTACCTCTCTCGGAAGAAGATCCGCCAGTTGTCGAGCAATCCACAACTTCCGCAAAGGACGATTTACCTGCCTTGGAGGATGTGCTTCCAGCTATCAACCAGCCAGTGCTTCTTGTAAGCGACACGGACATAGCTACCTCGAAAGATATGGTCGAAGCCGGCGACTTATCTGACCCTGTACCAGAGTCGGTGGATGAGTTTGCATCTTTCCCAACCAAGGATAGCAAGAAGGATAAGAAAGATGATGGCAAGAGCAAAGCTGTAGTGGAAGAAACTACGGCTGAGAAATCATACATGACACCGCCGCCACAGGAAGATACATTTGAGGAAGCCAAAGTCTCTGAGCCTTTGGTATCGCAAAATCCACAGAATATGACTGAAGAGGAATGGGGAACGCCAGAGAAGGCAAAAAAGGATAGAAATGGTGAAGACAAATACCGAGACAACTTCGAGCCAGACACTCCCATTCTGCTTGAACAACGACCTGCCACACCTCCTCCTGAATTCATCGCAGCGCCTGCTTTAGTGGAAGAAATTCCGAAAGACATCGATGTCGAAGAACCTAAGAAAGAATTGGAACCTTCTTCCTTGAGCAATTCCGTGAAAGAGGAAAAGAAGCAGAAATCTAGTATTTCAACGCCTCTCGAGGAGGCAATTGTACTAGATGAACACAAGTCCAAGGATATCGAATTGGACATCATCAAATCCCAGCCTCTTTACGCCGAACCTGCCGAGGTCGAGTCTATTGTGGAGAATATTCAAGACGTGCCTCGTGGCGACTCTGTCACTGAAGCCAACGACGTTCTCCCGCCAGCCACACCAACTCAAGCGGATTCTCTGTCTGCCATTGAACCTTCTACTATCGACCCCATGATTTCTAAAAATGTCGAAGATGAAAAATCTCAAGACATGTTAGAGACAACTCAGTCCAAGAAAATTGAAGACGATGAGTCTACCGTTGGGAGCATATCAAGAAAAGCTTTAAAGAAAGATAAAAGAAAACGGCAAGCGTCCACCACAGATACAGTCGTAGCAGACGAGATCAAAGCACCGTTGACATCTTGGGCCAATGATGTGGAAGAAGCGGAAGTAGAAAGAGAAGTTCCTGTTATCCAGGAGATTGCAGTTGATGAATCGTTGTCTCATATTGCAAAATCTACCGAAGCATCGCCTGTAGATGATTTTGTGTGGCCAAATAAAAAGGGCAGAAAATGGAAGAAGCAAAAGTCCGTAGACATGTCAAGAGCACCAGTTTCATTTGATCCTGCAAAAAATTCGCCAACCAAGGATAGCAATACCCCTATTGTTGCAACCGCGAGTACTGTTCTTGCGGGAGCTGCGTTAATTGAGAAGTTGAATGAGAAGGAGGTCGAGCCCGCCAAGGAGCCAGAAACACCGACAACACCAACCAGGAAGTTGACGAAGAAGGAGAAGCGTAATATGAGCATTGACAGACGGGTCCCAAGTACCCATATGTTTGATGACGATGCTTTATGGGAGGGTGCGGACCCAAAGAACTTCGAGGAAAAGGATACACAGGAAGCCGACAACGGGAATGATGGCTTTTGGTCTCCTGCACAGCAAGTGGAACCAAGCCTTACTGCAGAGACTACATTTGAGGAGACAACATCTAGAGACCACACAACGCCATCCGAAGACGGGCAAACTAGTATTGCTTCCACACCGCCAATTGAAAAGCCATTTTCGCGACCAAGTGATATATCGTTGGCCAGGACAATAGCGCATGACTCGGCACCACAGACTCCAGATTCTGCATCTAGTCCACGTTCATCAATAATTGATCTGGCTCTAGGTGGACTAAACCCCTTCCGCAGATCTCGACTCAGCGGGATGTTCGATTTGCCCGCAGTCGAGGAAGAAAACATCCTCGAATCAGAACATCACCCAGCACCACATATTGTAGATTCGCAAAGTGCCAATCGAGACAGTGGTTTTGTAACGACTTCGCCAGTTCCATTGCAGGGCTCTTTTGCCGATGACCATGGGCGCATTCGTGACAGCGGTGTTCACATGCGCGATTTCTCGCCAGCACCGGAACCTGTCTCTACTTCAGATGCAGCAATCTCAAGACTTCCATGGCCAGAGGTAGATGAAGAAACCGAGACCGTTGATCTCAAATCGCAAAAGCAGAGACCAGTGACTCCAGTCAAGGAAAAACGAGACGACGAAGCACGTCGAAGTCGTGAATTCTATGTTCCAAAAGAAGAGCAGAAACACGACAGCGAGAAGAAACACCGTGAAGACAAGTCTCACCGGGAGCAAGAATTTGTTATTCCAAAAGAAGATAACGTTAAGAGTATCTTCTCATCGGGGCCATCTGATGGAAAGCGAACAGTGCATCATGACGAGAGGCCCAGGTCCAGCTTGGATATTCTTCCATCACAGATGGAAAGGGAGAGTACACGTACAGACCTCCATCGTACTTCGGCAATTCACAAGCACGGACATGGTAGCACGGAACTCCACCATGACGAGAAGCGCACAAAGGTTGAGCTTCTACCATCCAAACTAGCCAAGGGAGATAGTGAAGAGCATCGTTCTTCTGCATTTAGTCGGGCAATTGAAGTTACGCCGACGCCCAGCTTGCGACATGGAGATCAGCTCATTGGTCGAGATATTACTCCAACAAAATCGGACAAGGGAGATGAATCGCATGCCTCGAAACGAAGTACCCCAGGCAGTAGTAGGAATACAGCCGAGGAGAGCATTATCCAGCAACGCCTTGGAAGATTCGACACCCCAGAACTACCCTCGCCATCACGGTCCAAAGGAGATCGGCAAATAGTGAAGCAACAACGCAGTCAATCTCCGGAAGTCCCTGTATCATCGCAACCAAAGAAGCAAGAGAGCTACGCGGAACTCAGGCATCTCGCTCGTCCCAAGGCCGAGCAGGAACGAACTGTTAGTGACAATACAATTGCCGCGGGTGTTGCAGTTGTCGGAGCTGCCGGGATCGGGTTCGCAGCAGCACGACAATTGAGTCAAGAAAAACGATCGTCGAGTGCTGCGAGTCAAAAGTCCATCTCCAATATCAATCGATTGCGAACACCAAACCGGTCGGACAGTGTCAACAGTAGCAGCAATCGCTCCGGTACGCCCCCGCTACGGCGGTCGGATCGCAAAGTGGCCGGGGATCTGCGGTCCCTGAGCCAACGAAGTCAGGCGGATCTCGCTAAAGAAGCTGAGCTCGCAGCGCTCACCTCCACTTCGCCAGCGAATGCGACAAACACCACAACTCCAGCAAATCCAACCGCCAACGAGGGCCGAGTGCGGGCCAAGGAAATGGCAGATGTCTACGTAAGTGCATCACAACATACATTGACATTGTTTTCACAGCTAACGGATGAACAGGATGGCGTCGGTGAAGGTCGCATGGGCTCACCGCGGTCTCCCACCCGACCCCACAGCATGCGTCGCCGACAAAGCATGCAAGTGCTTGACCTCGAATCCAAAGTCGAACAATTAGCTGCCGAAAATCGCATGCTCGCAGAAGCTAAAGCCCAAGCCGAACGTACACTGCAGTCCTCCACGAATACTGCCTCATCTTTGGTCGAAAAAGACGCAGAAATCGATAGTCTCAAGCGAACACTCGATTGGTTGACAAATGAGGTTAGCAGACTTACTGAAGTCAATGCGGGATTGACAAGTGCGAACGTTACAATTGGAAACCAACAGAATGAACGATATAGCCAACTCGAATCGCAACATGCGCAAACCTCACGGGAGCTTCAAGAAGTACGGGATGCGCACAAAGGGTTGTCAGATGGGATGGAGGCTATCGTGATCACTCAAGTTAAATCAGCTGTCCAAGAGAAAGATCAAGAGATTGCGAACCTCCGCGCCGAATTGGAGGAAACCAAAAATAAGATTCGGGAGATGCAAGCGAAGATTCTTCTGTCAAAATCTGGTGACATCGACTTTCTCACAGTTCGGGATGAGGACTACTTTGAAAGCACTTGCGAAAAGCTATGTCTACATGTGCAACAATGGGTTCTACGGTTCTCAAAGTTCTCCGATATGAGAGCCTGTAGGCTCACGACCGAAATCAATAATGACAAAACTATCGATCGACTCGATAACGCAATATTGGATGGATCAGATGTGGATAGCTATCTTACAGATAGGGTGAAGCGAAGAGATGTCTTTATGTCAATGACAATGACAATGGTCTGGGAGTTTATATTCACTCGATATCTCTTTGGTATGGACCGGGAGCAACGACAAAAGCTCAAGTCATTGGAGAAACTTCTTTCGGAGGTTGGACCTGCAGCAGCAGTCCACCAATGGCGTGCAACGACTCTCACACTATTGTCCAAAAGGGAATCTTTTATTCAACAAAGGGGACAAGATACCCAGGCAGTCGTTCACGCTATCCTGGAAACCTTGAGCGAGATCCTTCCACCGCCAAGTCACCTCGAAGCCCAAATTGAGGAACAACTTACAAGAGTTATCAAATCAGCCGTGGATCTCTCTATCGAGATGCGCACACAACGTGCGGAATATATGATGTTGCCACCTCTTCAACCAGAGTACGATGCCAATGGCGACCTGGCCAGTAAGGTTTCCTTCAATGCAGCTCTCATGAATGAGCGAAGTGGGGATACCATCTCCAACGACACGCTTGAAAAGGAACAGGCTGTCGTGCGAGTTGTACTCTTCCCACTTGTCGTGAAGAAGGGCGATGACAGAGGAGAGGGTGATGAGGAGATTGTTGTTTGTCCTGCTCAGTAAGCTTTAGTTTTTTTATTCCTTTTTCTTATAGCTATATTCTAACTTATTCTAGGGTATTGGTAGCTAAAGCCAAGCGAGTCAGGATGATGTCCCCTGGTAGAAATATTTCGAAGACTAGTATGCAGAGTAGTATGCCAGCGGACTACAATGATCAGGATGAGGAAGAGCAGCTATGATAATAGAGATTGAGTGCGTTTTACTGTTTCTATGGAGGGGAGAGCAAATGATATCCTTTTGCGTTTCATTTCTTAATTTTGTTTAGGGTGTTTTCATTTTTCCCCTTTGTATGTTGTAGGAATGGGAATGGGGATAGGGGATGGGGGATGGGGGATGGGGTAGGTGGCGGTGATGAAGGGATTGCATATGGATTGAATAAGGATTGCATAGGGATCTGGCGTTGGAAATATCCTGAGGTGGTGCACACCTTATTCACGTAATGATGAGATGACGACCTTAATTATTGAAGGATGGTTGGCAGCTGTACGCAGTATTATATAGGTTCTAATTTCCTTGAGTTAATTAAAAGCGTTGATCAATTGATTGTTTTTGAGTCATGACAGTGACGTTTATGATATAGATATGATGTGATGGTAAGAGATGATTTACTTGATGCTTATGTTGTTTGGATAGGAGGGAATGGAAAGAGGAGCGTTCTTTTTAAAGAAACGCTGGCTTCACTTTATGCCATCATTTACACTTACCGTAGTCCGTAGACTCTGAGCAAATTCACCTCTGTTCTGACCAGAAGGGGGAAGCTGCTGTTAGTGAACAGTCCCTAATTCCCATCATATCAGAGGCGGCAGGACCTTGGCGCTAGACATATATCAAATATTAAGCAGCCTTGTTCCTTCTACAACACAACTTTCAACTCAACTTTAATTATTCCTCAAACAAGCTTCAAAATACCTCAGACAGAGCTCGACTCTTCCAAACAACTTCTTCAACGACATCTCCTACTGGAGGACATGCATCAGTAGTTTTCTTTGAAATCGGCATACTATCAATAGAGTACAGGTGAGCCCATCCCATAACACTAACAAGCAACATATTCCCGCTTACATCTTGTTAAAGGTTCCTTTACAGACTGCTCAGCCCAGTCCTTTCTCGTAACGAAGCGGTACTTGAACTCATCAATAGCGCCTTCAGCTTTGCAGAGTAACCACTCTCTTACCTTCGAATCAATTTCGCGAACACTTGTGGCAAGTACAACTACCTGGTATTGGCTCTGATATCCAAAATTCGGAAAGTCCTCAGAATCGAGAGTTCGTGTTTCCTCTACAGCATGCCTCAAGAACTCCCAACTCAGGAGGCTATTACCGCTGGTTCCTCATTTGCATTCTTCCCGAAGCTTGCCGATGAGCTTCGCTTGATGGTCTGGAAACATGCTCTCTCAGAGCCGCGAATCCTGGCGCCAAATTGTGCGAGACAGGATTGTACCAATTCGAGACTGGTCAAAATTGACGACCCTATTCCAACGGCGCTTCTTCATACTTGCTTCGAATCTCGACAGCTTACTCGTGATATCTACTCCGAGATATATCCAGGCGCATATATGGACTTGAGCAGTGATAGACTTCGGGTATTTGGAGAGGAATACATGGATTTTCAGTTCAAATCCAAGTACGTGGAGCGGACAGTGGGAGAATTCTGGTTGCCTCGAGTTCAACTTTTACAATTCGGAGCCTTGCCCCCTCCTCTGCGCTATGGTTACGATAGGGAGGGTATACCCTCACCGTACCATTCAAGACTGTCCTGGGCTGCATATATTGAATACTTGGTTGAGATTACGTTTTGGCGCATGGATGCTCTCAAACACATTGCTATTGAAGGCGAGAATGTAGGTGCGAATCCATTGTATGAAGGAATAGATGGACTTCGAGAGGGGAAGACCTCGGACCTCTCGGGCATCGCAGATGAATTGTACAAGGCTCATATGGAGGATGGATCCACTGAAAAGGCTGAAGCCTTCAAACCGTATGTTCGGAAAGCACTCTCTGGAATTTTTGTCACCTTTATTCGGGATCCTGGTGTACAACATTGGGTTCGACCCTCTGAGTCATATCGGGACGTAGAAGCTAATGAACAAAAGCAGTGGATTACTTTTTACTACTTGCGAACCCCTCTTGACCGTGCCATATGAATGCTCATAAGATTACCTACATCTGAACCACTAAACCGCCCTTAGGTTTTTACAGTAACATTCAATAGACTAACTTGGTCAAGAAATGAAGCTGTGTGTTCTGAAAAATGTTTATTTATATTCATCTCCTCACTTTTCATAGACAATAGTTAAGTCAGTAACATTTAATTAACTTATTAAGTACTTGATTTATTTTAAAGGTATTTACCAGGCTTAGTGTCAACCAGATATTTTTAATGAACGCCTCGAAAGAAAGTACTTTATATAGAGAAGGCTACATAGTATCTAAGAAATAGAGTAATACAAAGTTTTTAGAGTAGTGGTATGATTGGCCAATTCCAGAGTCAGTTACGTACTGTTTCGTGAAGTAGAACATCATGTGACTGAGTCCAAAAGATTCTACCGGGCCCCTAGGCTTAGTTACTGTAATTGTACTTCTGCCCACCAAGAAGCTGCCTTTCATATACTAATATCTAATACAAAAAGGTTGTAATGTTTTCTTACCGCTATCACGTGTTTGTGGCCAGGTTTCCAAGTTCTCATCGGCTTTTCCCCGTCCAGCCAAGACTGATATCTCCAAAAGTTCTCCTGTCAGCACTTTTCTCCACCCCAACGAACAGGCCTGGCGAGTAGTAGTCGCGGGATGATAAGAATCCCATGGGCCCTGGTTCAATGAATCTATACCGACACCCCATCTTTGACACGGCACGGAGAGAGCGAGTGTGTAAGAGCAATGAGTGCTTATCAACATGCCCGCTATCCAGGTCAATTATGGAAACCTGACCGCTGTAAAGTTTCGATAAATGGGATGTTTCATCTGCCATTCAGGAAAATGATAGATGGTATAAGTATAAGGGTAACCCGATTTCTCTGGCGCAATCCGGTTATTGTTTTGTCTTTTGTCTTTTGCCATTTCTCTTTTCTCGCCATGGATCCAGAAAAATCCGCGGGGAAATCCCCTTCGACAGGATCTGTAACAGACATCAGCACAGGTGAAAATGCGATTCCTGTGGATCCTGTTTTCGGACAAACCAAACGTGGGCTTTCTGGTCGACATGTACAATTGATGGCGTTGGGAGGTTCCATTGGAACTGGGCTTTTCGTTGGAATTGGAGGCGTGTTGTCAACCTCTGGTCCACTTTCCCTGGTTCTGGGATATCTGTTTTACTGCATCACATTCATCTGGCCTTGTAATTTGGTTGTTGGGGAAATGGCCACTTACCTTCCCATTCGTGGTTCGATTTTCGAGTTCGCCAAGCGATATGTTGACGAGGCATTTGGATTTGCACTTGGATGGACCTATTTCTACACTGCAGCTATGCTTCTATGTGCAGAACTTTCTGCAGTAGCCACCGTATGTTTTCTTCAATATTGATTCCCTTTCCAGCCAAGAAGCTACGTGCTAATTTATTCAGGTCATTTCTTTCTGGGACTCGGAGACAAATCCTGCTGCGTGGGTGGCTTTGGCTTTGGCTGTTATGATTGTTCTAAATATCATTGCGGTGAAATGGTATGGAGAATCGGAATTCGTCATGGCTGTAAGTTTCACTTCCTTCATTCCTCAAGTACAGTTGCTGATACCATCAAGTCAACTAAAATTCTTCTCATCGTGGGTTTGATTGCTCTAACATTCGTCACCATGGTTGGCGGTAATCCCAAGCACGATGCATACGGATTCCGTTACTGGAAGAATGGTAATCATATCCACGCCTACTGGACAGACGGAGCTCTTGGAAATTTTCTTGGTTGGTGGAGAGTAGTTCTTTATGCTGCATTTTCCGTAGCTGGACCAGATCTTCTCGCGCTTGCTGCTGGAGAAATTCAAAACCCACGTCGCCAAATCCCCCGAGTTGCGAAACGTGCTTTCTACCGAATTGCTGGATTCTACGTGGTTGGTGTCTTCGCAGTTGGGATCCTCTGTTCCAGTCATGACCAACGCCTTATCAGCGCCCTCGCAGATGGACACAGTGGTGCTGCGGCTTCTCCTTGGGTCATTGGAATCCAAAACCTGGGAATTGAAGGTCTCCCTTCCTTCATTAATTTCCTCATTCTACTCTCCGCTTGGTCCTGCGGAAACGCCTACCTCTACGCTGCGTCCAGAACTCTTTACTCGCTAGCTTTGGACGGACAAGCTCCTCAAATTTTTAGAAAATGTACCAAATCTGGTGTTCCGCTTTATACAGTTGCCGTACCTTCACTCCTTGGATGTTTAGCGTTCATGGTGGCTAGCTCTTCTTCCGTTGAGGTCTTCGGCTGGTTCGTTTCTCTTTCGACTATTGGTTTCGTCCTCACGTATACTGGATACATTGTCACTTTCATCGGCTGGTATCGCGCTCTCAACGCGCAAGGCATTTCTCGCGATACTCTTCCATGGAAGGCCCCATTCATGCCTTATTTTGCCTACTGGGCTATTGGAACTGGTTGCGTTACGATCTTCTTTTCTGGCTGGAACACCTTTAAGCCATTTGACGTTCAAGGCTTCATCACATCTTATTTTGGCGTTGCATTTTCGGCCTTCATGTACACTTTGTGGAAGATCTTGAAGAGAACGAAAGCTGTAAACCCGGCTGAGGCAGATCTGGTAACCGGAAAGGCGGAAGTTGATGAAGAGTGCAGACATTGGGATGAGAACCCAGGGAAGGAGAGAGCTGAGATGACTCGCATGGAGAAGATTTGGGATTCTTGTTGGTAGAATATACCTCTGATTTATATAGTTCAAAAGTTTTCGAAGATATTAATATGTACACAACCTTACACAAATCGTAATTATGACCAATGCTCAGAGATATCCTTCTAATGGTAGATGCCTTTATTCCCATACCACTGCCGCCATTTCACATTACCCCTGTCGCATGACCGCGTAAATACAACGTATTCCTACCATTATGTGTTATTCGCATTCATCGTCAGATCTATTAATAAGTCCCCACCACCTCAAGACCCACACAAGATAAGATTCCCTGGATCTGGGAATTGACCATGGCTCGTGCTATCGCAACTAGGTCAATGTGAGCTCATATTTGTGGATACCCTGCTTGGCTTTTTGATATCTGGATGAGTATGTCATACGAGCTTGTCAAAGTTAGCTGACTTGATCTTGGACTTTGAATATGAAGTCAACAGTCGGGAAATAACATCATTATGTGGTGATTAATACCATATCACCTTTCTGGGATTTATGGATCAGGTGTAAGTCACGCCACTTTATCGCTCCTTATGGATATGGGGGTTTTGTAATTAAGCGAGGGCTTGTTTGCTGCACAAGCGGACCTCTTCTGTGTCTCCTAGAGTAGCGGACAAGAAAAGTGGCAGACTTCTTTTATTTAGCCCAACTCAACTAAGAACCATTCTATTGTATTATCTATTTAGACTAATCAACATGACTAACCAAAAACGATGCGACATTACTCGTAAAGTAATTGTTCTAGATATTGTACAACATTTTAATACTTAGAACTAACTTATGCTAATCTTTGAAAAAATGAATCTCTGCCACTTTTCTTGTCTACTGGGAGCGTGTTAACGTGGATTTATACTATTAAACAATCATACTTATAGGCAGGTTTCTTTTTACTTATAAACAAAACTAAACGAGTACCCCACCTTCTTTATTAGGGTAAGCGAATTTACCACAGTAATATTTTTCAAGTATTCTTTCTTAAATTATCCTATATCTTAATATACCCTATTTAGAACTCTTAATCTAAACTCCTCTACTTAATATAGGTTATAGATATAATTAATACCTTTATAACTAACTAGACCCTAATAAAATATAGTAAATAAGAAGCTAATTAAGTACTTGATTATTCTACTATAGATATAGCTAGTTTATATATATCTAGTTAACAAAGAGTTTTTAATAAAGTAGACTTGATATAGTAGGACAGATCACGTAATTTTAATAGCCCCCTTAATCTATACTATAAGAAGTAAGGTTATTCCTAGATTTTTAATCCTAGTATATACCTAAATTTATATAACCCTTCTTATAAGAGTACTTTTATAAGACTATTAGCCGCCTAGTAGTTTATAGGGATATATTAGTATATAATTATATCTAATTTAACCTATTCTTACTACTAGTAGTATTAGATACTAACGTATTTTATCTAGGGTATATAATATAGGTTCTTAGATAGTACAATTACCCTCTAGTTATTAGTAAATATAACTATTAGTTTATTATCTGATTAAATAGATAGTTTAGTAAGTAATTAATAAAGCTAAATAGCTTCCTTTCTAGCTATTATTTACGTAAATAACTTAGCCTTATAAGTAGATAATATAATAGTTTATCATCTTTTTAAGCTCTGAGATATTACTTTACTTCTAAGATTAAATAGATATTCTAACGTTAATCGGCTAGTATTTTTATTATCTACTTAACTAGCGTCTATATATTCTTAGAGTTCAGTATACTATTCTTTAAATATAAGTATAAGGTTAAGTATTCCCTTAAAATATCGGAATAACTTTTAAAGCGCTTATTTATATATTATTATTAGTTAGTAGAAGTAGTAGCTTAGTACTAATATAGGATATACTATATTAGAATAAGTCCCTAGTATTATATATATAATACTACTAATTTTTTACTAGTATTTTATAATTACTTCTGGTACCGCGTCTACTCTAGGGGAAACTAGCTTAAGTTAATAATTTAGATCTATTAGTAAATAAATGGATTATAGCTTTATATACTAAATTAATCTAGGAATCGCTTAATATATACCTTTTAATCTATTTAAATAATTTAGTTTTTCTAGTTCTAAGTTATTTAAATCTTTAGGTAGTATAATATAAGTCTTATATTTGTTATATTAAAGTATTATATAAGCGAAGTTTTTATTATAGATATATACCTTTTATCGGGTCCGATTAGTAAGATAATATTAATATATATTATAAGGAACGTTTAGTTATTTTTAAATATACTAGAGTTTAAAATAAATACTTTGAATCTAACCTTTTATAGTTTATTTATAAGTATTTTATACTAGGTTGGCGAGGTTTATTTTAGTTTATATAGTACCTTAACTAGCTTATATACCTAGGTATTATTCGATTCGAAACTAGTAGGTTATTTTATATATATCTTCTTATTAACCTTACTATATAAAAAGGCGGTTTTTATATTTATTTATTTGATTTTAAAATATTTCGAGACTACTAGAGTAAAGAGAGTCTTATACGTTATAGGCTTTATAACTAATATAAAAGTCTTATTAAAATTAATTCCTTCTTATTTAGTAAAACCTTATATAACCTAGTAAGCTTTATATTATATAATTCTACCTACTAAGTTTCGTTTAATTTTATATACCTATTATTCTCTAAGAGCCTTTCGATTTAGTAGTACTAGAGAGAACTCCTAAGTATTATTAGTGTTATAGAAACAGGAACAGTATATGTGGTTTGTATGAATATAATAAGTGTAAAGAGCGAAGGTGGCCTGAATGGCCGACCATATACAGAAGATTGTAACGAATACTCAAACTGGCTAACTAAACTTGGCTGGGTGTTCGCTGGTTGGTATGCTATGATAAGAAGAATACTATCGGGTTGTTCACTTGGAAGTGAACTCGTTACTTGTATCAAAGATGTCAAACTAATATGATAAGATTGATAACTAAGTTGAGCACGAAGCTCCTATCTAATGGCAGACGTGCCAGTATTATATAGAACCTTCGTTCTCGCGGATCAGTGCTCATCGCCCTGATCGATTCCGATTCCTCAGAGGTCGTCAGTCCGACCACCTCTGATGCCCATCAATCACGTGATAGTAACTAAAGGAAATCCATGGATCGCTTAGCTGGCCTAAGCAATCCCTATTTGCTATAAGAAACCTGGATGTGCCTGTCGAGGGTTGCGCCTCTTTATTATGACAAGTATCACGTGAGCACGTGATTCGTGACAAAGATGCTGACGTAATCCATGACGTCTATATAGCCGTCACAATTAGTAATAAGTAAGTTAAATTCGTTCTTTATTACCTTTATCTAGTAACTTAATTTAAGGGAGGATATAGTATCTTTATAAATTAATAGTTTCTTAGGTTCTTATATCTTTACGTCTAAAAGTAAAGCCTAGGAGTTTAGCTAAGTTTTAAAGGTCTTTCTTTTATATTAAGAAAAGTTATATATTCGAGTTTTATAGTTACTTTATAAATTGTATAATAGCTAGGAAATATTTATATTAGTAAGCTCTATAGTATTAGGGCTCTTATTAGAGCTCTTATTAGTACTTTTGAAATCTAAATCTTTAGATATATTGATTATATCCTAGTTAATTAGTATGGTTTCTATTATAAGTTTAATATCTTAGGAAGAGTTTATAAGATATAATTCTTATAATTCTTCTAAATTACTTCTAGGTATAAGTAAAGTATACTTTTTAGACGAGAACTAGACGTTAGTATAGTAAATAATTTAGCCTTTATAGAGAATTTAATATATATAGTCTCTCTTATAGCCTATTCTAATACTCTACTTAGCTTTACTTTCGAGTTTTAATATTTTATATTAAGAGCTTTTTTTAGAATAAGTAATTTATTCCAAAGGGTACTATGTATTTAAGACTAGGTTTTATACTAGTTTATATCTTATAGGGGATCTTTTTAAGTGAGGTAATAAATAATCTATTTTAAAGGTAATTTACTATTTATATAACTTTAGTCTAATATTATTTATTAAGGGTACTATCTAATAATATTAGTAATACCTTATTTATAATAGTTCGAACTAGTCTTTCTACTATACTATTCTATTATTATAAGTGTTATAGAAACAGGAACAGTGTATGTGAATGTGTAGATAGATTTATTATCGCTAAATAATTAGCTTAAAGATATTAAGTTAAATCGTTTACCGAGTATAAATGAAAGGTTTTAAAAGTATACTATATATAGACCCTAGTCTTCTTTATACTTTATTTATATAGTTCTAATTACTTTTAGTATAAGTATACTTCTAAAGCCTTAGATTAATTATATAATAGGTTATATAAATTCTAGTATAAACTAGGATTTAGATAAATAAACGTATTATAAGTAACCCGAGTCTATTATCTAATTAGAGGCTAAAGGTTTATTTATAAGGCTAAGTTCTTTAGCTTCTAATTAGATAAAATAAGCTATAGCTGTAGTAACTATATTTTTATTATTTATAATACTAGTTTTCTATTAGTTCTTATTATATTCTCGGTAGTACTTTCGGCTCGAATTATTCTTACTTTTATTATTATTTAAGTTCTTTAAGTAGTATATTATAATATTATAGTACGTTTTTTTATAGTATATATACTACTTTTCAAGCTTTATTTTATATATCTAATTTAGATTATTTATTAGTTTTGTTATTATTTTAGAATAAGTTAAAATAAAGGTACTTAGTAAAAAGATTTAGTAAAAGAAGTACTAGAAACGTATACTAAAATACTTTATACTATATTTTTAAAGTCTACTAATAAAAGATTATAAATATATTAATAATTTAAGAGCTAAAAGCTATATAACGTTCTAAGTCCTTTAATAAATTATTATATATAGAGGGGTTTATAAATAATAATAGAATAGATATTTATTAATTAGTTCTTAAGTTCTGTCACGAATCATGTGCACGCACGTGATGATTGAAGACCAGTGTCACGAATCATGTGCACGCACGTGATGAGTGAAGACCAGGCGGCGCCCTGACAGGTTAAGCACTATCATAGCTCTTATAGCAAATAGGGATCGACTAGGCTAGCTAGACGATCCAAGGATTTCCTTTAGTTACTGTCACGTGATTAATGGGCATCAGAGGTGGTCGGACTGACGACCTCTGAGGAATCGGAATCGATCAGGGCGATGAGCACTGATCCGCGAGAACGAAGGTTCTATATAATACTGGCACGTCTGCCATTAGATAGGAGCTTCGTGCTCAACTTAGTTATCAATCTTATCATATTAGTTTGACATCTTTGATACAAGTAACGAGTTCACTTCCAAGTGAACAACCCGATAGTCTTCTTCTTATCATAGCATACCAACCAGCGAACACCCAGCCAAGTTTAGTTAGCCAGTTTGAGTATTCGTTACAGTTCTTAGAGTTATTATATAAAATCTATAATATTATTATATTTTTTAAGGGTTAAATCGTAGTATTTATTATATAAGTAAGAGAGGTATTTACTACTAACTTCCTAATAGTTCTTTTGAAGGTATACTAATATAACCTAGAGAGCCGGTAAATGTTTACTAAAGGAAGTAAGAAGATTATTATAAATCTTTATAAATATTATTTTAATAATAAACCTTATTATAGCCTTCTTTTTAGCCTTTTAGATAGTACTTAAATTAGGTTATTATAGTAGAAGTATAAGCGTTATATATTATTCTATATCTCGCCTATAAAGCGTACTATATAGATCCTTATTCTATTATAAAAAGTCTAGTTTATTCTTAAGCTTATAAATCGAATCCGCGTTTTTAACGTTAATATATTTAGCTTTTAATATAGGAGAAGTAAGTAAAAGGTAGGTAGAATTATCTTTAAAATATATAGAAAATAGTACACTTAGTAATACTAAAAAAGCTAGATAACTCGGATTATATATATATTCAATAAGTATATCTATATCCGGAATTTAGAATATTTATAGCTTTAATAAAGTTAGCTTTAGTATAAAGGTTAGAGGTATAAATAAATATACGTTTATAAACGCTAAGAATATATAGTACGGATCCGGTTAGAAGTAGTCTTTATACTAGAAAAATTGTAATCGTATATAGCCCGATTCCGTACTAGGAATAGTATTTTTTCTAAAAATATTAGGTACGTAAGTAGTCTCCCTCCCTTTTACTTTCGGTTTTAAATAAAGGCGTTAAATTAGTTACGTGTACGTAGTAGTAAGCTAGGCTTATAACCTAATAAAATATAGTAAATAAGAAGCTGGTTGAGTACTTAATTATTCTACTATAGATATAGCTAGTTTATATATATCTAGCTAACAAAGAGTCTTTAATAAAGTAGACTTAATACAGTGGGCCGGATTACGTAATTTCAACAGACCCATCCTTCAACTTCCGGAAACTAAGCAGTAACACATATCCAAATCCCATACTAACTTACGTATGAAATCAAAATCACCATACCGAGAATTCAAAGCATCTCTAAGCGTTTTACCTTTCTCTGTGCATGTAGCGTTAACAAAACTAATCAAATTCTCAGCGCTACTCGAGTAGTACTCGAGTTGAGTTGAATAAGTATGAGTAGGTGATTCCGTAGAGTTGAGTTGAATAGGTGCCACTACTCAACTCATCTACTCGAATTTAATACGCTGAGTGCATGGAGTGTTGTCCAAGGCTCTTGACATAATCTGTTCGCGCCAGTTTCATTTAGGATGGCTGGACGATGTCTGTTGAGCAGAGCCCTTTTTTTTTCTTCTGGACGCCTGTAAAGATTGTTTCAAACTAGCTGGCCCCTTATCATTCCCTGTGACCTTGCCTGATCTCGTGGCGGCGTATGCGTTGATTGTCTCTGTCGGGCGTCCCACAGCCTGGTCTAACTCATTCCAAATAATGTTAACACCGTATGTGTCTCTAGTGTTTGCAGACATAGTACGGTCTCGTTGGGTCCAAGGATCTAGCACTGGGTTGGAAGGCTTGTTGTTCTCGGCTTGGTTGGATGGTCCCCCACTAATTGGTGCTTGGTTGTATTAGACTTTCTACGAGCTGATATCCTGATTTGGGTATTGGTTTTGTCCGAAATATTGAGCTTGGTAGGCCTCGGCGGAGTTCGCTGCGACTTGCATAGGACGTTGCCATCCCGGATTTCCCATGGGTCTTGAATCACTTTTTAAATACTCATCTGCCCGTCTGCGTTGTTACTCTCGGGGTAAACAACGAGAGAACTAAGTCGTTCCGCAACCCTTGAGACATCGTAAGACTTTATCCTAAGCTTGACAATCGCTATGTTGGGAGCTAATTGTTCATTTAATACGTATCGGTTAACATATGTGATTTTAGGAGATAGGGTTGTTGAAGTACTTGATTACCGTTTTAATGAGCTCTAGGGGGTTTGTGGTAGATATGTCGTTACTCGTACATGGAACCTCTTGCATAGATTTATCGTAGAAGAGGTTTAAGTAGGATGCTCTGCTTGGCTGTTGGTATCTCGTAGGTTCTCATTTATTTATTTCTCAGGGGAGTCGTGTTATATTTTGATAGAAATTAACAATATGGTTGGAACTTCGGGATAGGGAAAGAGTTCTTGATCGCATTTTTCTGGGATGGGAGTTCAGGGTTTGATTTGTCTGGATATGTGAACCGATTTGTTTGATTCCTACGAAAAAGGGCTTCACTTTCTTTCTAAATACGTCTATCAAGTACTATCTCTGTCCCTTATAATCTTAGGACTTTTCCATATCTCACTTCATGGCCATGTTGTAGTAGACCTTGGGTAGATATATATACATAAATCAAGCAGTACTATAATACATTAGCAATTTACCGTATTATAAAATACATCTCAATGCACCAAAAGCAGTCTATCCTATATTCTTATATTTCTCGTATATCATTACATTTATAAGTTTCCCAGTGTTTTAGCTAGAGTTCTTCATCCAGGTAGAGAAGTAATACTTGTGTTACAAAATCCTGTCGACTAATTCAGGCCACCCGCCTTTATAACACCACTTCAAATCCAGTTGAAGAACCTACCACAAGGAAGTCGAACATCCGTAACAATAGCGTTATGCCCCCCTCCCTGTCAACAAACTCATATAAATAAACTACTATAAAACTATATAGTAATATCCAGTAAAGTCTATACCCGCTTAAGCAATGTAGGGTTTGAGAAGCGGTTGGAGGTTATACGAGTTCAACGTACATCTCAATCATCTTCTATAATCAACACAAAGCTCAATTTGAATATTTTTACCTTCTAAGAATTTTCGCTAGTCTCAAATTATAGAGTCAAAGCCAGAGCTAGTATGAATAGAAGGAAACGCATGCTAAATAACTTGTGTATTAGATTTGCGCAAAGATCCAAGGAACTTCCAAGGAAAAGGATGAGATGCTTCCCCTCCATCCATACAAGAGAAGAAGCATAGCTCATACCACCTTAAAACGAATTCCTCAATACTCCTCGTAGAGGTTGCAGATATCAATAACCCCACACAGATAGCGATTATCACTCAAAGCTAATCAGGCTGTTGTAGTATACAGTACTTGTAGTGTTACTTTCACTATAGGATTTAAATTCAAGAGGATAGATGATGGTTCTTATAGTACGTAGTAGTAGTACGGAGACATGGTGGCAGAAGGTAGTGTGTATTCACTACTATAAACTTCCAGCATTGACCTCAAAACCTGTGTTGTCAGTAGTGAATAGAGAGCAGGAAAGTATTAACTAGAATTTTCTCTTTTCAGTATATAATAGCGAAAGTCAATCATCCTTTTGTTTTCATTACAGGACGATGCAAAAGCAGCCGCTACGGAAGTACACCTTATAAATTTCATTTCAAAGCAGAGGGAAAAAGAGCATCAAATTGAAAACGAAGAGCACACTACGTCTATCTACGCCATGCAGGACAACGAGTCCGAAAAGCGAAGCAATGAAAACAATCAAGAACATTTTTCATCTTCTCCCCTTTTTCCTCCCAGATGACCCAACAGGCTTCCTACTAACATTCCTTGATTCCCGTGATTCCTTCGGAGGCGTCGGATCCCGCTCCTCAGGAGAGACCTGAGCCCCGTTTCCAAGTTCGTCACTCTGATCCGAGGAAGAACTGTTCGCAAGTTCGTCACGATAAGAGCCACGATTTCTTAAAGCAGGGTCGGAGGCAGGTCCTCGAGAGGAAACGGGATATCCATTTCCAGCGGGTGGACTACGTCGAACCATCGAATAAGAGACCTCTGAAGGACCAGAGTTATTTCGACGGCCTTGTTGTTGATGCTGAAAGAAATGGTCAGGAATCCTAGGTGGATGTGCTGAAGAAGTTTGGTATTCAAAAGGGTCGATTTGGTAATTTTGGGAGGAAATAGAGCTGCGTCGAGAGCTACCAGGCACCCAGCCTTCGTCGTCCGGCACAGGACGGCGAGAGCTAGTGCTTGAAGATGATGTGGGACGCATACCATCTGAAAAATGACGATTGGAAAGAGGCGAAGGATATAAGGGCGGAGGCTGCTGGATAGATGTTGATCGAGCACGACTCGGTGAACCACGACTTGAGCTATTGGGTGGATAGTAGCCAACTGGAGCATATACCGGTCCATCAGGGCCAGCAATGAGGATTCCTGGTGGATTCGACACTGACGACCTTGATTGCGAGGTATCCCGTTTCGATTTGCTTTTCGTCTTTGTCGGAATGTTAGGGTCGATAGAAGCGATAGAGACAGTGACCTTTTTACTCTTTTTCTTCTCCATGCTACTTGCACCGCTCTTTTGTGATTTTGCGGCAGCAGCCTCCATCCGTTTTCGTCTGTTCTCCAGCGCATCCAATTCATCCTGATTAAGTTTTACATCCTTTTTTCCTTTTTCTCGAGCTTTGCGAATACGAGCAAGCGCGGACTGTACAAGCGCTTCCTCTTTATCTCGCAAAGCTGTCTGCAAGACATCTGTACCTTCATATTCCGAATTAGAACCAGAAGATGTCGATGCTTCGTCGTCATATTCATAGGCTCTCCTGGACTTTGGAGCCATGTCTATACCTGTAGAATCCAAAGGATCGCTCGCGAAACGTCTCTGACCCCCACTTAAAACAATGCCTTGTGTATCTATATCATCACTATCGAGTTCTTGCACCCGTGTCCCCTCCTTCCATACGCCCTGCCACTGCATGCGCCTTTGGGCGCTCTCCTTCGCCCCTGGTGGTCTTCCCCATTGGGGCACAAATTTGGGAGATCGCGGCCGACCACCTAGACCGCCTCCCCGGAAAAAGCCTCATCGATTGGTTTGTCCATAAATGAGGCATGCCCTAAAATGGTGACTCCGCTTGCACCGATGAGCCAAAGGATTGTTGTAATTGGTGATGCCAAAAATCCCAAAGGAACGGCGATGCATATCAGGGCCGTGTACAATTGCGAAGAAGTTGCGCGAACGACGCCTATATCCAAATCTCTACCCTCGAGTTTCCCAATACCCCACATTCCACCAACCACAAGGCAGATGACGAAGAGGAGCAGCGGTCGGGTGAGTAAGGCGTAGATGCTGAGCATCACAAAGACCACGGCATAATTGCTGGAAAAGTGGCCTAGGTTGTAGTTGACCCGGGATTGGACTTCGCCAAAGTTGGCAGGTTTCGAGAGTCTCTTGAGGTCGAGAAATTCGGAGACAGGTTTAAGATTTGCGAATCTTGACGAGAGTGATTGTGATCGAACACCGGCGAATCTGTCTGAGAGGTTCAACCTCGACGTGATGACGTCCAAGGGAATTTGTATCCGAGACATGGTCGTGGTTGATTTGTGAGGAATTGAGGGTTGTCGAGAAAAGATTCACAGGTGAAATAGGACCGAGGAAGAATCTAGGAGGTCTGGGCAGATGACGGAAGAATTCGGAGTGGGAACTCTCTGATCTTTTTACCTTTAAGAAAGTCGAGATCTGTTCAAAATCGTCAGCACTTTCGTCATCCCTGCAGGCACCGAGGTTTCCGTAGGCAACTGGACTCACTTTTTGTGTAAGGAACGCGTGGATGCGCGTGTCGGGGAGCCGCAGCTGGGTTTTGTAGGTATTGACAGAACGTTGGAAGGAGTGGAAGGGTTGGTCGAAGTTGAGAAATCTGTCGACCAAAAGGATGTTTCGTCGAGAAGTCAGGGGGCACTGATCTACCTCACCCTGGAAGGAGACCAGTCCCAGCTAAATTTAGGCCTAAAAGGCCCACTAGACTCTAGAGGCGGATGGGAGCCTGGATTGGAGCCTGGATTGGAGCCTGGATTGGAGCCTGGATTAGAGCCTGGATTGAAGCCTGGATTGAAGCCTGGATTGGAGCCTTAGGATTGTGGCCATACACATTGGAGGATGATCTTGAGCAGTGGAGGAACCTTGGAAGTGTCAGTGGCAGTTGCACGTGAAGCCCAAATCGTTGCCGTGGGTGGCTGTTTGGGAGAATGAGAGGGAGGAAAGACTCAGGAGAGCCCTTTAGAAAGGGCGGTAAAGCGAGAGGGAAAAGGGAAGAGAGAGTTGTACTTGTACTCCTGCAGCAACGTCCAAGCTAGGCTCACTAGACTCTCCTACTGCATGCCATACAGGTTTCTGCGTGGCTTGCAGAACTTCAAGGCTGCCCAGCGGCCCTTAGTGGTGTCCTTATAGGCTACATTAAGGACAACAAGGCGCTGGAGCTTGGTGAACATCCACTAGAGCTGTCCACTAAAACCTGCCCAGCGCAAAGTTCAGCGGGGCAGTAAGGCAGCTCACGAGTAGTGAGTTAGTAGGCAGAAAAGCTCGACGGATTTCACTCGCAGACTCGGAGCTCGCCAGGCACGGATCGGGTCATGACCCCTGCAGATTTCCGTTAAGCCCTCGCTGGCATCAAAAAAGTTATTGTACTCGTAGCTGCTTCCTACTAGAACACCAAAAAGAAGCCACATCACCGTGTGCTGTTTCTACAACCACCATACCATGAGGAAATCATTTGTGAAGCTGACCCTCGTGGCCTGCTTCGTTGCTGTAGTCGCTGCATGGAGCAAGGAAGGTATGTTTTGCTCCAATCATCCCAATTCCAATTCCAATCCAATCCCAATCAACACATCATTCCTAGCTGCCCAACTTCCCTCTCCCAATTCTTCATGCTGACAATTCTTCTTCACAGATCAGGAAATCTTCCGTCTCCGCGACGAGGTCGAGCTTGCTGAGGGGCCCGGTGTTTCTTTCTACGACTTTCTCGGAACCACTCCTTCTGCCAACCAAGAGGAAATCAACAAGGCCTATCGCAAACGCTCCCGAGTCCTTCACCCCGACAAGGTCAAGCAACAGTTCGCTGCAGGCAAGACAACCGAAAAGGATAACACAAAGCCCAAGTCCAAGTCCAAGAAGCCTGCGAAAGCAGAGATCAATGCCGCTGCCAAAGAAGCAAGTGATCGTTTCGCACGTTTGGGTATAGTGACCAACATTCTTCGAGGTCCTGGTAGAGAACGCTACGATCACTTCTTGAACAATGGCTTTCCTAAATGGAAGGGCACTGGTTACTACTATGCGCGATTCCGTCCTGGACTCGGCTCCGTGTTGCTTGGTCTGTTCGTCTTCGTCGGAGGTGGAGGTCATTGGTTTGCCCTTTTTATGAGCTGGAAAAGACAGCAGGAATTTATTGGAAGATATATCAAGTTTGCTCGTCATGCTGCCTGGGGTGACTCTCTGAACATTCCAGGATTGGACGGCACTTCTACCCCAAATGCAACTGGCGACGACTCTGACGCTATGGTACAACCAATGAACAGAAGACAGAGAAGAATGCAAGACAAGGACACCAAAAAGGACAAATCCGAGAAGAAGAACAAGAGTATCAAGAAACTCTCACCTGCCGCTACCCCTGCAGCTGGGTCCACTGGTCCAAGAAAGCGCGTGGTTGCCGAGAATGGTAAAACTCTGGTTGTTGACTCTATTGGAAACGTCTTCCTTGAACAAGCCGACGAAGATGGAGAGACTCGTGAATTTTTACTTGATGTAAGTTGACCTTTTCAAATTTAGAGTACAATAACCAACTAATATCTCCCAGCCCGAGGAACTTGCCCGACCAACCATCCGCGACACTGCCCTTGTCCGAGTTCCAATCTGGGCCTTCAACATCACAGCTGGCCGTTTCCTGGGCAAATCTTCCTCTCCAGGGGAATTCGATGACGAGGTCGATGAGGAGAACCCCTCCTCTAGCAGTTCAGGCGCTGATGGCTTTGAAGTATTGGAGAAAGTCAAGACCACGGCTCCAAATGGAACCGGAAAGGTAGTTCGCAGAAAGAAGAGCGCTCGTGGACGTTAGGGAAAAGTTTGTTTACTTTTTTTTCCTTTCTTCTTTTTTCTCCTTTGGTGGTATCTGGGTTGTAGGATAGAGGTGATTGTAGTATACGTAAAAGAATAGAGCAACGGAATGAAATGATGATTCATTGTGGGATTTTTTTAGTTCACTTTACTTCAATTGACTTGTGCCATATCAAATCAAGAATCCCTTGCGATTCCATACGTTCCATGAGTCCCTCCTGGAGCAAACTTCACTTCATTCAGCTACAAGAAAGGAACTTAGCCGAGACGTTTAAGGGACTCCTGGTTCCGCCAAAATACCTCCCTGGACCTTTCAAGATCCCTACGCTCTCTATTCCGCAAGATCATAACATAGGGTCTAATGAATCGATATACTTACATCATCTAGGGTTCTCCATCGGACTGGGCTAGTGATAGACACACATAGGGAAAATACAAGAGAGTCGTCTTCGAAGTTACTGATACTAATACTAGCACCGAAGATAGGTACTCATTTAGATTCTTAGTTGTTTTTCTCTGTAATACCTGGGAAAGTGGTGAAGCTTGTGTAGTTCGCTTTGCAAGGTGTCCGAGTAGAGACTGCGGTTTTTTGGTGGAAGGGGGGAGGAAGGGGAAGGGGATAAATAGCGGGAATTCGTTGTATTTACTTTACTTACTCCCTTGAATACCAGGGCTTGGCTTGGCTTGGGTTTTGTAATTAAGAGGAATTCCTTTTCTTATACAAGACTTGGGGTATTTATTTCACTAATTACAAGGATGAGATATTTGGGGATGGACTCACCTCGTGAGTTGACCTTCACTGGAAGACTGGAAGAAATCTTTCCGTGACTCGCGTTGGGAAAAAGGTAGTACTGTGCACGTAATATGTTTTAGAGATCGGTAAGTACTATGGGACGCCTGTGAGAGATTTTTGGATGGTTTTTTTTTTAAAGAGGGAGTGGCTGTGATTTGTTTTTATGGAATACTCGTATGAAATAGAAAATGGAGCTTGGTTTTGAATGGAGGTAGTGTCTAGATATTTATTATTATAGTATAGTATATTGAGGTTTTTGAGTCGAAAGATTTACCGATAATAAAAGAAGCCACTTTTTCACTCTGATATGATATCTTAAATATTTATATACGGAATACCAACCGAGTGCTAACAAAAGAACAAGATCTCTACCCTCCGATAACTCTATTCTTTACTTGTACGATACCTAGCTACTTCGTCGGCTAACAAGATACCCTCCATCCCGATTTCCCTCCCTCTCCATCTCCTCCGAAGCTATTGAAAGATCTGAAGGGGAGTGGAGGGATTGTGCTCCCTCGTGGTCGTGGGTGTTGGATCTGACAAATATCCTAACCAGGAAACTATCCCAATACAGTACTATGATAGGTAAACAACTTATCTTCTCGCTTCGCGATACTCGTTCTAGAATTCAAGTCCAGGCTAGAACGAATGATCTTTTAGGGTAAGTTATAGGAGGATATAATACCGAAGGGGTACTTATTAATTCTTACTTTTATTTTTATTTTTGTGCAGGCAGCAGGTAGGAAGGATAGCGCAAACCACACAGGTCCTAAAATGTTACAGTACGTAACCACCATAGGGACTATTTAAATGGATGATATCCTTTATTGCGGAATGAAAGATGTTTTTCCTTTCTGTCGTCGAGTAAATTAGCTATATATAGATGACAAAGAGACCTTCCCTGAGGTTGTTCTTATGGTTGCTGAGGGGAGGGATAGTTAAGAGTACCGGAGCTTAGTTTACTTTAACAGCTATGAGGGCGATATCGAGGGCTTTTTCAGGGGCCCGACGGTGGATTAGGGAGATTTGGTTGGAGATGCAGTAAGTGGAGGTACTTGAAAGGGTTTTGTCTTTCGCTTCCTATGTAATGAAGGGAGGGATGGAAGCTTGATGGAGAATGGGGAGTATAAAGGGGGGGGCGGTGGGGGTTGGTTAGAGGCGATTTTCGAACTTGTGTTAAGGCTCTTTTTTGTTTGTTTTACGCTTGATTACTAGTAACAATACTACATTTCTTGAGAAATATAGAGATATATGTTGAGTAGGGCGACTTGGTCGAATGACTCGAATCCGTGACTCTTAAGTAGTTTCATTTGATTTGATTGCTCTAGGAAGTTCGTACAATAAAAATCTTTGGATAATACTAAGGATGAGGTATTTTCTTTACGGTTATAGAATGTTGGCGAGGAAGTAGAAATATCTTGAAATTTAGAGTAGGCAAATTGTTTATATAGATTTCTGGGGGGGAGTTGGTAAAGATTTGACTACTGAGTTTACCTACCTGAATAATTCACTCTCGAGTGTTTGTTTGTTTGTTTCTAGAACTAGACGTGAATCAAAGAAAAAAACTCCTAGAATAGTGGAATTGTAGGTCGTATTATCCCAAGTCACCGCTTTTTAGCAGTATTACGTGTTAATTCTAAATATTTAACCTAACGAACTTCTCGCTTCATCGAGGATGCTTTTGATACGAACGATATGTTTCATCGTAAGAACTTAGATTTCAAAATGGATTTAATTTCCATACTCTCTTTTAGAGCTTACGCCTTATCACAATATACATCCGCCCAGTTCAGGACTCGGCTGCATGCTGTATTGCAACGTGGACCGTATTAACAGGCACGGTATATCGCAATGCATCTCACAATGGCAGACTTCAGATCTTCATCCGTAACGAATAGGAATCGAGAAATATACAGTATAATCGCCCAGCGAAGAGCCTTATCAAGCTCTGAGCTCACCGAATTCGATGCCTCGAACGCTCGTCGTTCACAAGGCTGAGCGGGGTAAAGAATGCTCAACTACCCATTAAGTTCATATCTCTCCAGTAAATCTTTGAGGTGGAGTTATCTCCCATCCTCACCATCATGCCTGAGTCTCCGATTGAAGGGTACCCGAAATTGGCATGCCATATGGGTAGCTGTCCCAACAGCTCCATATTCCGACGCTTCGGAAGCCTTAATTCGAAGAACCTCCTCTATCTACAGGCAGAATTAGTGCATTTAGAAGAGAAACTCCAGGCGTTAGAAGAAGTCGATAGCATTTCTCCCGTGGGGAATTCTTCCGACTACTCGGGGGATTGGTACTGGCTCGAAAACTCCATTGATGAGAACAACGGACAGCAATTAGAGACCGTCTTGAAAATCCGCGAGAAGCTCAAGGAATATAGTAAGAAACCATTCTTTCATTTCCTTTATGAGAGATAATTGAAGCTTACTACTTTTCTTAGATAATGCTGTCATTCGACAAGCCGTGTTACTAGGCTTCTCACCACCCCGAGCACACGATCTCCAAACATTACGCGATTGGATACAACGCCCACAAATGGGAAACTATCCCCTCATCGGGACAAATCGAAACACATGGGGTTCTCTAGACTCCCTCATCAATCCCCAAACCGACCTCATAACCCTCGCAACCCCAACGCACAACGACATCTTCACGCACTGGTTCTTCGAAAAGCTCATCCCTCTCATCCACCGTCTGCCATGGACCCGTGCTAAGGAGACAGACTTGGAGGCCGGCATCGTGATCTATCGTGATGAGAATATCCAGCGATACACCGCGTTTCTGAGTACGATTGTGGCGTCGTTACTGCCTACTGTGGCGATTTGTGCTGTTTTGTGTGCAGGAGATGAGGGTTCGGTTAGGATTGATTGCGGGATTTACGGCGGTGTTTACGGCTTGTCTGGCGGTTTTTACTTCGGGGAGGAGGGGGGAGATATTTGCGGCTACTTCGGCGTTTGCGGCGGTGCAGGTTGTTTTTATTTCGACGCAGCAGCAGTGGGCGACGTGAGTTAATGGTCAAGGTGTGTTTTGGTGGATATCCTATTTGTTTCTGTCAGTCTGTTTCTAGACTTTCTAGATATCATCAAATCCAGAGCCTGTTTTCATTCAAAACACCAAAGTCTAAGCCCGTTTATCCAACCCGAAAGTAAGAATACAAAACGCCAAAGTTCCGTTATCAAAGATCGTTACATCGTCAATCCATCAATTGGTATCAGAACAATTTCGCCTGTTCATCTCTAGACTTCCTCCTCTATTCTCTCTTATCCCCGCTTGTCTTGTGCAGTAGGGGAGTCCGATGAGCTCCTGTTCTTAAATTCCTCCACCTTCTTATGCTGCTTCACGTTCAAGTCATTTGCTCATCCTTCTTCGTCTCTTATTCTCCTCCTAGCTTTTTAATTTGAATGGCTGTCTATATAAAATAAGTTAGTAAGCATCGCTTAAATTACTTCACAGAGACTTCCCTTTGGCTTCATCCACAAAACAAATAATACCCCCCGAAGCCCATGAACTCCAAGATCCTATGCTTATATATAGTCTCCGCATCTAATACACTCGCCACGAATTATAACTTCTAGGAGTTATCTCTCACTCTACCTTCTTCGCTTCTTATCTCCCTTGAGTTCAAGGGTATAACCACTCTAACTTAGTAGCGCGCGCGCCTATACTATAGGTAAGTTATAGGGGTTAACGAATAAGATTTTAATACTAAGAAATAATCTAGCTAATACACTTGAGAGATAAAATTCTATCTACTTTAGTAAAAAGCATATATAACTATAATAGGTACGAGTGTATTCCCCTAAACCAACCTCGCTTAACTTTCTTATCTTTTTTTCTCCGCCAAATGAACTACTTTACTTTAGATTAAACAGAGTATTATATGAAGTAAGAAGCAGCATATAACTATAGAAACTATTAAAATGTAACTAACTTACCTTACCCTCGCATTCTTCTACCAATAAAAGCGCGTTCACTTATATAATCATCCTCATCCTCCCCCGGGGCACGGTTCATACCCATTTCAGTATCTTCATCCTATTGATCCTACTTTCGTTTCTTTCCAACAACTCCGGGGCTTTCGGTCGCCGCTCTCTTTGTCGGGAGAGGGTGATCCGCCCGTGTTCGCCTTCTTCTGTTCCTTCTCCAAAAGTCACAGACCTAGGTCGAGAATCCCTCGAAATCGTTTAGAATTGTATGTTTCCGGCAGCCACTTCTCCACGTCCGACCGAACGGTATACGTCCGTAGCTCTTTGTTCCGCAGCTTTTAGGTTAGCGATTCGTTCTTTATACTCTATAATAAGGTCTCTCAAGTTATCATCTCTTGTTCTACTAGCTCTCTTAGAGAATTCCTCGTCTACCGTAACTCTATCCTGTCATAAAGTATATATGCTTCTTATTTAAGTCTCATACATGCTCTTGCAGACCCGACTTACTACCCATGTTGCCTTAACAAGTCTGTCGTTGTTTTCCGCCAGCATTTTCTAAGCTTATCCAATCTCTTTACACACTGTACTCATACGGGCCTTCTTCTTTCCATTGTCCCCGACGAGAGTACTCTTCGCCCACCTAGCTCTATCAAGCCATTACTATTTACAACAATAAGTCTATCAACAGATTTAGTATACACCCCTTCTTATACCACATTCAGGAAATCAAGTTGCGAAGCTCCAACAGTGAAGACGAAGCTTTGGGTTCTCACAACCATCATACCTTCCATTTCACCACTTGGGGGGAGGGGAGGCGGGGGGAATACAAAACAACGCAAGAATCACAGAAACACCCTAATAAAGCAAATCAACAACAGTCCTAAGAGCAAAGGGCAAGCATCTCGTATTGCATTCTGTCTCATATACACACACCAACCATATACTGTAAGCTTTTCCCATCCCCCATTACGCCCCTCCTTCCCACCCAGCCATCCGTACGTACAGCAGTAGATGCGAATCCCGCAGTCAATGCGTCTCCATCCACCCCATCCCCTTACATTCCAAGACCATCCCACCAACCAACACACAACCCACTCGCCCAAGATTCCAAGCCCAGCCTTTCCTATAAACAGCATTTTCACAATCCCGATAAGAATTTCTCCCAGGCAGGCAAACGAGCGATATCGAGTAACAACAATGTCAACAAAAGGTAATACCCACTCAGATCCAGATTCCAGCCTTCTGGGCACGGATCCCCTAGATAAATAGATTGAACGCCAATGTCCAGATGCCCTCAAGGACACAGTCCCCCTTGAAAATATCATGAAAGGTTAACACAGAAAACGGAAAGGGAATAAAAAAAAAGAATATTGAATAAACATTCATCATGAATAGAAAAGAAAAGTCGGGTATGGAGACGTAGCAAACCAGCCCATATGTGAGTTCCACCCCTTCGCCTATGCCGGTTGCCTTCGACCCATGACTCCAAAAATGAATGTCCTCCCTTCCATCCATAAATTCCTCCCATGGTATCATCAAACAAGAAAAAAGAAACGAAAAGAAACGAGAAACCCGCCGCTATGGTTTATCATGATCTCATATGTGAGAAAGGACAGGGGAAAAAATATCCCTATCTCAATCTTCGTGTAGGGAAGAACTCAATCTGTACAATGTATCCCCCACTGTCGTTTACATATTAGAAATGACCAATTGTAACGCCGAGCTCAGCAGCCTTTCTCTGTCGGTGTACAGCGGTTCCGCGGGATTTGGGATGAACCACGATATCATCCTCGTCAGAAATCCAATCCCAGCCAGTCGACTTTCTTGGCATCTCTTCTTCTGGATGCCTATGCATTCGTCGTGGAGATAATTGTGCATCACGTTCATTTCTCCACCGATGCTGAGCTTCACCAGCGAAACCGCATCGCTCAAATTGCATGATGCCTCCCCTCATATTATCACAGATGCCCACAAACAGGTCCTGCCCATCGTTTGTGAAATCGACGCCACCTGTTTCTCCAAAGAAATTGAGCGTCTGTTTTGTCTGAAAGGTTTGAGCATCAATCACGCTTATGATATCTGCTGGCTCTGCCGCCACCAACACTTTCTTTCCAGAGCCAATTGGTGAGAATTTTAGCTTCCTCACTCCAGCCATCTCAGCCACAATAGAAGTCACTGGACGAGACCAGTTTCTCGCATCCCATATCTTGACCTGCATGTCTTGATTTCCAGTTGCTACTGTCCAGCCATCATCTGCCCAGTCGCAGGCAAAACCATAGTCACGATGACCACGGAGTCTTTGTAGAATCTCCCCAGTATCAGCATGCGTAATTAGGACATCAGTTGTGTCCCCAACGCATACTCGGAGACGTTGATCCGGCGAAATTGCACTGCAATTCAACGCCTCGTCGTATTTGTGTTCGGAAATGAACTTGTTGGTATTAACGTCCAAGAGACGGAAACCGCAGTCATTAGATGAGAATGCTGCCACAGGAAGAGAAGAACCTCGTAGTGTGTGAACCTGAACATGATTTGTAATGGCGTTGGAATCTTCGGTAACCACCAGGCCTTCAGTATGCTTGGTATCTTTGTGCGCCCTTAAATTGACCAAAGCATACTCGCCAGCAAAACCGCCAGCAACGAGAACATCATGAGCAGTAGCCAAGGTTGAAACCTGCATACCGTCAACCCCTTGCGAAGCCAAGGGCGTGACCGTCGGATTCGACAAGTCAATGACCCTAGTTGATGGCCGAAGAGGTGCGTTAACAACACTTAAAGGATTCCACTGTAGCACTTTTGACTTGCCAGCATAAAATACATGGCCACGTGAAGCACAAGCCATGACATTTCTCAGCTGAAAATGACACAACCGAACCTTGCGATCAAAATCCATTCGTCGAAATTTGAAATAATTCTCTGAATCGAATGGCATCATGCCTTGCTCTCGCGGCTATATATGTTAGATTGAAAATGAAGGATTTCCTGGTGTTTTGTGAAACTCACAAATGGTTGATGTCTACTCGGCATATTTGTATAATTGTGGTAAAATCGGGAACGAACCACTTTAGCCTCTCTTCTTAAAACACCAAGTTCGGTCCAGTTGATTCGCTGAATATCGCATTCTTCACCTCGAAGATCACAACGGCGTACTGGTGGTATGGATTGGTGGGAACTGTTTCTGTGGTGGATGACGGAATTCAAATTTGGTCCTCTGCGTTTGTTATATTGCTCAGGTCGACGTGCAGCATCCATGTGCCAATGATAAAGGAAATCCCCGGAGTTCAGATTAAGGTGATCTTCCACTTCATTCTGGTCAGCATCTAGCCAGGGATCCAGCGGCACCACAGTGGATGGAAGCTCTGGTGTAGTATTTATGCTTCCAGCTGTAGTTGTAGCCTCCGATCCCACTGCATCTTCACCACCTACGGTTTGTATCTCATGATGAGATTGTATTTCATTATGTGACGAGCCCGAAGATGGTGATGAAGCAGTTGAATCGGAGAGATTTGCCAACGGAGCAAGCTGAGGAGCGAGAACCAGCGAGAAGAAAGGAGAACTAGACAAGGGAAGGGGTTGTGTACTAGTACTGATATTGGCAAAAGATCCAGCTTGCTGATCCGCAGCCATCTCAACCTCCACAATGTCTAAACCATCCTGAAGATGCTGCAACTGCTGAGAAACCTCGGACATGGCTGCTGGCAGACTGGAATTGCCCGGTGTCCCTGGCACATTATTTCCACCCGTGGCATTGACAGGAATAGTTTCGAGAGGCTCTTCGTCATACTGAGCTGGGCTTTGGTATGACTCGGGAGGACCATCGTCATTCAGGGTGTCTGCTGGGTATTGGGTCTCAGGGCCCGTGATGTCGGCACCCAGCTGTTGCATTTCAGTGTCCAACTGCGTGTCTGGGTGGCCAAACGCCATGGCCAAGTCCGCACCACCATCCGACATGTCTTGGTCGTCGTCTGTGGAATCTGCTGTGACGAGACCCTCCATGAGCGACCTCTCGTCCATTTCATCCGGGCCGGCACTGATGGCGCTCACGGGCGATGCCACCAAGGGACTTGTATTTGGCAGGGCAGGGCTCGGAGTGCTTGGGGTGGTGGGATCAGGTCCAACTCTCACGCCATGGTCCATTTCGAAGGATGTGCCCGTGGCCGAGTCATCGTAAGGCGGGGTCAACGAATTGTGCAGCATCTCCTCGTCGCGCTTCGTCGTTCGTCTTGCGCAAGGTCCGATGTCATAGATGAGATGGAGATGTCAATTTTTGGCACAGTCGTTTGGTGTAGCGGAAGCTGGTTGCGAGTGTGACGAAACTTGGTCGGTCGCAGGTCGCGGTCGGTGGTTGGGTTCAGTCTAAATAGGAGTCGGCGTCGACAGCGTCGTGGTGGTCAAGTCAAGGTAGCGTATATCAGTTGTAGTGGTTGGATCGGGACAGGAGGGGAGTCGCGGAGTCGCCTCCTCGGGAAGTGCTTATACGGAGGAATTGGGCCGAAGACCAGGCAGGCCAGGCTGGTAGTGTGCGCTGGCTGCTGCTATTGGTGCCGATGATGATGTACAGATACCGTACAGTACAGTTCCCAGGAGGCCAAGGCAGTTTAGTTGCAGTTGTCTGCGGGAGTGGGAGTGGGAGTGGGTAGAGGGAATGCACGAGTAGCTGCGAACTACCATACGCAATGCGATGTGATGCGATACGACTAATTGGGAAACAATTGCGCGGTGCGTAGAGCGCAGAGAACTGAGTATTGCTGGAAGGGTGGGAGAACTGAACTGTTCTGATGTCGTGAGAGAGGTTGAGCTTGCAGGTGTTGCGCTTGGCTTGGCTAGAGGTGGGGCTTGCGCGGGAGAACCTTGAAGGTGTGCAGGGCTGTACAAGCCTACAATGGAAGGTTGAGAAAACGCCAACCTAACGTCAACGACCAAGCGATGAGACCTGTTCCAACTGCGCGTTGTGTGGCTGAAGAAGAAAAACCAGGAATGGTCATTTCAGTGCAATACTAGGGTTAGGGTTAGGGCAAGGGCAGTACCACAAAATAATATATACAGCATATATATATATAATCATATAAGTATGACACCGCACGATACGAGCACTTATGGATACCTACTCATACCACTCGTCTCTTATCGCCTTATCCATCCCCATCTCCGTCGTCAAGTCTGCCGAGGTCATTACAGTACCGAAGTCCCCGCCCGTACTTGACAGAACCTTAAAACATTTAATCGATCCCCGTCCAAAACGGCAACCACTCCCCAGGTTAAGCGCCCTTTCCGTTCATTCAAGTAGAGACCAGCAGAAGGGGAAGAGCACGCCCGGCAATCTGAAATCTAGCCAGACCCAATCTGCCCCTGCCTTCGCCTCATGAAATCTCCTGACATCCAAATTCCCCAAATGGCCAAATAGGGGCTCTCGGCTCCCTCTGGAGCAATCGGTCTGACTGCAGCAACACCCAAATGAACATGCGTGGGGAGCGCCCGCCAAATCGAACGGTGGCCTATGAATCGTCCTTGTACGAAGGGAGGGGGGATACGGTGCCTCTGCACCAGAGTTGAAACGGAGATGCTTCCACCACACACCACACCCTCGACTCCGTTAGCACCACTACAATCAATCCTGTCATACCTCCTCTCGAGCTCCCTCGCCTCCTCAAAGCACTTTGGGATCATCGGGCGCCCCTCCCAGCAACCTGGAGCCAGTCGGTGGCCATCGCTTCCAAGCTCAAGCTCCATACCATCCGGTGCTCCCGCAAAGACCTAGTGGACTACCAACGTTAGTGTAACGGTGGGGTTACGAACGACTAACGACGCCCAGTACACACGCCATGCGATTTTTTCTTTCTTTTGCATTTGAGACTGGGGAAGGGTCTGTGAATGGTCGCTGATCCCTCATGTCTCTTGGTTCAGAGCCCAGCGGCGTGACTACCCCAAAGAAGCAATACCCGTCATGGCTAGAACCGCGTTTACCGTTCTTCGAGAAGCCACATCCATGTCTATCAGATTCCTCATGCTGTATGCCAAGAGAACGTACTCGTTTTGAGAACCTCTCAGAGCCAAACGTGGCAGACGTGGCAGACGTGGATGATGGTTGTAGGTTTTTTATTGAGAGAACTCAACTAGCAAAACACCTTCCTTGCTGCCACTCCTTTATTATTCGTATATGCGGGTTGAAAATATCGTCTCTACTTCCTCTCGTTCAACCACTCAAGTCATCGATTTCGAAGCGATGAGTCTTTATCATTTGGTCGCTTAGTTAGAAATATGACAGACTTCTGTGACCTCTCTTCAACTTCTCCCGCAGAAGGAAGCCCTCGGAATGTACCACGAAACCCTGCATACAACGGCTCTCTGCAGATGTATCATTCCGTTTCGGTCCGCTCTGAGTCGTCCCCCACACCGGAACATGCTTGATATCATGTTCGGCTGTCCCAACAAGAAAATGGCAAGAAGCGAAATTCCGACTGGAAACAGCGGTGAACCTTCTCTCCTCACTTTTCTACATATATGCGAGAACCAATTCCGGGGAATCCATGTCAAAATGGCTTTCCAGCTGTCCTAAAATTACGTTTCAGAGGCGGGTGCAACACTGTGATGCTCTCCGGACGAGGCTCTGTGCCTGTACCGAAACATGGCCGTACAAGACTTCCACGAGGAATGGGTGCAAAAGAAAGGTATCGTGCGGCTGTTGTGTTCACCTCCTATTTTGTTGTGCTTCACTCGCGTCCAATTCCATTATCAAGGGCTGTTGTTGTTGCTGCATCTGTATTCCCCTCATTTCAAATCTTTCTGACGAGTGCTCTGGAGTGCTCCTTACGGGATCATCATGGAATGAGGCTGGCTGATGTCCAGTCGCTCCCAGTCCAGCATTGAATGTGCCCAAAGCAGTATTTCCCGGTAATCTTACGCCACTTGGGTTGTCTTCGTCGTCTGACAAAATTTGATGATGATCGTTCCGGACTCCTCGCTTCTTCCAAAGGAATACGTAGAAGATGGCTCCAGAAATAGCACCAAGCACCCCTAGTCCTCCCACTACTCCACCCACGATCGCCGGTGTTGGACTTTGTGGTTTCTGGGAAATTGGCGGGGATGTTTCAGTAGGGGGAGGGCTCGGAGTACTCTGTATCTGCTGCGTAAGTTAGTAACATCTTACGGAAATTCATAGGCATTACTCACTGAACTAGGATCCGTCGAGGTTGACTCTATTGAAGTCATCGATGTTGTCGTAGGAGAAGTTGGCTTAGTTGTAGTGGTAGTGACCACCAGCTGGGTTCGAATATCCATACTTGCTAAGCATCTCCCAGAATTGGAAGCACCGTTAAAAATCGTGATACTTGAAGCGACTCGCGGTAACGGTATGGGTGTTGAATAATTGGTGTAAGTGAAAGCGATGTACGTCGCTTGCGACGCGGTCTTCACACATCTGAAATCCGAAATGCCTCCGGAATACACATACTTCGCACAAAGTGTCCCATCATTTTCGTCGTTACAGTGTAATATCGCGGGGTTGGCTTTGCACTCATCGTCACATAGATCTCTGCTTGCTGAACATGCCGTCTTAAATGTTGCACAACCCTTGCTGGGACAACATCCACCAGCACTGATGGCCTTTCCCTTACTATCCTTCAAAGCGATCAAACAAGTATGGCTATCCGGACAATTGAGTGGGGATGCTATAATATTGGATATCAGCATCTCTAGCTCTAGCTGTTGAAAAAAATGGACCGGGGTTAGATTGTGGAAATTCTTCTTACTTTCGATGCCATTGATCCAACCACAAACCGAAGAAGCCAGTTCCCGCTTCTCGATCCGGGCGGGCACCGTCGTTGATGCTCTTGCTTGCCATCCCACGTGTGTGGGATGATCTTGTGTTTTTGTGGTTTGTCTTGCGAGATATTGGGGACCCGCTGCGACGACACCCTCAAAAATGCAGAATAAAAGATTGAAAACTTTCATGGTGTATGATTCTGGCCCAAAAAAGGAATGTGACACAACGAGAGGAAAAGATAAGGAGAAGAGATTCGCGAAGAACTGTAGGAAAGAGAAAGGAATAATTAGTGGTAAGATTACAATACAATCTTGTTAGTAAGAACGACTTAACGAGAGCAAGAAGATTGAAGAAGAAGATGATGAAGAATCAAAAAAGGAGAAATGTAAAGAACACCGCCGCACCACAAGCTCTCTCTAACGTGATAACACATTCATCTTTCTCCTCTCCTCTCCTCCTACCCTACCCTACCGAACAAAATGACAGCCACGCTCGCCACGCTACAGTACTTACTGTAGACCCGCCGTACAGCGGCGCAGCTCGTCCTTCGCGATCCAATAACCGGCGTCAGTCCCCTCCTAAATTTTTAACATTCGAGATTCGACTGCAGAGCCATGATGGATCTTAAGGCTGAGTGGGATTGCGGAAATATGGGAATTGAGGGGATGAGTGATTGGTGCTTTTTTTACGAGGTTGATGGGTTGGTTGGGTTGGTGGATTCTGTGGATTTCTGGGTGGTTGCTTAGGTACTCACAGATGTGGGGCGGGTTTTGTGGGATTGCGATGAATGGGTAGTACTGTTTGTATGGAAAGAGAGTAGTAGGGTAGGTTGGTAGGTTGGTAAGCTGACAGAACAGGCCTGGTCTGGTCTGGTCTGGATGGATTGGTGGCCGGGCTGGATTGGGTACGGTACTGTAAGTAGTGTGGTGGTGGTGCGGAAATAGATCTCTTCTAATAGAGTTGAGACGGACAGATAGACAGATGGACAGACAGATAGCTTTGTCTGAGATTGTGGAAGGGAGAACGCTCATAGAAGATAGGGATCTGAGGGGATGAATGGGTAGGTGGTGGCTTAGAGGATCGGGTGTTTACGGTGCGTCCAGCGTTCATGAATCATTTTTATTGATGAGTTTAATTGGTGAAGGGATGGGAAGGGATGGAATGGGATGGGAGATTCACGTACTGTACTTTACGTATGAATTGTCTGGTTGGAGTCTATGTGTGGCTGGCTGGCTTTGCTTCGAGATTGGATAGGCTGGTGGTATTTAATTTGGCTTATACTTAGGCTAGGTAGGTATGGAGTGTAGGCTTTAGATATCTGGAATATCTTTATGTCTTCTGGATTAGATGGAGTCCTGTGGTTACTGACTGAAGCTACGGATTAATACAGTGTATGTGAGAGATACTTGGAGAGAGGGGGTGGACTGGACGATTTCTTCGGTGAATAATTTGGATTCTTACTATACCTTTAAAAGACCTTGCTCTGTTTAGAGTACGTAGCTACTACTTAAACTAAATCTTTTTCTATATTTACTATCTAAAACTTAATTCAAGAATTATTAAAAGGACTTTCTTTCTTATCTATACGTACGTATTAGGTAGTAGATAGAGAGAGGTAGAAAATATATAACCTTCCTGCTATACGAAGTTATTCTTATAGAATAAAATAAATTAGTTATATAGGATATATAGGTTCCTAGTATCTTAGTTTAATTACTTTAATAATAAAACTAATTAATACTAGGAAAGTAAGTTAAGTAATAAAAAGAGTAAGATTACACGTTATATAATCACTATTTTACTAATTAGATAATTTAGATTAGAGGATGGAAGACCTAATTATCCACTAAGTACTATATATTTTAGTATACGTAGGTATGACTATATTCGAATTTCCCATTATCTCTTACATAAAATAACAATAAATGAAATGACATGTATATACTCCATAAAATGCTGTCCAACTTTTCCTTCGCTCACAGAATACCCAAGAAATAAAACCAAAACTCCAACGCCATCCACTAAAACCGCGACGAACTAGCTCTCCATATCCTTTCCAATCCAAAAAATTTTATTACATATGCAAATACCCCCCAATAAATCCCTTATATCCACCCCTCACAACCTCCCCAAGTTCTCCGCTCCAGGCATAGCGACCTCCCTGGCCCCCTCAGCCTCCCTCTCTAACCCCTCCCTCCTCATCGCATAACTCTTCCACCCCACAAACCCACAAAGCCCAACACCCACCACAAAAGCACTACTCAACAACCCAACGTTCACCGGCACCGGATTGCCTCCAGAAACTTTATGAAGTAACGCATCAAGTCCACTTTGACTGAAATTCAAGAGTCCAGCAAGACAGATGATCAGTCCGTATACCGTCCCGAAAGTGCGGAATCCAAAGACTTTCGCCGAGTAATCTGATACGGCGGTGTAGTAGAAGGGTCGGTAGAGGACGAAGAGACAGATGTTTGAGTAGGCGGCCCATTCGTAGGGGAGACAGCCGAGGACCCCGGTTGTAGTGGCGATTGTTACGAGCGCGGAGAGGACGAAGAGGGTGCTTGTGTTATCGAGAATCATTCCGATGAAAGGGATAGAGAGGATTCCTCCCAGAGGAAGGGCGACGTCGAAGAAAGTGTTGATCTCCACGGCTTTCTCGTACGAGGAGAGCAGGTACTCGTATTGTGGACGGATGGTAGCGACAAAGAAGTTTATCCGTGTCATTTGGATGACGGTGAAGAGAGCGACGAGGATGAACCACGGAGAGAGAATTTGTTGTGTTACTGTCTTTCCATGGAGAGCTCCCCAGACTCCGGAGATGGCGTTTTTTCGCTCTTCTTGTTTAAGGTGTTTTCCACCGGTTTTGGATCCCAATAGATCTGTGATTTCAGAGACAACTGAATGGCGGTTTCCGCGGTTTTCTTCACGGAGTAGTGCTGTGTGTTCGTCCAATTGGTCGTCGTAGCCGTTGGTATTGACGTCTTCTACCTGTTTGACCAGCTCACCTACTGTCTTGTAAGAAGACTTTGGCATATAAAAAGCTTGGACAACAAGAATGAGGGCGGGTACGATGAGGTAGATCAGAAAGAATCGCTTTGGCGTAAAAGTTTCCTCGGTCCATTGATAAATCATGCGGTATACAAGAAATACCGCACTAGATGAATCAAAAGCACCCGTCAAAAGAGCCAATATCAGACCTGAATGTTTCGGAAAGGTATTCGAAAGCTGGAAAGACGAGATGAAAACGAACGGTCCCCCAAGAGCAAGGAACAAATAGCCAGGTATAAAGCCATCAAATGGCAATTCCCATGCGAACGCAAATAGCAGAGCTCCAATAGACAGCAGAAAACTTCCAATAATGCCACAGACTCGAGGCCCAAGAGTATCCAGAATAGCTCCAACTGGTAGGGCAGCCACATTTGTCCCCACAGCAGCAACCGTGAACATCAAATTAAGATGTATTTCCTGATCGTAACACGTCCGCACTCCCTTGTCCAATTCTTCTTCTGTGCAGAGATCTCGATAAACATGTTCGCGAATGAGCACCGGTTTAATTGCTGCATACCCAAAGACAATTCCCGCAGCAAAAAGACAGTAAACTACGGCTGTGATAACTTGCACTGTAGGAAAAGTCGGTCAGCGAGTTGTCGAACCGGCTACTCGTATACTTCCGGAGAAGCTCGGAAAAAATACTAACATATTCTTCTAGACTTTGACACTTCAAAAGCACCAATGGCACTTTCATTCTCGGCAGCCGGCTGAAATCCAGAAATCGGATTGAAGCTCAATCTCCTATCCCTCGATCCAGTTGGTGAAGTGGTCCTCTCAGGCGAGAAGCGTTCCGGTGCAAGTGATTCAAAGGAAGTAACTCTCTGTAAGAGCGACATGACTTGTTTTTCCACGAACTCCTGACTCTGACTTGGACTCCCTGGCGTTGCGCCTTAACCTTACTTGTGCGCACAGAAGGGCCAACGGTAAAGTATAGTGGTGAACCGGCACTATGGCGTTCAATTGAGGAGTTCAAGAGAAGGACTTGCAGGTTGTGAAATGCGCCGTCACAAATAGTCGGAGCCAAAAACGCGGGGTATGTACTCAAGTAGTTCAATTACGTACATACGTCACTTTGCGGCTAGGAGCGGAGCTGCGATATTGGCATCAGTGGACAGTAAAGTAGAGTACGCTCGAGTAGGGAATGGAAAAGCGACAAAATTCGTAAAGAAATTAGAGAAGGGCGAAAGGCAATTAAAGAAAATTAGGAAGATTCACATTCATGCAGACGTGACAGAAAAAAACAACTTCTAGGAAAGTACTTAAACCTGCATACTCGAGTATAGCCCAGTGGGAGCACGGGAGTCTATAACACTATGGACCAGGGGTCTATAGTGTTATAGACTACCGTACTTTTAGTAGGAACATTAAAATTTTATAAATTTTTAAAACTCTTAAAACTCGCTAGGATATATATTATAATATAATCTATATTTCCTAAACTATATATATCTTCTAGATTGTCACGAATCACGTGTTGTCACGGGATGAGTGAAGACCAGGCGGCGTCCTGACAGGTCAAGCACATCACAAGCTCTTATAGCAAATAGGGATCGAATAGACTAGCTAGACGATCCAAGGATTTCACAGGAAGAAATCACGTGATAAGCTTCATCGACATTATCGTTGTCGATGAAAGCGATGATCGCCAACATCAACAGTCGATGAGAGTGATCAAGACAGAACGAAGGTCCTCTATATAAGACTGGCACGTCTGCCATTAGATAGGAGCTTCGTGCTCAACTTAGTTATCAATCTTACATATTAGTTTGACATCTTTGATACAAGTAACGAGTTCACTTCCAAGTGAACAACCCGATAGTCTTCTTCTTATCATAGCATACCAACCAGCGAACACCCAGCCAAGTTTNCGAATAGACTAGCTAGACGATCCAAGGATTTCACAGGAAGAAATCACGTGATAAGCTTCATCGACATTATCGTTGTCGATGAAAGCGATGATCGCCAACATCAACAGTCGATGAGAGTGATCAAGACAGAACGAAGGTCCTCTATATAAGACTGGCACGTCTGCCATTAGATAGGAGCTTCGTGCTCAACTTAGTTATCAATCTTACATATTAGTTTGACATCTTTGATACAAGTAACGAGTTCACTTCCAAGTGAACAACCCGATAGTCTTCTTCTTATCATAGCATACCAACCAGCGAACACCCAGCCAAGTTTAGTTAGCCAGTTTGAGTATTCGTTACATAGATCTACTTTATATAATCTATTCGCCTCTACCTTCTAAGAATAATACCCTCTAAAATAAGCGAATCCCCCTAGGCGGACCTACTATAAAAGTCTATACTATTACTACTATAACTCTACTAAAGAATTCCTTTAAAAGTTTACTAATTATACTATACTAATTATACTATATCCTTTAGATAAGATAAAATAATAGGTAGGTACTATAAGACTTATACTACTACCCTTAAAAAAACGTTTAAGGAAGTAGCTACTTCTTAGAAATTGTGACGGAGCTGGATTTCATTTGACAGGATTTCATTCGCTTGGCCAAGCACGTGACGAGACTTGGCATTGGAACAACTTAAATAACTTCGCTCCTTCCAGATTCTCTTCTCTCTTTAGTTTGATTTCTTCGTACCTACGGTTTTAGTTCTAGCAATTGATTCAAAAGCTGTATACACTTTATCCTTTGTTGGCATCCGTGACAGAAATAGCTCTAAGCTATTTTAGCTAGGTCTCTAGATAAGCTTCTCCTATATAAGATTTAAAAACTATAGTCTTAATTACCTAAATAGAATAGTATTCTTACTAGAGTTTTTATAAATTAATATTATAAAATTAATAGTAAGAGAATAAATAATAGTAAATAGTAATAGTATTTATAGAATATAACTATAAATACTAAAACCTATTCCTATTTAATATCTTAAAATATATAAACCTAAGTAAGTTTCTTACTCAGAGGTTAATAACCCTTAAAGTGTAACGAATACTCAAACTGGCTAACTAAACTTGGCTGGGTGTTCGCTGGTTGGTATGCTATGATAAGAAGAAGACTATCGGGTTGTTCACTTGGAAGTAAACTCGTTACTTGTATCAAAGATGTCAAACTAATATGATAAGATCGATAACTAAGTTGAGCACGAAGCTCCTATCTAATGGCAGACGTGCCAGTCTTATATAGAACCTTCGTTCTCCCTAGGCCGTCAACTCGCCTGTCGAGCTGGCGGTCCAGTCTTAGTCACGTGATTACATACAAGAGAAATCCCTGGATCGCTTAGCTACCCCAAACGATCCCTNTTGAGCACGAAGCTCCTATCTAATGGCAGACGTGCCAGTCTTATATAGAACCTTCGTTCTCCCTAGGCCGTCAACTCGCCTGTCGAGCTGGCGGTCCAGTCTTAGTCACGTGATTACATACAAGAGAAATCCCTGGATCGCTTAGCTACCCCAAACGATCCCTATTTGCTATAAGAAACCTGGATGTGCCTGTCGAGGGTTGCGCCTCTTATTATGACAAGTATCACGTGAGCACGTGATTCGTGACATTCTTCTTTACTCTAGTTAGTATATTATATTTCTTATTAGCGCTTATAATATCTTTATATTCGAATTAGAAGTAAACAGCCTCTAGGAGGATATTTATAATACTAATATAAATAAAACTTATCTAGATTAGCTAAAGTAACCTTATAATAAACTCTATATTATTTAATATATTTATTATATATCTTAGGCGTATAGATTACTATAGCTTAATAAATAGTAACTTATAGATATAAACCAACTTTTAATTATATCTTATTCCTATAAAGAAAATATTAATACTAGGATATATAATTATAAAGAATGCTCTACTTTAAACTATTTTAAAAATATTGAATTTAAGGCTAGATAGTTAAATATTTAAATATATATTTTAAGATAACTATATAATAAAAAAATAAAATGGTCATTTATAAAGGAATCTATTATACTTACCCTTTATATAAGTATATCTACCATGGGTGTTAAATTTGGTGCGGCAGAGCGGTGATAGTTGTGGTATATATGAGGCGTATGGTTTATCAGGGGACGAGAATGACGGGTACTTGGGACCAGTGGAGGCTGAGCCATAAATGTGCGGTTATGTTGAGGACCGAATTGTGTTGACGTGCTGACACCCGAAGAAAGGGCATTGGAGACCGGATGAGGTCGAGGGAGAAATGGACGGAAAGGTCGAAGTGTAAGTCGTGTAGTGGTCGAAGCCTTTTGTTTTTCAGTTCTTTTTGGCTCCAGCTGTATTCCTGACGTTGATTCGGGGTCCTTTTTCGAGAAGACCTGTGTCAACAAGCCAAGGTGTCTTGTCAAATATATAAGTCCTCCAAAGATGACCAACACCCATGCATTCTTAACCTCCTCTTGGAGAAAAGATGAGAGTTGTAATGCAATATGTCTCTGCTCCGCCAATATCTTCTCCGTCTGTGCCTTTTCCTCGACATTATTCCAAGGGTGAGTGACCTCCACAATCTTTCCACCGCGTGTATTCAAAGCGTGAGCGATATCCTTCATAACCTCCATCTTCTGATCCAAACACGAGATGGTCATACACTCCTCAGGAAATTTATGAGGTGCAATCCATATCCTATCCGGGTTGAACCCACGCTTCTTGAGACCGAATCGAACCTCCGACAAAATTGCATCGCGTGCTTTTGGGTCGTAGTTAGGATGGAATGTCAATCGCACGATCGGCTCGAGTTTCTTGTTGATCTCGTCGAATTCTTCCTTGTCTTTTTTCAGAACTGCTCGGATGTATCTTCTATATTCGTCGGTCATGCCGGTTTTTACACTGTACTTTGTTTTCTTGATGGAATTCTTCGCTAGCTCGGAATAGATGGAATCACGTTCGTCGAGGTTGATACAGTGTTTGTATTTCTGTAGGAGTTCTAGTCGTTGGTTTTGGAGAAGCTCGAAGCTTTGCTCGCTTAGAGGGAGCTGGACTATCGTTACTGGTGGCTCCATTGTGTGCCTAATCTCAGGGGTTGTCTTGCTCATTGAAGTACCCATAAGTCCTCGATTATGTGTTGTGTATATTTGTATCGCTGGTGGCGTTGATGTTTACACGACAAGCAGTCAGGTTGTTAGGACCAAGCCTACTTAGTGCTCTGCAATAAAATTAAGGATGGTAAAAAGGAGAGTCAGTTATTGTGCCTTTGTAGCTACCTGGCTGAGCTATATGTGACATTCTTCCCAACTTGCCTTCAATTTGAAGATCACTGGAGAATCACTTATTCTAGTCTTTTGTTCTGAGCTCTTGTGGACAAAACCCTTAGAACCAGTGTAAAAAAGGAAGTTTTCCTACTCTGAAGTCCTTTACCAGGAACTGAAAAAGGTCGAGCGACATCATGCCCATAAAATCAGTCTCTCACGTCTTAGTATCTAGTATCGTAACGTCTCCCTCCTTCCTGAAAGAAGAAACACAAATCCGCAAACATAGAACCCCATCTACCATAGCCTGAAACTCTAGGTATACTTCCACATAAATTCCTCAAACTTTTTTCCTTCCATCTTGTACTTCCCCTTTGACTCGCCCTTCTTGTCCTTAACCACCTCGGTGAAGGGCTTTTCTTCCTTCTTGTCGTTCCTAAAAGTTCTATTATTAGCATATTCCAAATCTCTGGAATGTTAAAACACTGGACTTACTTAGCAGTCTTTGGTTCAGGGTTTGGATTAGGACGAGTAAAATTGGTTTCAGGCATCTTGACTTGAAGTTTTCTGCAAAGGGCTTTTGTGTTGAAAATCGCGATACAGTTCGCTTTTTGAGAAGAAGTAACTCAGACTTGATATTGTCTTGAAAGTTGCTCTGTTTTATCTCGGTGGTAGTAGTACTTTATGAAATAGTCGTCAGAATGTTCGAAGCGTAGACTGTTTACTCAGACTCAAGGGTTATTGTATTCCCTTCCCTGCTTCTATGGCTTTCCACCAGTCTTTGGAACATACCATGTTGCATTGAATTAAGTTACGTGCATGTAAAGAAGACGGTAGAACCAACACAAGTCCATTTACTTTCTTTATGTTTAAGGCACAGAACCAATAATAGTTCTAGAACTAGAGCAGGGCTAGCGAGAGTATTGTTAGTCCTAGTTCCACCTAGTGTCTTCTACAGAGGCATCTTCACTGACAATATCAAGAGCACATTTCTCAAAACTGTAATTTATCAGTTGCAGCTCATACAGAATAAGTACAAATGGAAAGTATCAAGCGTTGAGTTAAGAGAAAGTGTGAATTCTATGAAACCACATTCCCTTGTAATGTTATGTTCTCAAGTCCGCCTCCTTCGCTTAACATAGAAAACTCCTTAGCCAAAGATGTTAAAGATTAAAGGAGATAGAAATACTTCTGATCCAAAGAGGAAATTCATGTAAGGCACAAAATATTCGCATATATACAAATTGGTCTTGCGAATTCTATAACTTCTTTAAAATAATCAATGTTTTTGAAACTTTACAAGTTTTAGTCGCGTAGGTTCAGAGAATTGACTTTAAAGGGGACTTATCATTGGCAGCATGTAAAACGGTGTAGTAAGATCTTACTGTCAAATATTACGACGTACATTTTGCTTCAGGGGCCGACATCCATATGATGTAATAAAAGAAATCAAGAGGGACCCAATTACCAAAATCGGAGCAAACAAAGACCAATACATTCCTCCCTTTGTTGGCATTTGAAATCCAGTCAGCCACATGTTTTTCAAAAGACACCTTTTGAAACACAATCTCAAACCTCAACTTAAAAGACTAAAAGCAGAATCCACGAAACTCTACAGGCTAGCAAATGAGAACAGCATTGCCTTCGACCTCGATAAAACAGAACTCATACACTGGACCAATTCAAAGGACACAGATGAATTCACACTCAACCTCCCCAACCACCAAACCGTTCACCCAAAACAATGCATTAAGTGGTTAGGCATCTACTTTGACCCAGCTTTATCTTTTAAGCACCACGTCGCTACCAAGGTAGCAAAAGCTAGAGGCGCATTTTTCAGGATGTCAAGGCTAGCAAACAACTCCAAAGGACTTACACCCTTTGCCCTCCGGCAGCTGTACACAGCATGCGTTACAAGTATCGCAGACTATGGGTCAACCATCTGGTGGCGAGGCCAAGCACAATTCACTACTCTACTTCAAAAACTCCAAAACCTTGCAATTAGAAAGATATTAGGGGTTTTCAAAACCACTCCTATCCTCCCAATGGAAGTAGAAAGCGCCCTCCCACCTCCTGAAGTTCGCCTCTCCTCCTCCTTGAGGATGTATGCTTTCCGTCTACTCAAACTCTCACCATCACACCCAGTCAACCACGCTATCGACAAGCTCCTCAATACTCAAGCAACTCCAAGGAAAAAGAAGCCGGCAACTCCTCAACTACAGCGAATCCACCGCTCTATTAGCAACTTATACAACCTTGAAGACCTTGAGCAAATACACCACTTCCACTTCCCTCCATGGGAAAGAGAAACTCCTTACAAGGTTCACATTAGCAAACTTTCAAAAGAAGAGGAAACTAAACTTCACCTTCGTCTACTCCAAAACAACTCAGATAACAGCATTTTCATCTACACAGATGCATCCTCTACAACAACAGAAAATAGCCAAGGAATTGGGGTAGGTTTGTCTGTAATCTCACCTCAATCAAACAGAATCCACTACGAAAAGAAAGTCAACATTGGACCAAACAAGCTCGTCTACAACGGTGAAGTTGAAGGGGCCACGCTAGCAGTTGAATACGCTGCCAAGCACGCTAGACCAGGGATCCATTTCCACATCTACTCCGACAACCAGGCAGGTTTACGGAGGCTAAAAACCACATCAGATAACCCAGGGCAAGAGTGCCAAATCAGAGCTATCACAGCTGCCCGGAAGGCAGTTAGCAAGGGAGCTACTACCACAATTCACTGGGTACCAGGTCACACCGACATTCCAGGAAATGAGAAAGCAGACAAGCTTGCAAAAGCCGCCACCACAATCCAACCATCCACTCAACTCACTAGCTTTGCTATGCTAGGAGTCAAGATCAGGCAGACCCAGAACAAAGAATGGCGTCAAAAGCTTACTACACCCCCCCGGCACACAGAACCATCAACTAACCAACACTCGTATCGAAGGGAATTCCCATGGAAGATTCTGTCGAAACCTTGCGTCCCCCAAGGAACAAAAAGAGAGATAGCCAGCGCCTTTTATCAGCTTAAGCTAGGCCATGGATACTTCAAATCATACCTACACAAGCTCGGCCACACTACCAACAACCGCTGTAGATGTGGAAGACAAGAGACTCCCACTCACCTCCTTCTTAGCTGTCCAGAAACTGGGGATGCTAGGAAAGTACTAAAGCGCAACCTCCTCAAGCATCATATTCGAGAGTTCACCATGAAATCCCTCCTTCACACCGCCAAAGGAGTCGAGGCCACACTTGACTTTATTCGAACCACCAAAATCGCCACTAGAATATGGCACACACAACGCGCAACTGAGGATGAGAACGAAGATGAGGACGAGGAAGACGAGGACGAGGAAGACGAGAACGAGGAAGTGTAGCGTACAGGGCGTGAAACGAGGGGGCGTACTACAACATAACAACTTTTCTTTTGTCATAACCAGAAGCCTATCTGCTTCCAACAACCCAAGAACTGTAATGACCATAACCCCCTTCTCAAACATGTATTTAGTACAGCTTTACTCATCTGTTGGAGGGAAACCCCCAGCCGTGCTACTATAGTCTCAGACTCACACAGCACGTTAAAAGGAATAATAATAATAATAATAATAATAATAATCAAACCTCAACTTTTTCTCTAGCATAAAATCCAACTCAGCTCTTATTCAATTGAAGCATTACAAAATGGAAAAACCTCTCAAGCCCACAAAGCAACAAAAGCCTTATCCAACTCAAGGGAAGGAGAGCGAATACTATGAGTTTCAGCCCGAAGAAGTAAATTTGAAACATCGTTGGATCTATGGATCCACTACTATTCATCCGGACCTCATTCCTTCCTCACTGAAATTTTGTTACAACGGGTGGCCCAGAGGGGTGAAGTATCCAAAAGTAGTGGCGCTTGAGAAGGGAACTGGGTATTCAGTGGAGACGTATTTTGGAGATGCCGATCCAAAGGTTATTCTAAATTCATGCATGGCGGTCGAGAATTCGGTACTAATTCAGAAGTTTAGGAATTTACGGTCATTTTGAAAAGAGAAGATGAGGTTATTCCGAAACTAGCAACTTCGCCAGAGGATGAAGCGTCTATTTTCAAAACCTTCGAAGAGGCACAAACGACCATTTCCACGGACAAAGAAATCATCTATGTACGTATATCCTTCACCATTTCCATCCATACCTGACTAACAGCACATCAATGAGTAAGAAGCTAACACCCAAAACCTCAGTACCGCGAAAAATCAGATCAACGCAAGTTCGAAACCCTCCAGGACGAAAAAAACCACCTGATCGCACAAATAGAAATACTTCTTTCCCACTACGATGATAACGAAGTCGATATTCTCGGCACAGGACCCTCGAAAGTCCTACTGGAAGAAGATGAATTTATCGAGGGAGTCATGTACCGGGAGTTGAAATTGTATTTTTTTGCTATTGCTGCTAGAAAATGGGCACATGAGATGCAAAAGGTTAAAGATTCGTTTACATCCCGGATCACGGAAGAGGGGAAGACAAGGGAGTTGGAAGTTGTGGCTGCTTTTGAGGAAGAGCGGAGATTTCGTGAGAGGGAGAGATTTGCGAAGAGCCGTGAGGAAAAAAAGAAGAGACAGAGGGGTGATGACGATGGAGAGCCGGAAAAGGAGTTCAAGAGTCGGAAGGTTGAGGCTTGAGTATCCCGGGAGTAAGATTGTAGAGAAAGACTCAAAAAGCATGATTCGGCATTACTGTGTCTTTTGAGTGTTGCGACTTCGCGGGTTTCGTGTAATGTTTGACTATTGTTTCTCATTAGTCGTTATGTCGTTAGAATAAAAGGAGTTTTAGGGAGCTATGCGAATAAATCAACTAGATAGAGGTCGCTTTTGAAATATGATTTATCTAAAACATGACTTATATATCTCACTACTCAAGTGTTTTCGAAGATTTTTTTCGATAGTTCTCTTTTCTCTGCAGTTGTATCAAATCTATTGTCACATTCCTTGGTTGTGTCATAAGATCCATTCCGCTGAACGCTCGCACAAAAGGCTATGAGCCTGGTTGGGGAATCCTCTAATCTTGCTTCATCGGTGATATTCGAAATGAGGTTGTCAAGGCCAAAGTGATGCACTCCACGTGGTTCTGTACGCTGTTTTATAGCCTAGACAGCAAACGATCTCATGTCTCATGAAGGCGCGTACACAGAGCAACCTACACCAGCTCTCAATGCCCATTAACTGCAAGTTCAGCAGGAGCCGCATTACAAGGACATTTCTTCAAGAGGCCATCTTACAGGCACTTGGAACTGTCAAAATACTCGATACTGCATTCCCGTTACAATTTCAAATTACCCTTCTGGCTTTAAATATTGATACAGAGCCGTTTTACTCATCTCGCTTAGCACAGAAGACAAACCTGCCCCTAATAACTCTCTTATCATTTAATTCTTGGCTTCTTCTAAAGAGAGCCCGTGTCTTCTTTCAAGCCAACGGGCCTATTTATCCTCACCTGACGTATCTCTAGTTCATGTGACACTGGTGCCACTAGCGTTTATCACGGTATTTGACGCTGACCTGTATCTTTTTTAAATCGAAGGCTTCTCTAATATCTATCTCGTAGCCAAAAGGTTCTATATTGTGTAAATCCTTACGGGAACGTTGAAGAGATTCAACAAAAGATTCGTAAAGATGTTGTTCTAATGATGATTTAAGTATCTTCATTACATATACCTTCAAAGGAATAGAATCACTTCGTATCAATCCACTCTTCTACAGACTCCAATTACTTTCTCTTCGCTCCAAATGAACAAGTGAAGCGTCAGATTCTTACCCTTCAACGAGTCTAAGTTAAACCAAACCATCCAACCTCCGCATCTCAGAAACCCAGAAGAATGATTCTAATCAGGTCGAACAACAAAAAAGAAAACAGTCTCAATCAAATTGCGCATAGAAAAGAATCATCTACCACTTTCCCTATCAACCGGAGAACGGCTATAACCCCCACACAAGCAAACCAGAAACAACCAGCAAACAGTCTTTAGACCTCTCCAAACTCTCTCAAAATGATGTTTTACTAGATCATCTTGTAGTTCCCTCGCCATCTCATACCGAATTCTTGATCCTCCATTTTTCGGGAACGTCGAGTCTGGATGATGTTCTTAAATAATGACGGGTACGATTTATCGCTACAGGCTCTTCAATACCTATATCAAGAGTTCGGATTACATAGTCCCTTGAAAGATGGATAAGAATGGATTTTCGAACCCCTCCAAGGCTCCAAAGTCAAAAAAAATAACTTGGACAGACTCAGGGGAAGATTCCAAAGCATCAAGTCCATAAACCAAGACTCATCCCAGGACATACACACCCCCCATTTCCACTCAAACCCTCCCCAATAATCACAAAAAACCAAACCATCAATCGCCAAACCGTCCATTCCCTCAAATACACCAACCGCAACACAATCCCTCAAACCTCCACGCCAAGTGCCCCCCCTCAAAAAACAGTGGACCCCTAGAAACAAACATGCTCAAATCTTCTCATCGCCCACACCTCCCCATCACTCTCCCCATTCTTTTCCCCAACCCCAATTCTTATTCGTTAGAACCCCTACACCCCCACCAAATAACCGAGAATAATGTTTACGGAAGACGGTAAACCTATTTTCGCATCCCCGCTTATTTTGTTTATCGTCCTGTTAGAGGGTGGATTGGATGCTGTTTCCCCACTTATGGGAGGGAGTTTCTTAAATTTTGTGTTAAGTTTACTGAGTGCGAGGACCCTGGACTGTATTACCCTTGGTTGAAGATCTGAGGTCTTTTGTGTAAATGGGTGGAGGGAAGGAATGACGGGTATGTATGGAAGATAGAGTTTAAATACATATCCAAACGTCCCTCATTCTTTCACGAGCTTCTCTGTTCCGTAAAAGTAAATCTACCTACTCAAAATACAGAGGCTGATCTCCATCTTGCCGTTTCGATTCAAAGACTTTATAACAGGGTATTCAATTCGTAATAACAATTCCTACCGCGAAGAACGACAGGATATCCACTTGAGAGGAAAGAAGAAGGGACGTTAGGGAAAAAAAGAGAGGGCGAGATGAATATGGCAGCCAATGCTTCGATGGCGGATGGGATGGGGGGGATGCATATGGATGATATTGGGACGTGTAAGGTTGGGAGTGTAAGTTCTTCTCCTCCTCTATCTCTCTATCTCTCTCTTTCTATTTCTCTCTATCTCTATCTCTCTTCCGAGATCCCAGGTTCTGAGTTCCGGACCGCGGATTTGCAAAGCGAGAGTTCAATCGAGAATTCTCTCCGTACATCTGAAGAACTCAACAAGAGAATCTCAAAACCTTCGACTCTTCAAGCAATCCTTCCCTTCCCTCAACTTCTCAGAAGAAGCAATCCCAACCCTCACTCTGATTCCCACCCCACCAAAGCCCCCAACACCCCCCTCAAAACCAAACTAACAAACCCCAGATGCTCTGGAACTGGTACACCATAGACGCCTGCTTCATCTCCCCCTCCTGGCACATAACCAGCACCGGAATGTTCGCCGGCTCCTGCATCGGCGTCATCCTGCTCGTCATGTCCCTCGAATTCCTACGTCGGTCCGCAAAAGAATACGACCGGTACATCCTCCGGCAATTCCAGCGATCGCTCAACATCCCGCCTCAAAACCAGACACAAAACACAAAATCGTGTTCGGATTCCGAAGAAGCAGTCAAGATAGTGGCACAAATTCAGTTCAGGCCGAATCTAATGCAGCAAGCGGTCCGCGCGACGTTCCATATGCTCCAGTTTGCGGCGGCGTATTTTGTCATGTTGTTGGCGATGTATTATAATGGGTATTTGATTATTTGTATTATTATTGGGGCGTGGTTGGGGGCTTTTGTGTTTCAGTGGGAGACTATTAATTTGAGGTTTGCTCCCCCCCCCTTCCCCTCTCTCTCTGAAAGTTTGGGGATACTAATTTTGAACAGTGGAGTTGGACCTCAAGAGGAGGCTACGTTGTGTTGTGGATAAGCGAGGGTGCGAGGAGAGTCTTCGATTCATTGTTTATATTTTTGGGGAAAGGACTTGGGGGTAAGAAAGAGTTGGGAATTGAGATGAGAATTGGTATTAGATAAATATCTATATGTCTATGAAGAACACCGGTCCATGGCTAGCTTGTTAGATGCTTTGGTATACCTTTAAAAACGCCGTTTGAAATGCCTTTTATGTTCCCCCCCCCGTATGATGAAGATATGCGGTGAGGCCATCGAAGCCAGTAACCGAAAACAGCTATAATGTATTGAGATTTACCCGCTGAGAGCCACCGCAGGTATACCCTCCACGGTATTCTTGACCGTAGTCTCGACGCCTCTTTCCGAAAACTTCTTTTTGTTCTTCTTCTCTTGCTTATTACCTTGGTTGCCACCAGCGGCAATAGCACTCTTATTTTTCCTCCCTCTTCTCCCCACCATTTTCTCGGGTTCCAAGAGCCCAAGTCGTTCATCAGCTTCCCTCGCTTCTTTTTCAAGATGATCGAATCCAAGGACTTTGCAAGCTTGTTGGTGATTCTTTGTGTGTAAAACTTTCTGATGTGCGGGCTGTTTGCCTGGAATCAAATGGGCGAGTAAAAACTTGGTGTTCCCCCATCGATTGTCGACACTCATACAAGTAGTGATATATCTCTCAACAACCTCATTCCATGGAGCTAAACCACCATCAGCTTCAGATCTGAAACAACTGGAATTTGACTCGGCTGCTGTTGCAATCATGGCCCCGTCTACTCCATATTCTGTGATAAGTTGTTCTGCTTCTGCTCGATTCGTAACATCTCCATTCATAAGACATGCTACACCATTCTCTCGGCAAATATCTGCAATCATTCTCAGTTGTTCTCGAATAGCCTTTTCTCGGGGACGCATAGGTGTTGTTCGACAGTGAATTGTGAGACCCGTAATGCCAGTAGCGCAAAGTCTTCGAACCAAGTCTTCCGTCTTTTCGGGTGTTTCCAGTAATCGGATTTTAACGCTGATTCCAATCTCGAATTCCGGGACTATCTCCTTGACCAATGCTTCGAGAATAGAACATAATTTGTCTGGTGTCTGTAAAAGTGCTGCTCCCATTCCAGCATGTGTACTGAAAGGTTTTGGACATCCTGCATTTACGTCTATCCCCGCAACATCTCCAGCGACTATCCGGGCGGCTTGAACAGCTCTATCGGGGTCTGAGGTACCGATTTGAAATATAAGACGGCTTCCTTCACGTTCTGGGTGTACACGATAGATCAGACTCTCTTTTTGGTCTTTGGATGGGTCTTTTGCGCCGTTTGAGGGGAAGCGGGAAAAGTCGATGGTATTCAAGGTTTCATTGACCTTGCGAGTGGTTCCAATCATAGACCTATCGACGGTTTCGGGGCCTGTGTGCGTTAGAATATGGCAGAGAAATAGAATTTAATGATTACTTACCCCAGACAAGATCTGCGCCATAGTGCAGTGCAAGAAGCCTTGAGGGCAATTCTCCTGACCTGACCATAGGCGCGAGGACAATCTTGCCTCTGTAGTCAACACCCTTTCGGGGGATGGGCACGCGTTTTGCAGCGGATGTCATGATGGCAGAGGTGATGCGTTGCATAGCATTTCAAGGGAGGTTGTCAAACTGGAGTTGAGGGTGGCTAAGAGGCGGGTTTTCTTGGTGTGAATATTTAGTGTGATGGTTCCAATGTCAAAAGTGGCAGTGAGTAGATGGCAGACTTTCTAGGTAGATTTGCAGCAACTAGCCACGCCAATCAAAATCTATTAAGTTGTAAAATAAAAAGCAGCCCAAACCCTAACCCTCACATAATTTGATATCTATCAAACTTACTTTACGTATGGGTTTGCATGTATTTCGCAACTGTTCAGCGTTGGGTGGCACGCCACTTATCATGAATCTTTCGCCGGCCATCGGGCACTTCCAGGCTGCAGACCCCTCGGTTCATTGGCAGAGGCCAAGGGCTCCATTCAGCAGTAAGTTTACAGTTTACATCGGGAAGTACCCAAGCCCAACACCTCCGGCCTCGACACACTCAATTGCCTCCTTTACATCATTCTTCCCAGCTCTCTAGGCACCTGCAGCTCCCGTCGATCCCGTAGTCAGCATCATCGGTCGCCCGGGGTCTAGAAGTCTAGAAGAGGGTTGCTTATATGTAGATGCCATCACCATTGCCATTTTCAGCCTGCAGAAGAACTCTTGGTGCAGCTAGCAGCTTCAACTTGCCGCGACAAGCAAGTCACTACGCGGGATACAGCCCTCTCGCTCCTCACTACCACTCCGACTCCCTCACCCTGCACCACATACGGCAGCTGCGACGTTCGTTCGCCAGCCTGCCCACCCCGGTTCCCACTCTGGCGCCATCCACCCCCTCCAACAAAAATTGCTCCCCGTCCCTCGTCCGCTCGGAACAAATAGCTCGACATTTCTCGACTTCTCCATCCAACAACACAAATCCAAATCCAAATCCGAATTATAGTCATATCGCAGAGATGGCTTCCCAATATAAAGTCCGCAAGGTCGGAGCACCAAACACTCTGGAGCACCGCGTCTTCATCGAGAAGGATGGGGTGCCCATTTCCCCCTTCCACGATATCCCTCTCTATGCCAACCAAGAGCAAACCATCTTGAACATGGTCGTTGAGATTCCACGATGGACCAATGCCAAAATGGAGGTAAGTGGTGCACTCTCGACGCTTTTGATAACCCCTCCATTGCTCGTTTGACCCCGCACCAAAGCTAACATATTTACCAAACAGATCTCCAAGGTATACCTCCAGAACCCCAACGTGCAAACAAAACAAACCCCCCTAATACTTTGCAGGAGGATCTTCTCAACCCAATCAAGCAGGATGTGAAGAAGGGCAAGCTTCGTTTCGTCCGTAACTGCTTCCCCCACAAGGGTTATCTTTGGAACTATGGTGCCTTCCCACAGGTAAATCCAAATTTCTCGTAACACAACAGGATTCCACTGACCGCTATCTAGACTTGGGAGGATCCAAACATCGTTCACCCCGAGACCAAGGCCAAGGGAGATAACGACCCATTGGACGTCTGCGAGATTGGAGAGTTGGTCGGATACCCAGGTCAAGTTAAGCAAGTCAAGGTTCTGGGTGTTATGGCTTTGCTCGATGAGGAGGAGACTGACTGGAAGGTTATCGTCATTGACGTTAACGATCCATTGGCTCCAAAACTTAACGATGTTGAGGATGTTGAGAGACACCTCCCTGGTCTTTTGCGTGCCACCAATGAGTGGTTCAGAATCTACAAAATCCCAGACGGAAAGCCAGAGAACCAATTTGCTTTCACCGGAGAGTGCAAGAACCGAAAGTGAGTTACATATTCTAGGGGAAACGAAATGTTGCTAATTGAGCTAGGTACGCCACTGATATTGTCCGTGAGTGTGCTGAGGCTTGGGAGAAGCTCATCACTGGCAAGACCCAACCTGGTGATGTCTCTGTGTAAGCGCATACAATTCGTGTCTCCTGGAGTTCGATACTAATTACTTTAGTACCAACTTGACTGTCAAGCAATCACCAGCTCGCGTTGACTTCAACCAACTTCCACCTATCCCACCAAACGAGAGCCTCGCCCCTGCACCAATTGACCCAAGTATCGACAAGTGGTTCTTCATCAGTGGAGCTGCTGCATAGATACTTCAATTCTAAAAGGCCAGCAATCGGAATCTACTCTGACCATAAGCGGAATTCTTTATTTACCACTGCGGTAGAAAAATAGGGTTTCATAGAATGAATAGATGAATTACGATGTATAATTGAATTGAACTTCTTTCCATGTGAACTGCTATACGTTGTGTTTTTATATCTCGGAATTGGACCTCCTTCCATGTATTGTAATTTTGTAATGTACAGTCGTAGTACAATTCTCCGTTTGGAAACCACCTTAATACATCCCGCGCATCTCCCTTCGCGCTGTGGTAAATCCACCATTATGAAATACCATAGAATTCCAAGCCCATATCATAGCAGCAACCTTCTATTTCCCCCATGCCATCATTGACGTAAACCAATTCCCGACCCTCGTCCCCAACATCTTTCACCCTCCTCAATTATCCGTCAACTCAGCCTGTCTCGTTAATATCCTCGAATGCCGATCGACTTCCTCCACCACACCTTTGATGCCCAATTTCTCGGCGTCCAATCGCATTTCTTTTCCGTCTTCTGTTGGACCAGCAGATGTGTATTAGCATTGATACTGAAATAGTATATTGTTGTGATACTATATTGATATGGCCGAGCGAGGAGTGTGGATGACCTGGGTACTCTCCAAGTTCATCTACCTGCCATCTTCGTCCCAAGTGCTGGTATATTATGTCCTCGTCCTTGTCCTCCATTTGGGGTTGGTATTCATGTTGGGAATGGGGGTAATGGAGAGATAGAGGACGTACTAAACTTCACCTCCACCAAACTCCTCTCCTTCGACGTCCGGGGGAGTAGTTTGGTGACGACCTGCATGGTCTGTCGCGCGTCGGGGGGTAGGAAGGACAGGAAGATTCGAGCAGTTTTGGCGGCGGGTGAGAAGGGGTTGAAGACTGTGCGGACGGAGGTGAGGTGGGTTGTTATCATTTTTTCGTGTTGTAGTTGGAATTGGTGGGAGATGGATTGAGGGGATTGAGGGGATTGAGGGGTGTGGGTGTGGGTTGAGAGGTCTTTGGTTGGGATGGTGGTAAAGGAGTGGAGGAGTGGAGGAGGACCTGTGGGTGGGTTAGTGGATGATGGAGAGGGATGGGGAAAGGGGGATGTACTGGTGGGATTGAGGGATGGTTTGGAGGTGGAGGGGAGAAAGCTGGTGAGTGAGTGAGGTTGTTGCGGTTGATATGATATCGTCTTGAATATTTTGGAGCTTGTGCCAAGACTGGGGATGGTACCTTGTCTGGCAGAACAGCTACGAGGACAACTCTGGAAATGCCACTGTACAGAAATGCAACACTGATTTTTATAATAGATTAATTGGAAAAGGGGATTAAAACTATCGATAGGATATAATCTGATACTTCATTGTTCTTTTTGGATGTGTGTGTGTTGCTTTTTTGAGGTTCTGATTTTGTATACCCGTGTACCTGATATCCACGGAAGAGGAGGGGGTCGACCATTATTATGTGAGTTCCGAGTAATGAAATAGTCCAGGGAATGAGAATATCATTCCGGGTACTTGGTAGAGCGTACCTATATCTAGTCTACTTGATTTTCTTGAACTCGGTTCTTCTGTAACATAATTTCGATAGGTAGCCTTTCTAAACGACGAGATGGGATATATTTAACTGATTTACACTTTAATTCCACCTAACAGACTAACACTACAAGAATAAGGGAAAGAAAGAAGAGTAAACGTTACTGAGGATCTAACGTAAATCTTACAATAACTAACTAGGTAGGCAAAAAAATGACGACAGACACTGGACACCTCCCCTTCTCAACCCCCGCCAATCCATCCATCCATCCCATCACTAAACCCCCCACCCCCTCTCCTCACCCCCAAAAGAAACATCCAAGAAAATCAACCCCCATCCTAACAAAACAAATGTTCCCAAAAATATTTGGAATGCAAAAAAATAAATAATCCAAGATTAATAATTATTTCCATACCAGGGAGTCGAACCCTGCGCTACCGCGGACCAATCTTTCTGGGAAGAGAATGAGAGGCGGAAATGTTACCGATACACCAGTATGGATGTTTTGTATGAGTTGTTATGGGAGCATTGTCCTTATTTAAATAATTGTATAATGAAAAGATTTGTGGGATGGGACTTTGGGGGGTGGGATTTGATTGGTGGGTTAAGGGTGAGGGGTCACGGGTTTGGTCTAGGCGAATAGTCCGGTAGTTAGACGCGAACTTACTTTAGTAGTAGAAGACGAAAATATAGCGAGTTTATATCCCTAAAAGGACTTAAATTTCGTCCTATACTGTAAAACTTTTTTACTTTTCTAATTTCGGATTCTTTAGTAACGTTACTTATTAGACTTTAGAAGAAAAATCTAACTAAGATATACCTAGTTATTACTTAATATACTTAGACTTTAATCTAGTTCAGTATCCTCTCGTCTCGATATGGATTTATTCCTCGTCCCTCGGATCCCCAAAAGAGATGCTTAGACTTTAACTTAAACTATCTACTTATAATAATTATTACTTTTTACCTTTATTTAACTACCTTATATATTATACTTATATTAGACGTTTAGTATTTTGAAGTATATATAGAGTAATACCTAGGTGTCTTAACGTTAGAAACAAGTTACTCGAGTACGGCTAGTTATTTAAGTGAGAAGTGTGCAAACAGCTACCTATATGTAAGGAGTAGAAGAATAAAACATAAGGTGGACTTCTTGTCTAGTCAGGGATCTAAGGTGAGAAAGCTCTAACAGCAAAAGTGGCAACCTTACAATTTAACAATTAAGGTATTTTGCTATCCGCATTTGTTTGGAAACTGCCTGCTTGCACCTGGCACTATATGCACACTCATATTTACAATTGATGATGTTGACTAAAAGTGATGGAGAAATCGTTGTTTTCACTTTCAAAGAAACCCGTGTCTCCATTTCCTAAACCAAAGAAATTGCAATTTCAGATCAGAATATAATAACCCTCTACTTCCCTACTCCTTCTCTAGAGTTTATCCCCGTAAGCATAAAATACCGATACGTATTCCACCATCTTATTGTCAGTATCGTCGGACTTGACGTTCCGATCTTTTGGCTAAACATCCCGTATATCCATTATCTTGTCAGAAGCTACCGATTGCATGCCTTCACCAGCGAGTGTGTTCTCATCGTTGTTTTCAGCTTCTGAAATGGCTTCGTCGGCATCCCCATCACCAGGTTCTGCCACAGTATTCCCATTCTCATCGCCACTTTCTGCTGAATCCCCATGAGCCCCATTATCCAGTGCCCTTCTACCATCTGGTGAACCAAGTGGGTCACTTTCATCCATATCAAGCATTCCTTTCTTCTTCTTCTTATTAAGTGAACATCTCTCCGGGTGGTCTGTATAGCGACAATTGACACAACCACCTCCGAAAAACTTCTTGCGAGCGGTCCAATCGCTGACGGTAATGCAGAAAGGGTAAATTCCGCTTCCTCTTTCGCATCTATCACAATAATTGTCGTTGTCTTGCAAGTCGCCATAAATATATCCTACAGCGGATGCTATGCAGTATGAATGTGGCGCAGGTTCCGATGGGTCCCTGAGGGGTGTTGGACTCCTAGTCACCAAAGACAGGTCTCTTTTTCGAGACATACCGGGATTGGTGACAAATTTTCGGGCGGTGGCATCGGTGGAAGTCCTGGCGCGGTTGATGGCATTATTGGTGTCTGCTGGCGAGCAAGTATCGAAGGGCCAATTTCATTCAAGTCAGACTTGCTCTCATATCGGTTGGCTCGATCGTCGGGTAATACCTGAATAGCTTTCTGCTTCTGGTTCATTTTGAAAATCAGTCCTCGCTCTCTCCTGGCAATGTGAGATCGTTTTGCGTTCAGTGAGACTTTGAATGGAGCCGATTTATCTGTTTTGAAAGAGTTAACGTGGAAGGTGGATTCGAGGGGAACTCAAGGAGCTCAAGGGTGCCTTATATACACGAAGGCTATTTCAAGAAAAAGCAATACTCTCTCAGAAGTACAGTCCAGAGGCCATGTGGTCGTTTCAGGAAGATATCAGAATTTACGCGATAACTTCCAGAGTGACTTCTCGCTTGCTCTAACCATATGATGGAAAGCTTAAAGATACCGAGGGCATCTTCTTTAGAGTCGTAGAGCAAATTGCTTCAAAGTAGAAGCTGGATCCGTCTTTTAGCGACTCAAACACAAAAGAATATATATGCGGGAATTTGCGACGATAATCTCTTGACATATTCTTTGTAATACAGTTTCCCTACACTTCTAAATTCTAAAGAAATGTGACTCTTACAGACACAATACTACAAGCATTCCAGAACAATCCAAGATGGGCTTGGAATAACTCCCCAAACTTAAAACTTACAGCACCAAACTTCTACATGCTAGTGGTTGAGTGAAGCAAGTCATTGGAGTAGAGGTTGAGACTTTGTCACAATCCTAATGCTGAATATCCGGAGATTGACGCTGAATATCTAAACACGAATGGGATGCGATATTCGGACTTTTGGATCGAAGTCCCTTCACTTGGAAGAATGATCATCCTCCTTCTAAGCCTTACACATATGAGCAGTTCTGGTCTTTCTGTAACAGTGTATTCTCGAAGGGGACTTCGTAGTAGAACTGTTGAAGCAGAATCTCATAATTATCGTACCAGGAGTTCTCTATTTATTGGCTTTGTTTTATTATCACAAGTACCGATGCTCAAACGGACAAATCCGCTTCGCCAGAGATATACATCATTTCTTTTACAGCTCATTTTCAAGTAATATTAGCGCACTCCAAGTCAAGAAGGCGAAAAGGCATACTATTTCTCTAATAGTCTACAGCCCTAATGCCAAATGATTTGGCTTCTGTTCCCACATTATGGCATGTTCTTTAACCTAATCTTGCAGACACATTCCCAGACCCTTTCCATTCCCACCGACCCAAGTCAATGAACCACAACAGCAGATCATCACTTTCCAGTATCCCCCACGCCAGATTTGCCGGTCTTCGGTCCAGATTTGGGTGGTTTCTTACCTACTGGACCTTTCTTTGGCTTGATCTTAGCTGTTTTTTGCTTTACATTTTCTTCACGACCCCTCGCTTCGACCCCGTCTTCCTCTCCCAATTCCGCCATTTCCTCATCCTCGAGATCTTTTTGTTGCTTTCGTTTGCCTTTGCCTTTAATCTTGCGACCACTCTTATCAACCTCTTCAACCTCGCCCATGGGTTCGTCACCATCCCCGTCATCAGCATCATTGCCTCCAGAGGTATCATCGTTGTTGTCATCATTGCCTCCTCCACCTCCCCCCGTCCCCCCATTTCCGTCTCTCCCACTTAAAGACAATTCGCACTTGTTTTCGGCGATTTGGTATCTACAGTTGACACAAGCACCCTTAAAGTACGGCTCTCCAGTTTGCTCATTGGTGACAGTAACACAAAAAGGGAAGCGTCCATCGCCATTTCGGCACTTGTTGCTACAATACGTGCCATTGTCTCGGAGCATGCCTACAATATATCCCATTGCGGCCTCGACGTAGTAATGCTTCGTGCTAGTCATTGGATTGGTTTTCATGTCGCCTCTGACTACCAAGGCAAGATCTCGTTTTCGTGGCATAGCCGCAAGTTCTTTGGCAATTTGGGTAATTTTTCTTGCATTGACGATCATAGCTTCAGTCTCCTGCTCTGTGCAGATTCTGAAGTCGACATACTTAATAGGCTTGGGGTCCTGCATGTTCCCGTCAGTTCATGGTGTACTGTGTTATCGTATGAATTTGGTACTTACCTTTAAAGGGGACTGGCCGCGTGGTAAGCCAGACATCTTGCCGTATTTGTGAGAATGTCAGGTCAACTTTTTGTGCAGAATACGATCTCAAAAGGACAGGAATGCCAAGGTTGATTTTGGGATGGGATTCAGCAACAAGGTACGACTTCTTATACCACAGTGGCCTTACAATACAGTCCACGAGCACCCCTTCGAAGCAATTAGTGTTTTCCTTAAACCCCAATGTACAATTTCGAGCTTGCTCTAGTCCAATGATAAGGAATCTAAATATTTCCAGAGTGTAATGGACAAACTCTTATGTCACTTGACATGGTCATATAACGCTAAGAAAGAAGGAGTAAGTAAAGCAAAGATAAGTTATTCAAAAGTAATGTAGGTCGTTCCCTTGTTACTCGTGCAGATCATTCGAGGCATTGCTTATTACTAGCTACTGGTTTCCCAAAAGCTTAAACGAGAAGATGCAGACCCAAAAGATCGATCAAGAAACAACAACGAGTTTTGGTTTCATCTTGCCCAGCCTAGAAGCATGTACCGCAGAGAAAGCCAGCTGTCAAATAACAAATATCGCAGAATATCAAAGTAGCTAACGGAGAGAATTAGTCCAATTCAGATGATTGCAGAATAAAATTCCCCAAAGGGTTATGCAGCTGGAAAGAAAATGAAGACGGACGCTAGAAACTGAAATCGAATCATCTAGATTGCTTAAAGTACATTCGTTCACCCCGCATTCTGTATAAGAGTTTAATCCCTACCTGCGTAGTGAATGCCTATTACTTACCACCGACCCAGACCTCTTGTTTCCTTGACGTCTCAAATAGGTATGTCGGCTACAAGTAAAAACAGCACAAAAAACAACACAAAAAAAAAACTCCAAAAAGATATATGGAAATCGGCCCATCTGGGAATTAGCCCAGTTTGAATAATTAGCAAATCTCAAAGAGGGGGAGGGGGAACCTGTAGTTAGTATGAACGCGCCTAACACTGTGATTTCCGTATTTCTACGGACAGTATGCCACCGTCATTACAGAGAAACGCGGGGCGCTAATACCACTAAGACACGAGGGCTAGGGTATGTATGTATTTGATTTTTGTTGCTGGGTACATTATTTGTTAGTGGCTCTAATATAATTCACTTGGTAGGGAGGAGGTGAAGTGAATCGAAGAGACTGTCTAGCCTCTAACCTTTAAAGGAGCGCTGATTAAAGCCTACCTCTATGAAAGAGACGTGCGCGAATTTCTAGAATGGTTAATGTTTACGGAACTTCTGAGTTACGTAGGGAGTTTAGCTCCGTTTTAGTACCTACGACGACGCTATTAATAGTTTCATATCTCTTTATTCGTGTAAACGATAGCGTTATATATTAACCTTCCGGAAGGCATTTGAATATACTATTCGTTACCGATTAAGTAACGAAATAACTTAATTCTACTATTAGGAATACTTCTTATAGTACTTAAGACGGTAACTCGATAAGCCTAGAACCACAAAAGTGTTGAAGGCTCAGGTGAACTTCTTGAGAATGATAACTATTGGTATTGCCGTATTAATTAAACTAGTGCATTGTACAGAACTTTCTTCTTACGTCTCGACCATGATACAGAGCTAGGTGCAATCGAACTTCACTACTTGCGCTTCATGAACCTCAGTCCCGAGACCAGGGCGACAGTTCTTCCGAACTTCTTCGTCTGTTGACCAGATACCCGATGCAAGTGATACCCCAAGTCCGCCAAGTACACCTCTCTGCATGAAAAAAAGAACGAATAACAGAAACATTTTCTAGGGGCCTGTTTTCTTTTTTGACTTCGATTTCTGCAACTCAAATTGTTCATCAATTCGTGGCCATAATTGCTCTAACTTCAATTTGGCTAATCTCGTCTTTTCGGCAAAATTAGGATGGGGATTACTAGAATATACCAGGTCAATATAAAGATCTAGCATGTCCGGCCATTTGAGATGGTGGATGGGCCTAAGTTTGTGCAGGATATTCCACGACTCGTACCAATCTTGGAAATCATGTTAGTATATTGACCTTCAAGGAGAAATCGAAGCACGGAAGGTGGACGAGTTGATGACTGGAAAATGCAGTTGGGTTGCCGGAGGGAGGCAAGGAGCAGAACTTACAACGTGAAGGATCATCTTTACCCAACAACATCGGCCAGCGATATCCCCCCACACCTTTGTTACAATAGTTCAGCAACGTGCCCTTCCGTACACGTTCCAGTAGGTCATCTACAGCTTTATCTCTAGACGGAAACTCGCCGTTGGGAACGAGTTTTGAGGAGGCATGATCTCCGTCATCCCGATGCTCGATATAAATCTGATACAGGCTGGAGAATGGAGCCAGATCAGCGAAGTGGCGGCGTCTGAGACGCCAAAAATCACGCTCGGGGATACACAAGCGTCTTGTACAAGTGAAATCTAGATTGCCGAATGTCGTAAGAGGCAAGCTAATGTCAACCCCTCCTTGCCACCAAGGCCAAGTAATGGTTGCCCAGTCTTTGTCGTAGTCGAAATAGATGCGTGAATTGCTAGGAGAGGTTGCAAATGCGAGTCTGTAGAATTTAAGACCTTGACAGCGAGACTCGCGATTGACGTGTAAAACTGGCGGAGCAGGGATAGGCTTGAATAGGCTGTTCTCCATCGCGGAGACTCCACGATACGCTTCAATTTCTGGGTCCCATAGGATTCTGACAATGCGGCATTTGGGAAGGGCGTATGTCCAGATTAAGAGGCGTAGTTCAGCAGGCAATTTAGCGAACTGAGGAAAAGTATTGGGAGGAGGCGGGGGAGTCCATGGCCAGCGAAGAGGCAGCCGGTTCTTGATGTGGAGGGCGAGCTCTTGGCCGGTATAAGTGAGGGGTGGTATTTCCTCAGATTTGGATCTGGTTGTGTCGGTGCCTGGAAGAGAAGGAGCCATCTTGAGTTTGGATCTTGAGATTCACAATCTGGGAACCTCCCTTAAAGAGATTGAAGCTTCATGGGTATGAGCTACGCGCTCTCTCAATCTTGATCGCTTGGCTGGTCGGTCGTGTCGGTTACTGTTCACTTATTAGTACTATGTATGAATAACAATGAGGAGAGTTTGGGAGAGTTTATATATATACCTGACCTTCTACGTGTACTCACTTGATAAAGGACTTTTCTTGACTTGAGACGGTACTTTGAGAGATGAATGGTGTTGTTGTCAGTGTTTGTTGTGTTCGCGTCTTGAAAGATAAAACATAGGCATCCGTTACATAATCGGCCAAAGATCGGACCAACAAGGCCCCTCGGAGAACAGATCGGCTCTTCACCAGGTTCTTGATACTCGTACCATCCCAAGCTCTTCTTACCACAATTGCCTGTTTACCATCCAGGCGTTTCGAACTCATCCCTTCCACTGAAATATGTGAGCAATGAACACATACACATACCTCCACCACCCGATTCCCCACCGATGAGTTCCAACGAGCTATGAACAATGAGCCCACTCCAACCCCAGCGGCCCTGCCCAATCCCAATACCACTGCAGAAGACTCCCTAGATGCGCCAGAAGCAGTTACACCACCACCACAAAATGCGCTCTCACCAGTTCAGAAGCGTTTCCAGGCTCAGATCACAAAGAAGTTGGAGTTTATCGACGGGATGATAAAGAATCTGGATATGCTCATCTTCACGGAGATTTGTATCCTGTATTATATGGAGTATGTCTCGCCTTGTAAACCCAAAGAAGGTTTGGTATCCGGGAATGAAGTCTAATGCTTGAATAGTTGCTCCATGTTCCGATTTCTCATGCGCGGTATTCTACAACTGATATTCCTTACCCCGAAACCACCCTCACTTCCGTCCTCACCACCCCACCGACCATTCCTATGGATCATATTTGGTCCCAACCTCTTTTGCGCACTTCTCCACCTCCTTTCATCCCGACCAGAAGCTGGGGAAAGTATGCGAGGCTATTTACACGGAGGGATAATGATCGATATCATAGGACAAAAAGGACCAACCTCAAAGGTCCATTTGCTTATACTGGATATCCTAGTGCTGGGATTACAGTGCTTTATGCTATCAGTGATCGTTGAGAAAGAAAGGTTGACGAAAGTCATGAAGGCTTATACAACCCCAAATAGCTCAGGAAACGCAACACAGACTATTATTCCTACAGCGCAGGATCACGACGCCGAGGAAAGAGGGGTAGCCAGGGATTCTGTCACGGAAAATGGGGATATTGAACTACAACCCCTCACGAATCGAGGAAACGAAGCCTCTTCAGAAGAGAATGAAGAAACAAATGACGATCGGGCCAGGCTATTAGCAGAGCCCGCTCCACGAGAAGACAGAGGCGATGGTTTGGATACTTTTTGGTCTGGGAGGGCGATTATTGCAGATTTGCATATATTGAATACCCTCAGAAGGCAATGGAACGACTATGGAGTTATAAATGGGAACGGGACGGCTGCAGAAGCTGCTTTACAAAACGTTGGATTTCGTGCTGAGGTTGCAGCGATTAGAGCCAACAGGACTATGAGGCTTAACGCGGCCTCTCTGCGATTCCAAAGTGGGGTACAATCTTTAGTTTGAGCTGTTCATGTATAATATCTTTCTCCACTTGGCTGGAATGTAATAATAAGCGGTGCATGCTGAATGGCGTCTGAAGAATTTCATTATTGGGTATCTTACAATTTGTTTTTGATCTGAATTATGCTATTTTCCTTCCCACATTACCAACGCCAATTCCTTTGACACTGACAATTATATCTCCCGTCTCATCCCCACAATCCCGTAAACCCCAATTACTACCTCCGAATCTTTTCAGATCTCTCCCTAATGATATGAAGTCTTCTGTCCCCACAACACCTTTCCCCAGTCTAACTCTTCCAACGTCTTCTGAGCCCATAGCCATGAGGAGTAAGACCGTCCCCATACCAACTGTCGTCACACATCCACCTCTTTCAATACACTCCAGTAGCTGCCATGCTGCCTTCTTCCCAATATCCTCTGGAGTGACTCCTCCATCCGAAGGCGCTGCTACATCCGCAGTGTATATGACCGCCTCCGTGCTACACTCCGCAATCAAGCTCAGTCCAAAGCCCACACCCGTCCGTTTTTTCCCTCCTGGATTCGATGGATCGTTGCTCGATACCAAAGGAGCCTGGCCATACTGCGCAGCAACATGAACATCACTGACAAGCGGATTTAAAATCCCCCTCGCAGCATGTATCATTCTCGCATTATTACTTGCACTCACTCCCGTGCAATACGCCACTCCTCTTATCCTCTTGACCCTTCCAGGACTCCTGTTCAAATGCAGCGTCTTCGGAAGTCTAATCTGTGCACCAAACCTCAATTCCACAATCCCACCACCTCCTTTCCCTCCAGGACCCGCACAACTCCGCTGCAGAACCCTCAATTCCATCTTCGCGCCCAGGATCCCAAATTTCTCATACAAAGGCAGAACCCCCGTTCTGACAGTGTCCACACTCACATCCCCCGTCTCCGTCGCCGAAGTAATCGTCCCCTCCCCCTCAAACCTTACATTACACACCCCCTTCGAGAACGGCGCCAACTGACAAAGCGGCAAAAGAAACCAACTAACCCCCCTCCTACACCCCTCCGGCAGCGAACACACTACTACATCACCCTTCGCGCCCACATTGCCGGTGATCAGACCAGGCTGATATGTGAGCGTCGTCCCCGTATACGAGATCTGTAGGCTCGAGCCATTGGTCACGGAATCGAGGAGGCGAAGGAAGGAGATCTCGTGGGGTGCGAGACCGGGGTTGGTGGGGGACGAGGAGCGGATCTGCGAGATGTGGATGGGTCGGCCGGTCAGCGTGGAGAGGATGAGTCGCTGTGTGAAGGATTTATGGGTTGTGAAGCGCAAGAATTCGGGTGTTGGTGCGGCCATGGTTGAGGTTTTGGGGAGTTGGATTGCGAGCCTCACTTTGGAGGGAGAAATAAAATAATTCTGCCGCTTGGAATGCGACCTCACCGCCCGAAAGTGGGGCGATTTAGAAAGGTCGCCTTGAACTAAATCTCTTTCTTTCTCGATGATCCAAACTAAGATCTTTGGACTCTAGAACTATTCCTCGAATAGTTCTTATCTACTCCCTTCGAGTGTTTTCATCGTGTAAGTTTACCAGGATACCGCCGAAATCAATTGTGAGGGTTAGCAAATTAAGAGTATTTACTGCCTCAAGGCTCATTGTGTAGCTCTTTATTCCTGAAATCATCCTCACTATTTATCACCAACATCTGGGAACTGCAGGTTTTTTTGAATTATTGGTTGATATTGACAACTTCATAGAGCTAACCAAAGCCCATTGCGCTTGTTCGGAAAGTATTCATTGCCATGGTACGCTTCGTGTAGTCTTCCCCCCTCACATCAGTATCCTCATACCAGCCAGAACGACGAAAACAAATTCATGCACCCCGCCAATAAAAAGAGACCATTTTCTCCCCAAAACCCACCATACATCCTCGAAGCGCAATCTGAAGAAAACCTGAGAAAAGAGAAAACATAGCATTTTTACACTGATTGGGAAGCCTCAACTGGGGAGATGGAACTCCGTCTTGCTTAGTGTTACATACGGAATTGCAAAGCAATTCTCGCAGACAGACCATTATCGTTCGCTGATTACTCCCATCCCTCGAGCATGACGCCAGAAAAGGAGGTAGTACCAGCAAAAGTGGTGTAGGCATCAATAAACCATGTCGACAGATCTTGACCGTGAATGTTGTTGAACAAAATAGGCTGAAAAGTTATGCCGTGGTTTCGACCGCTGCAGGCTCGGGGATCTGAGACTTGAATTATTATCCAGAAAACTTGATCAGCGAGGAAACATGAATGCATACCTTTGCTGGCTCCTCAACAGCATCTTCCATAGTCTCGTCCTTGGCCTCTGTAGCAGGTGAAGCTTCAACAGAAACCTTCTCTTCAGCATTGGGCTCGTCTGCCTTGTCGTTCACACCGTTGGGTGCTTCAGATTTAGCCGCCTTTACACCATTGCCATATTTGCGTTCCGAAGCACCATTGGTTGAAGCAACTGGGGTGCCTTGATCACTAGCAAGAAGTTTATTCCACTTGTCAAGCAGGGACTGCGAACGTTGTTTGAACTTGAATTCCTCCTCCTTAGGAATGGTGGTGAGCTTCAAGATGGCCTTCAAGACCTTATTGATTTTTGTGCCCCTAATGATGCTGACCTCCAAGTCAGAATATCCTTCGAGCTTGGTAACAAATTCGGACATCTGCTTCATTTCTTCCTCCTTAGGTTCTTGATCACGAGTAAGCAACCCCTTTTGGAGCTTATGTCGCAAGAACAAAATTTCCTTCTAGAAGTCTGTTAGACATACAGATTCTAATCGAATGGATAAGTGTCTGACCTACCTGCTTGTTGACATGCTTTTCTTCAGCAGTAAGGACAACTTCAGGCTCAGTAGCTTCGTTTTTCTGTGCTTTAGAGGCCTTCTTTGTCTTTGATTTGGGTGTCTTGGTAATACCAGATCCCTTTGCTGCCGACTTTGGTGTACTTGAAGCACCGTTTGTGTTCAACTTGATCTTGGTGGGCTTAGCCTTCTTTGCGGATTCGGCACGTTGGGGTGTCTGGAATACAAATCAGCGTTGTTGGAGATCATGGGGAAGTGCTTTATTACCTCTGACTCTTCATCGGGAATCTTGCGCTTCTTAGTGTTAGTCTTGGGGGTAGGGGCGATGGCAGCTTCCTCAGAATCCATGTCTCCATTGGCATCTGGCATCTCAACATCTTCGTCATCAACAACTTTGGCAGAAGAGATGCGAGGCTTCTTGGTCTTCTTTGCGGATTTTTCAAGCTTGGCCTCGGCAGCAGCTTCAAGGGCAGCCTGCTTACGTGCCTCCTCCTCAGCCTTCTCCTCTTGCCACTTTCTCAAAATGTCTTTGTAGTACTGCAAATCGTGCTGCTCGCGGGCAAGAGCATAGGCGCCAGGAAGATTTTTGTCTTTCTTTTTTTCAGGTTCGCCTGCAACGGCTTCCACGGTCAATGGCTCGAGGGCTTTGTTTGACATCCAAGAACTGTAGAATCCACAATTAATAGGCGTAACAAGGATTATATGTTACAGTATAACTTACAATTCATTCGTCTCCAGGTACATAACTGGGAAGGCTCGTTGCTTGTGCTTTGGTCCTCCTTCCTCATAGCCAGGTCGCCATGAGCCGTCTGGTAAAGCAGCGCCTTGAGGTCGCTGCGCCTTCAACAGGCTTGATGGTAACATATCCTCGTCGCAAATAATTCCAGGCCAGTCCGGGTATCCTTTAAGGTGGATGAAGACATGGTCACCAGGTTGAGCATCAGGATTTGGCTCCCATGAAGGAAGCTTCGCCTTGGAGGCCTTTTTGTTTAACTTCTTTCCCTTATGCTCTGGGACACCTATAGACTTCCGCTTTCCTTTACCCTTGGCTGCAGGTGGAGTTGAAGCAGCTGGGGCGACAGGAGCTTCAAGAGATTCTTCTGTAGATGGAGCTACCCCAGTTGTGTTTGTTGTCTCCTTGTCATCAGCTTCTGTAGGCTCGTTTTCTGGCTTAGGGTCGGTCGAATCGTCTTGGGTGACGTCGTCAGCTTTAATTTTGTTATCGCCATTGGTTTCTTCCTTCTTTGGAGCTGCGACAATAGAATAGGTCAGTAAGAAGCAATAGATAATTGAGCAAGTATAGATAAGACAAGAAAACAGAACATACAAGGCGCGATCAGTTTCCTTTCCTCAGTCGCGACCGATTCAGGCGCGGTTTCTGCGACTGGAATTTCAGCTTTTGTTTCCTCCTCCTTCTTTTCAGTCTTGTCAGTGACCTCCTCAGAGGCCTCTGGCGCAATCTCTGGAGCTGCCACAGCAGCAACAGCTTCGACTTCCGTCTTCTCCGCCATGTCGCTCAGACACTCGTAAGGTTGTGCAATGACAAAAGTACAGTTGCGATTGTGACAAACGCGTCGCGAAGAGATTTTGCGATGGCAATCAGTGGCGATACTGATGCAGGTAAAGGTTGGATGGTTGCGTGATGATTGTGTTGACTTCTTGGATGAGATGGGAGTTCAAGAAAAAGGCAGACCGACCGCGCAGATGAGATGGGTGCAAGTGGAGGAACGAACCTTGGAAGGCAAGGTCTCATGGTCACGGGGTCCGAGAGGGTGAAGGCTGAAGGCGAAAAGACTCCAAGCACCACGAAAGTCTCAACGACGCAAGGGTGAATTAAACTCCACAACAACCATAGAGAAATCAGATAGAATGAAAAGACATAATTCACCAGCTTGGTATTGACAAGAGCTTTATATTTCTGTTGCAACCACTTTTCAGCTAACTACTACCTCTAACGCAGGGCTCACGGCAACCGTTGCGAACAATAGGAAACAGACAACATACAAACCATGACAACCCAGACTTCTGAGATCAGTCACAATGTAAGCAGCGTCACAATCTCTCACAATACAGGAACAAAGAAAGTTATAGACCGCATTGGGAGTATGGGGATGGGGGGAACTGGGAGAACTAACTGGCTGGAACTAGGACTTGGCCATGGCCCCCTCAACCCCAGTGCCGCTTTTTCCAGCAACACCACAGGCTGAGGTGGGAGTGCTCATGCTCCTGGAGCGAGGCGAGGCGACGGACCAGCCAACTCCTTCCCCTCAGGGCCTTATGCCAGCGAATCACGAAGCAGAAATGGGATCTGCGCCTGGCCGTGCCACCGCAACACAATCATCGAGAGCCAAGCAAATGAAAGAGAATCCCATGGAATGTCGGATCCTCCCAACATCCTGAGCAAATCGTAAAACGGCGTTTGGTCCATCTAACATTTCCTTCATTCCGATCTAGTATACAACGGTGTTTTTTGGGGGGAAGTTGCTGACAAGTGGCAACTGGTAATAAGACCTCACTATTCGTCCTCGTCCTCATCCTCATCCATGCCCTCCGCAACGGTCACCGTAAAGCTAGGATCTTGATCAACCCCAACGTAGCTGTCGCTCATCAAGAATAGCTTGAGCTCGTGCTCGCCAGGCGTTGGAACCGTGTACTCGAGTCTCACGTTCAAGCTTCGACCGATTGTAATGCGTTTGATCGCAAGCAACGTCTTCGAGCTCTCCTCCCCAACAACCAACCACCAGTTCTCCATTTTCTTCGCCGGGTAAAAAGGAGCGTGTACCGTAGTGTCCACATCACCCTCGTCTTCTTCCACGTCACGTACAATCTTGATCTTGATATACGCTGGGGTCCCGGCCGTGATATCATCCGGGTCCTCGAGCTCAAAGTCGAGCTCAATATTAGGATATCTGTTGTTTGTGAACGCTGCTGCCTGTCCCAGCTGAGATTGTGACAATCCTAGTCGCTGCACAAGTGTCTTGTAATTGGGATTCTCAGAAGGATCCATAGCTTCCATAAATTCAAAGATATCCTTGACACTGTAAAAAAGAGAGATGTTAGTATGCGCAGTGACCATTTGTAAAGAGAAAACTTACCCCGATTCGTTTGCAGCCGCAACAGCTTCTGGAGTGAAGTGCGGGATTTGCTTTAGAGTGCTGTCGCGATCCCACATGCCTTGAACTACCATTTGCGACATTTCCATAGCGTTCATGGCGTTGATATGACCGTCAGAAGACAGAATATCGACAGTGGCACTAAGCAAGCTTAATACTTTCGTCAAGATGATCTCCTGGTCTTTAGCCAAATCAATCGGCAATTGCATCCTTGAGAAATGAGCTTGGAGTAATACGAATGCTTTGAAATGGGGGGAATCGTAGCTTGGCTGTGCCATCTTGACTAGTGTCCGATCGTACACTCTGCGAAGCAAATTATCCTCATGCCTTCTGATTTGAATAGACTCGAACTCAGTTGCCGAAGAAACGATTTCGAGGATTCCCTTCAGCTTGGTTCGCCCACTTAAAGACAATAAGAAAGTTTGCATCGTGATGTACGATATATTGTAGTAGGCAGCTATCATAGCTGCGTTCAAAGGCGTAACAGAATCGTCGTCTTCGTCCAGGTCAATAATCTTAAACTCCGCCAGGTCTTTCAATGTTGTTTCCACAAGCTCAGAGAGATGGGAGCTCAGGCCTTCATGAGAGACATCAGTCAGACTGTAGTAACTGGGGTTTGCCAATAGTCGACGGTAGAAATATGTGAAAGTCGTCCAGTTGATCGCGTCATCCGCAGATTCAATCATTTTCGTGCTTATCTCTGAAACAAATGCATCATGCAGGAACACTTGGAGATGACTTTCTATCGGAAGAGCCTCGTTCAAGAACTTTTTGTAGTACTCACGCTTCACTGCTGGAGTCATCAACACGCCTCTGCTTAATTTATCCTCAAGAGGGCGCGATGCTTTGCCAAACATTTGCAAAACCTCGCTCAGAGGATAATCAACGTATCTGTGTTCTCGGCCTTCATAGTATTGAGTCCCCATCACCACGATCAGATGAGCATTGCAGTCCAGCTCCCAACAGACGTCCCGAGAAGCAACCATGACTTGAATTGCGCCGTTGTCATAAAGATGCTTTACAATTCGCTTATCTCCAGCACTCAACGCTTCATGGTAATAGCCAACTCCATGGGATATTGCTTCTGCCAGAGCTTCTTCGCCTATCCTCTCCAGTAAAGGCTTCATCTGCTCAACGTCCGCATGAAGAAATCTGTCTTCGTCATCACTTGCTATGCAGGCCGCCAGTAAGTCCCGACTGGTTGCACGTGCCTGCTTTCGACTAGGGACGAAAACAAGCGCGGGCTTGTCTGGCGATAATTGAAGTATGGAAAGATATGTGGGCTTAGCCATTGCAAGCATAAGTGATGGGAAATGAGGGATAGTGAACGACTGGATATGCAACTCCAAAGGGACTGAGCGAACGTGGGGGCTGAAGTTGTAAATATTGTGTTTTTTAGCATCAATCCATTCTCCAATGTCTCTGGCATTTGCAAGCGAGACACTCAACCCGACAACTCTCAATGGCAGCTGCGTCTGAGAGCGGATATAGTGCATTCGAGATACGATAATTTCGTACACGAATCCTGACTGCCCGCCAAGCATATGAAGCTCATCCGCGATGAAGAGCTCTACGGTCTGAACATTCTTTCGACGTTGCCACTGACGTGATAGTACATCCCATTGAGAAGGAGTAGCTAAGACGAGGTCGCCTCGCTCCAGAAGCTTAAGATCGGCAGTGGTTTCGCCGGTCAATTTCACAATCTCCTTGCCGCCCCGAAGTTTGGAGAAGCGCTTCTGCCAATCCGCAAATCGTAGATCAACGAGCTCTTGAAATGGAGCAATATAGACTGCACGACCAGGACTTGGCTTAGACCACTGGTGGAGCAAAGCGAACTCTGCGCAAACAGTCTTTCCGCTTCCTGTTGGGGCACCGACGAACACATTGTCATCTGTGGAGTATAGAGAAGTAAATGTTTGAGTCTGAATTTTGTTAAAGCGCTCCCAGTTCGGATACAAAGCCTTGAAGTCTTCAGTCTTAAGTGCAGCAACTGGAAGAGGTTGCAGGTCCAAAAGTGGAGTATGAGGGGGAAATTTCTCCGGGAGAATCAGTTTTTGGAACGAAACAGCCAACTTCGTCTCCGAATGCATCCAACGATCCGAGATGACCGAGACAAAGTAATTTGGTGGCATTGGCTCCGTAATCGGTACGGTAAATTCGACAACATGCTCATTCATTTCTGCTTGTGCGAAATCCTTTCGGAGAATGAACTGATCATGGAATAGAATGTCTTCGCCGTCACAATCCTCAGCAGTTATCCAAAAGCTTTCTGCAGTGCCATGAACTTCCTCATCCCATTCGAATTTTGGAGTGATTGTCAGTTCCACCCTCAACATCGACCGTGTCATTGGTTGAACTTGGGCTTGAACATCTAATCGCGGAAACTTCGACACAAACTCGCATACCTTCTTACCAGCTTTCGGGAGCCCAAGCAGTTCACCCATTCTGGGTGGATCTAAATCGAAATAGCTAGTCCAAGGCACATCGATTCTCTCTGCCTTCTGTACGATATCCCTCGGGCAATGTTGAAATTGACGCAGAGGGCTCATGGTAGGCCACATACGCTTCTCGGCCATCTTGCAAAGCTCGAGAGCGGTCTTTGCAACCGAAGACCATCCTTTCTTAAGGGTAATCTCAAATATAGCTCGGAGAATTCGGCCGGCAGATTGCGTCACGTAAACAAGATCTGCCATCAGCGCTAGGCCTTCAAGCTTCAAACGTGATATGTAGGCTTGTAAAAGTACGTTGATTTTCGCATGAGGTTCCTCAATACTTTCTTTAACGGGAATGGGCACACGTCCAAGTAATTTGGCGAGCTCCAATTTCTCATCCTGACGAACCGGAATGTACTTGAACTCGTCGCTCAATGCAAAGACGCGGAATAGCTCAATGGGGGTAATCGAAGGTTGTATGTGGTGATTGTAGGTCAGCATGGACGTATGTGTAATGTAGTAGTGTGAAGAGATACGCCCAAGCTCGGTCGATTGCAACTTGCCAGTCTTCTTGTCATATTTGACCAAATTGGACTTCTCGAGCACCACTGCAGCCGAGTGTATTAGGTCAACACGCTTTTGCTCCAAAGAATTATCCTCTTCGTAGTCTGCCCCCACACTGTATAATCCAGGTGATCGCAGCATTCGAACAAATAGATAAGTATAACCTAGCCATTCCACGCCTTCGTCTCGACTGCGGACATTGCCCAAGACAATTTCAGCATTGAGATTGTCTGCCAATTTGCTAACAAACTGACTTTCAATTGGCAATTGTTGGTTGAGAAGGGAGAGATAGTACTGCATCTCTGTCTGGGTGGTAATAATGATACCTTCTCCATAAGTATCATATTGTGGTCTTCCTGCACGTCCAAGCATTTGCAGGACGTCCTGAGGACTAAGTTCAACCCAGCTGCCCTTTTCTGGTGAGTAAACTTGTGTGCCCTTGATAATGACTGTATGCGCTGGTAGATTGACACCCCAGGCCAAGGTGGCAGTGCACACGAGGACTTGAATGAGTCCATCATTGAAGAGATCCTCAACAGAAGTACGATCCGGCCGGCTCATTCCTGCGTGGTGGATACCAAAGCCATACGGAAGTAGATCCTTCAGCTCTCTGTCATTCACGGCCTCGGCCTCCGAATTCAGTGCTTCCCTACTACCAGCATCACTTCGGAGAATCTGTCCAATCGTCTCCATCTCTAGAGCCTTGTCACGAATATACCTAGCAGTCTTTGACGTCTCCTTGCGAGAATGGACAAAGATGAGCATTTGGTTACGGTTCTTCCCAACATGTTCGAGTACTTTGGTATAGGTAACATCATTCATGGTCTTCAGCTGCTTGATGGCTTTCTTCTCGGTAATTCCGACAAACTCCTGGCGAAGAGGACAAGGCCGGAACGATCCGTCGAAATGAAACATTCCCTTTACTGGATCAACTCTCAGGAAGCTTGCCACATCTCGGTAGTTGGGCAAGGTTGCAGAGAGTCCAACAAGGCGGACAGGGTCACCAGTTTGTTCCATCTTTCTAATGGTCCTGCTAACAATACTTTCCAAAACTGGACCACGGTCATCGTGCAAAAGATGGATTTCATCAATGATGATAAGTCGCACAAGATTTGTATAGCTCAAGTCGGTAGCCTTTCTGGTTATGACATCCCATTTCTCAGGCGTGGTCACAATGATTTGTGTGTCCGCAATTTGTTGCTTTGTCAATTGTCGGTCACCAGTCAATTCTGAAACGGTGATACCATATGGCTTCAACCTGCCACCAAAGTTTCCTACCTGCTCTTGAACAAGGGCTTTGAGAGGAGCAATATAGACAATCTTGAAAGCATCTAGATTGATTTCACCAGTTTCGGGGTTGCGGTTTTTTCCAATCTCGCGGAGGATAGTTAGCATACCAACGTTAGTCTTCCCACTACCGGTCGGAGCACAGATGAGCATGTTTCCGTCGTCTTCGAAGGCCTGAGGAAAACATTTCGACTGGATTTTGTTGAGTTTGGTTGCAGAACTGAACGGCACTCGAGCCCATTCTGGCATTTCAGTAACAGGAATATCGCGATCGCCCGGTTCATTGCGCTTTTTAGGGGCAGGTACATGAATTTCTTCGTATCCTTTGAATGTTCGTTTCGTTGAACCCTCTGGAAGTCGCACTTTAGGATTTGTCATCAAGTGGTTGCCCTGATCGAATATCAAGTTCTCCAGGTTTATAAGCTTTCGCGGTTGCAGTCCTCCTACAAGCCCGCCATCGCCCTTTTGTTCTGCCTTGGAACCACCATTCGTGAACGAGGCTGGTACATCAATGTCCATTTTGATCTCCAGTTTTCGCTTTTTGGTGCTATCTGAAGAAGCAAGTCCTCTTAATTCCTCGAGAATCCACCGCAGCCCTTCAGATGCTATTTCTCGCTCCACAACCCCCCGGGCCTCGGCGTCCTCTGCTCGAGCCAGTCGAGTGAGCCAGACAACTTTGTCTCGATTAGATATTAATCTATGTACCAGCTCGTGATGTTCATAATCAAACAGCTCGGCTAGATCATTTTCAATTTCTCGCAAAGGCTTTTCCTCGCCGCCTTCCTCTTCAGGGGCCCCAGAAAGAATATGAAGAGCTTGCTGAGTTTTAACTTGTTGGATATGTGCATCTGAGTATATGGTGCCGATTTGTCTCTGGAGCCAATAGGCGTCTATATCGCGAGCGGGGATTGAATTCTTCTCCCTTTCTTTGCCAGCTTCATTCTTAACGGTTCCTGAGTCAATGATCATGGCCTCTTCTTCTGGTACCTCCTGAGATCCTTCGTCGCCGTCTTCTCTAGCTCCACTAGCAGCTGCGGCCTCTCCGGCTCCAGGGCGGTCCTCGCTATCCTCTTCGTCCTCGGATGACTCGTCTCTGATCTCGTTTACCATGTCGGCTCCTTCTTCGTCTTCTGAATTATCATCAAAAACGACAGCGACACCCTGACGATCATCAATTTCTGCGCCATCTTCGCCGTTCTCTCCGTCTCCCATTACTTCATCCTCATCCTGCGCTTCGTAGTCGGTAATCTTCTTTCCCAAATTCACAAGCTCATTAAATTGTTTTGGTGTCATGGATGTGCCCAACAGCTCATCAATCTCCTTTTTCTTATCAAAATCCTTCATGTCATCGTCCTTCAGATATTCCAATACGGCATCCGCAGCACTTCTGACGATTTCGTGGGATACATCACCAAGATTGTTTGCGACCGTCGTGAGAATGAGATCGTACGTTGCGCGGGTCGCAGATGTCCGGGGTCTATAGACGATTCCCTCTACCAAAGCATCCGCAGCAGATAGAATCCCAGTGCCACGGAGTTGTGCTGGCTCGCCGCGCTTTCGTTTCCGTTGCTCTCGTTCCAAGACATCTTGTCCTTCTTGAAGTCCACCTCTCTCCACATCCGGTAGCCCGGTCGCCTTCTTCTTCTGTTTCGGGGCATCGTCGCGCGCATTCCTGGACCCCATGTCGCGAATACTTAGCCTTCCAGCGAGTGATTCTGGGTCACCAGTAACTTCGTCATTGCGCCGAGTAACAAATCGTCGGTCCGCCTGGAGGACCAGATTGGACATCTCCGAATACTTGTACTGCGAGACATTGCGCTGTTGGTCCTTGTCCGCCATATTGTCTGGATATGGGGTTTCTGTTGGGATGTTGTGGTCGAGGCAAGGTCCTGATGCTCAGGATACCTATAGTTGGGGGACGCACTCTGAGACGGTGGGAAGAGCCAATTTTATCATGAAGAAGAAATCCGGAAGTTCATCAGGTAACCATGGGGGCTGGGAAATTCGGAAGGGGGTAGTGCAATATGTGATAGAAATCAACGTTGGATCTGGATCTCCGCCAGAGAGCAGCCTGGTCAATATGTAGAGCTTAAAAACTTTGGTTTGGGATTAACGTTGACATTGCTTACATCAGCACTGGTGGGTGCCTCTATCACAAGGCTGACACGACGGCAACCACCTAAAAGTCAACATCAAAGTCAACATTAAAGTCAAAGAACCAAGACATTAACACCGCCAATTCGCAAGCAGCAAGGAGGTTCTGGAGCAGCATCACATCATACCATGCAGGAATCCCTCAGTCTTCCAGACCCAATAAGGAAACTACAGAAATCCTTGGACCCTTACGTCAAACAAAGACGAGACGCAGCCCAAATTCGACGCATCCTAGCAAGCCACTTGAATTCAACTCTTCACCCACAAGAGCCGGGCAGCTTGCCTCAGCCATTGTCTCTTGTAGATTCGTCGTGTAGTCTCGATTCCACGACTCACGGCCTTAAGGGGGCGCAAAAAGAATATGTACGTTGCGCTCGAGCAAATCTAAAGGCTAGAAGAGACTATGCACAAGCCAGCAATGAACACCAAGGGAAACAAAACGCGAATAAAATCGTCGTTGAACAAGATGCCGAAGACCCAATATCTGATTTTCTGCATCTCGTCAAACAGCAACAAAAACACGATGTGCTATGCATTAGTCAAGACTACATCAACATGCTGAACAAGAAACCCGCTGCTATGTCTCAACATCTGGATCCCCAAGACGTTTTGAAAAATCTAGACTCCCTTCCTCACGTGCCTTCTGAAGTTTTGCAGGCGCCAGGAACCAAATCAAACTCGGAGGGGGGCGATTTAAGTGCGCTGTTGGACAGGCTTGAAAAATCGGTTCTGCGAGCAAAATTGCTTTTGAAAAGGGAGCAGAAGCTTCTTGCCAAGTTCAGGGCGAACAATGAGTCTCCAAGTGCAATCGAGAGCTCAAAGTTGCAAGCGCTTGCAACAGCCCGAAACGAGTTGATTAATTGGGTTGAGACTGAACTTGCTCGAGCGGGAGACTCACCGGATTCCGAAGATGAACACCACTCGCCCTCGCCTGGTGTAGAATTGGGGCGTGGTTTTATGGATTCTCAACTCCTTCTAATTAGCAAGCAATACGCTAGATATGCGAAACTTCGGCAGAGTTTGGTGAACGCAACAACCTGTGATCTTGACGTCAATGTGGGAGGATTTGCGGAAGAGGCAACTCTGTCCGAACAGTTTGAGCCCAAATCGATCCATTCCACAAGTCATATTTCACATCCCTACTTTGAGGAACTCGTCTCCATCTCGAACCAGCAAAAAGCAACAAGCCAACAGAAATCGCACCTTGCAATTAGCTTAGCGAAACTCACGAAGGAAGTAAGTCAAGCACTGGACCGTCTGACTGATGAGAGTCACCTTCTCCAAGCACATCCTTTTACAGACAAGGCTGCTCAACGTCGCGGAAGGGAGAGTTCAGCGTCATTTGCGGAAGAAATTTCAAATCATGAGAAGCCAGATTCGTTTACGCGAGCTCGAGGATGGACTTATGCATCAGACTCTGCTGCTACTTTGGCAAAGATGGCAACTTTGGAGAAACTGGAAGAAGGTAGTACCTTGATTGATAGTACGCGACAATCCTTCCTTGACCTTCAACATCTTATAGGCTCTCAGCCGATGGATGAAGGCGGGCGAGAGGGCACACGTCACGATATATGGGCGCATATAAACGGGACCTTAGGGGCAATCTAGTATAACTTAGGCTTCATGCTCTCAATCCTTTAATAATACTGGTATATGATCCTACAACTGTTTACCGTATAGCTCCTGGGTTGTCATGTTGTGAAGATGTGCTTCTAGAAATTCTTTGGAGTCTTGAAATCAAATAAGATACTTAATTACATAAAGTGATACACATCGCCTTATACCATTAGCCATGTATGGATTTTGTGAGCCCAGAAGTTGTGCTCCTGAATCCTCCTAGAGTGAATGAATTGGTCCTGGTCTTTGGCTGAAAGGTAACGAAGCATGGTCTGTGCGCGCATATCAAATAATTTTGGTGGGCACTGCAGGTAGTGGGGGATGACTCCTAGTGACTGACTACAAGCTGCAACTCTACAAGAAAAAAACAAAACACTTTGAACTTCTGCGAACCTGCGCAGGAAAACTGCAACAATGGCAAACGCACAAGATGCACCATCGGGCGACCTGCCTTCCAAAATCCTCAAGGCACTCTCCCAGCAAGAGCCGATACTTTCTGCAGACACATTCCCCTCATACAAATCGACCGAATTGAAAGGCGCATTAGACCGCTTAGCCTCGAGGTCGATGGTAACGTACGAGACAATTGACAGAGAAGAGGCCGTTCTGGAAGCTGAGGCTCTCGAAATCGCAGCGAATGGTAGCCACGAAGCGCGGGTCTTCGAGGCATTGCGAACAGCTGTTGCTGGCCTTACGGTTTCCGAACTCGAGGCGGTAGTTGGCGATAAGAATGTTGTAAAAGTCGGCCAGGGCAAAGCATTCAAGTCCAAGTGGATTGCCAAAGGCAAGGAGGGGCGTCTGGTTGCTTCAGTGAGTCCAAATTACCCCTCAACCCCTCATTATACGATAAGATACTGATCAAACACACAGACCGATTCCATACAAGATACCACTCGCGAGCAATTAAAAATCATTCAAGAAACACAAACCCATCCAGACCCAAAGATTATCGCAGATTTGAAAAAGAGAAAACTGGTCAAGATGCAGAAGATCATTCATTTCAAGATTGTCAAGGGTCCTAAGTTCGCGCTTGAGATCACCAAGGAAGAAACAGATTTGACTGCGGACATGCTGTCTTCGTAAGTATACACATTTATTTTGATCATTCAGCGCCTTACTAACGATGACAGGGGTGCATGGAAAACCGCAGCTTTCAAGCCATACAATTTCAAATCGCTAGGAGCCGATCAGAACGCAGGAGCTTTGCACCCACTTAACAAGGTCCGACACGAGTTCCGCCAAATTTTCTTTGAGATGGGATTCGAAGAGATGCCAACGAACCGATATGTTGAGACGGGCTTCTGGAATTTTGATGCTCTCTTCGTTCCACAACAACATCCTGCCCGTGACCTCCAAGATACTTTCTACATATCAGACCCAAAGACGGCAGACAAGCCACATGCAGAATCAGAGGATGACAGGGGCGACTATGAATCATATTGGAAGAATGTTCAGGAGGTACATCAAGAGGGGAAGTACGGATCAATAGGTTACAGATACCCTTGGGCTGAAGATGAGTCCTTGCGGTTGGTTCTCCGAACACATACCACCGCCATCTCGACAGCAATGCTTCATAAATTGGCATCTAAGAAGGGTCCGGATGGAAGACCACCACCAGCTCGTTACTTCTCTATTGACCGTGTCTTCCGCAATGAAACTGTTGATGCAACACATCTGGCAGAATTCCACCAGGTTGAAGGTGTTATTGCCGATTATGGTTTGTCTTTAGGTGGGCTCATGGAGTTTATGGAAATCTTCTTCCACAAGATGGGCATCGAGGATTTGCGATTCAAGCCAGCATACAACCCATACACCGAGCCCAGTATGGAAATTTTCAGTTTCCATAAGGGGCTGGACAAGCTCGTGGAGATTGGAAATAGTGGTATGTTTAGGCCGGAAATGTTGGAGGCGATGGGGTTGCCAAAAGACATGCGGGTCTTTGGTTGGGGCTTGAGTCTGGAAAGACCAACTATGATCAAATATAAGGTACGTGCTGCTTTTCTACTCATTTACGAGACTTCTAACATAGGTTTAAGGTCAATAACATTCGTGAACTGCTGGGACATAAGGTAGACCTGTCTTTCATTGAGAGAAATCCGGCTGTAAGATTGGAGAAGTCGTAGACGGAGGAAAAACTAGATGAAATAGTGAGATTCTAATTTGGGCCCATCATCTTCAAGAGCCACAAGTGGAAGTATCCCGATTTGATGGCTATCTTTTGATGCATGACAGAGTCTACCTTGCGAAGTTATTCAGGTAAAGCATGAAAAACACTCGTTGTTTTAGAGTCGTTGTCATTTATACGAGTTGCGAGAAAATGAAATTGACGTGGTTTGCCGTGGTTCCGGTCTGAGAACTTTGAGCTCCGCGGATCGCTTACCATAGATCAAGGTCGGACGTAATTCTGATAGAGCTTAGCTTTAGCTTACATTTTGTAGCCCTGGTTTCGTGCCGAGTTATCTTTAGACAGCTCGAGACCTAATTATTCAGAATTCAAGAATGACTACTTGAATTTTTGCAAATGGAAGAATTCGTGATTGCCTCTGAAGATTTCGAATTATTGAAATTTCGCTCTTACGCGATGGATGATATCATGGCTGCAGGATTAAATTTCTGCCTCTTAAATCTTCACGCAGGGATGCTAATTGGAGATGATGATTGGCGGTCGCTCACAGCATACCAGCAGCAAAATAGCTCTTGGGTAGGGCTGTGGGGGCACACTCTTCCCATTCGTTCATCTGAAGATGTGAAAATCTTGCTCTAGCGTGACTGCACCCGACTCCAGCGAGTTGAAAGTTCAGGGCCTGTTTGGCAGAAAAAAAATTGTTGGCACCATGCCGAGTTCGGCGCTAGAGCAGCCTACAAACATGGTCCAAAGCGGTACCTCAACTAGTAGCAACCTAGTAGCACCCTAGTAGCAACCTATGGGCCTAGTCGCAGCCCAGCCCAGCAATGAGGGGCAGCAGCCAAGCACCACTAAAAAAGCTGGTTCAGTTGGGGTAGACCCACTGCAGCGTAGCGTAGCGTGAGGTGAGCTCCAAGATAATATTTCTCTTCTCCTCGAAATCTTTCCCAACTATTGCTTTCATACCTACACAACACTTACCAGTCTCCCCTTCATTGACCATGTTGAGAGATTTTGAGCCAAGCAAGCTTGTGAGTTCCATTCTTGTCATAATCGTCTCAATAGTCTATAATGGTACCATCTTCTAACGATCGTCACCATTCAGCAAACCTAGGAACTTTATCTTTCCCCGACCAGCTTTCCTTGAAAGAAGATTCCACCAACATCACCATACGAAAAGCATAACGATATTTTTTAGTCAAACAAAACCCAACAATCCTCTCTGAGAGGTGGCAGAATCCCCATTGAGTGTCAAGAAGTACGATTGAGAAAAAGGTTCAATCCTTTACTCTGCACCATGGCTTTCTCCATCCGCGCAGCAACTCTTTCAAGCTGCTCCCTTCGCCAGATCAGAATTCCTTCTGCGGCTGGCAGAAGCTTCACCACCATCCGCAGCACTCCCAGATGTCTCTATCCTAAGACACAAGCTGTCACTGGCAAGAATGCGCAGCCAATTCGTCTTTTCTCTGTCTCGGTCACTCGTCGGGACCAAAGCCAGACCGCCCCAAATGCAAAGGCATACTTGGAGAGCGGAGTCATAAAGGGAGCCAAGAACCCTGTGGACGTGAAGAAGGTCCTGGTTATTGGTTCTGGGGGTTTGGCAATTGGACAAGCTGGAGAATTCGACTATTCAGGTTCGTGGGTTTCCAATTTTCTTGCCCTTGGAGTGAAATGAGTCACTTGGGAAAGAATCTCGGGCACAACCAATCGCGCTATATGTTGCCATGGGGCTATTTCTTTGCGCCATAGCTATGGAATCTTTGCACTTTTGTGTGGCACATTTCGTAATTGGTGGCACGAGAGGACTTGGCTTTTCAAAATAGATAGGCGGGGCTAACACGCTTTCCATATAGGATCCCAGGCTTTGAAGGCTTTGAAGGAAGCTGGAGTGTCTTCAGTTCTCATCAACCCTAACATTGCTACTATTCAGACTGCAGTAAAGTCACCTTCTATACTATCCTACACAAAGTTACTGACGATTTTACTAGCACGTTCTTACCGATGAAGTCTACTACCTACCAGTTACTCCAGAATATGTCACCTATGTCATTGAGCGAGAACGTCCCGATGGTATCTTCCTCACCTTCGGAGGCCAGACTGCCCTTAACTTGGGTGTTCAAATGGAGAGAATGGGTATCTTTGAGCGATATGGCGTAAAGGTTTTGGGTACCAGCATCAAGACCCTTGAGACAAGTGAAGATAGAGATCTCTTCGCTAAGGCTCTTGGTGAGATCAACATCCCAGTCGCCCAATCAATTGCTGTCGGAACCGTTGATGAAGCTTTGGAGGCTGCTAAGGAAATTGGATATCCTATTATCGTCCGAGCTGCTTATGCTCTCGGAGGTCTTGGGTCAGGTTTTGCAAACAACAAGGAAGAGCTCCGCAACATGTCTGCAAGATCTCTCACCCTGTCTCCTCAGATTCTGGTCGAAAAGTCTCTCAAGGGGTGGAAAGAGGTTGAATATGAGGTGGTCCGTGATGCCAGCAACAACTGCATCACTGTCTGCAACATGGAAAATTTCGATCCACTCGGAATTCACACTGGTGACTCTATTGTAGTGGCACCCAGTCAAACTCTCAGTGACGAAGAATACCACATGCTTCGTTCGGCTGCCATCAAGATTGTTAGACATTTGGGTGTCGTCGGCGAGTGTAACGTCCAATACGCTTTACAACCCGATGGACTCGATTACCGTGTTATCGAAGTCAACGCCCGTCTATCCCGATCATCTGCACTCGCTTCCAAGGCAACTGGTTACCCTCTTGCTTACACAGCTGCAAAGATTGGTCTCGGACACACTCTCCCTGAGCTTCCAAATGCAGTTACCAAGACCACCACCGCTAACTTTGAGCCTTCTTTGGACTACGTTGTTACCAAGATTCCTCGATGGGATTTGGCCAAATTCCAACACGTGAAGCGTGACATTGGTAGTGCCATGAAGTCGGTTGGTGAGGTTATGGCTATTGGTCGAACTTTCGAGGAATCTATTCAAAAGGCCATTCGACAGGTGGATCCCCGCTTCATCGGATTCCAAGGCGATAAATTCGAGGACCTTGATTATGAATTGGCCAACCCAACCGACCGCCGATGGCTCGCTGTTGGACAGGCTATGCTTCACGAGAACTACTCAGTCGACAAGGTTCATGATTTGACCAAGATTGACAAATGGTTCTTGTATAAGCTCCAAAACATCGTCGATTGCACACGCGAATTGGAGGATGTTGGAAGTCTGTTCGGGCTGAAGAAAGAACTCGTTCAAAAGGCTAAGAAAATGGGTTTCTCTGACAAGCAAATTGCAAAGGCAGTTGGAAGCACCGAGGATGAAGTCCGAGCTCGCCGAAAGAACTTTGGCATCACTCCTTTCGTTAAGAGAATTGATACTTTAGCCGCTGAGTTCCCTGCAAACACCAATTACTGTAAGACCCCATACTTGGAAATGTTATGCTGGGATAAGTCACATGACCTTTTCGGCTATTTTTCAGTCTGCTAACATGTTGCAGTGTACACAACCTACAACGCCACAACCCACGATGTAACTTTCGATGATCACGGAACTATCATTCTGGGAAGCGGTGTCTACAGAATTGGTAGCTCTGTCGAATTCGATTGGTGTGCTGTCAGCGCCACCCTTGCCTTAAAGGAGATGGGCAAGAAGACTGTCATGATCAACTAGTAAGTGATCTCCGAGTAGATTCTTCTCAATGAAACCCACTGACGATTGAAATTCAGCAACCCAGAGACCTATAGGAAAGTAGCTCTTTCGTTCCAAAAAACGCAAAACTAACATCTCATAGTACTGATTTCGATACTGCCGACAAACTCTACTTTGAAGAGTTGAGCTACGAGCGTGTAATGGATATCTACGAACTCGAGTCTGCTACCGGTGTAGTCGTCTCTGTCGGAGGTCAATTACCTCAAAACATTGCTCTTCGTCTTCAAGAAACTGGTGGAGCCAAGATTCTTGGTACCGATCCTAAGGACATTGACAAAGCAGAAGACAGACAAAAGTTTTCCGAAATCCTTGACAGCATTGGAGTCGATCAACCAGCCTGGAAGGAACTTACTTCCGTTGCTGATGCTGAGGCATTCGCTGAACAAGTTAGCTACCCCGTCCTTGTTCGCCCAAGTTACGTTCTCTCCGGTGCTGCCATGACCGTCATCCGAAGCAAGGATGAACTCAAAGACAAGCTTGAAGCTGCCAGCAACGTTTCTCCAGACCACCCAGTCGTTATCACCAAATTCATTGAGGGTGCCCAAGAAATCGATGTCGATGCCGTCAGTTCCAATGGCAAGCTCATCATCCACGCTGTCAGTGAGCACGTCGAGCAAGCTGGTGTTCACTCCGGTGACGCTACTCTTGTTCTTCCTCCCGCTTCTCTCGATCAAGCTACCATGGACCGTGTCAAGGAAATTGCCGTCAAGGTTGCCAAGGCATGGAGCATCACTGGACCATTCAACATGCAAATCATCAAGGCCGATGACCCTGCAGGTGGCTTACCTGCATTGAAGGTTATTGAATGTAACTTGCGTGCTTCCCGCTCTTTCCCATTCGTCAGCAAGGTTCTTGGTATCAACTTCATCGATGTCGCCACCAAGGCTCTTGTTGGCAAGGGCGTCCCTGAACCAACTGATCTTATGGCTGTCAAGCGCGATTACCTTGCTACCAAGGTTGCCCAATTCTCCTGGACTCGTCTTGCTGGTGCTGATCCTTTCTTGGGCGTCGAAATGTCCAGTACTGGTGAAATTGCTTGCTTCGGAAAGAACCTCGTTGAGGCTTACTGGGCATCTCTGCAATCAACCATGAACTTCCGTATGCCAGAGCCAGGAGAAGGTCTTTTGTTCGGTGGAGATGTCACCAAGGATTCTCTTACCAAGATTGTCAACTACTTGTCACCTCTCGGCTACAAGCTTTACGCCGCTGATCGAAAGGTTAAGGGGTTCCTCGAGTCAACTGCAAGCAACGGCATCAAGGTGGAGGTTATTGAATTCCCAACAGAAGATAAGCGTGCCTTGAGAGAGGTATTCCAAAAGTACGATATCCGTGGATGTTTCAACTTGGCCCAGGCCCGAGGAAAGACTGTCCTTGATGTCGACTATGTTATGCGTCGAAATGCCGTAGACTTTGGTGTGCCACTTTTCATGGAGCCAAAGGTAAGCTCAACATTCCCATTATTTCCATTGATCATTACTAACACATTTATCACAGACTGCCGAGCTTTTCGCCCAATGCATGAACGAGAAGTTGCCACGAAAGGAAGGTATTCCATCGGAGGTTCGCAGATGGTCCGATTTCATTGGTGGAAAGCCATTGTAGATGCTTGAATTTCCTTTCGTTGAGATTTAGGTTTCAATTGTGTATAAGCTAGGTGTAGTCTCCGGGGGCGTTTGAAACTCGGTGACGGACATGATTTTCCATGTGCGATATTTGCGAGTAAATGAAATACAAAAGTTCTTTTTTTGATCTCTTAAGTTGATGTCCCTGCCTTTGAATTATCCGACAGACCTGTGATAATTGTCCATTGTTCTAGGGGTTTAGGTTAATAAGTGGTGATTATGTGAGATGGTTGGGTAAACTATTTTTATTGTTCGAAATACTTGGATCAATAACTCCTGATTGATCGAGATATTTGGGTTAATGGTTTTTATTGTCGAAATACTTGGATTAGTAACTTCTGATTAATCGAGATATTTAGGTAAACCAATTTTGTTTACCTAGATGGTTCGGGCAATCAGTTTAATTGTTTTAAATCGTTGGTATAATTTAATTTATACTAAATCTTTACGATAAGAGAATTATATAAATCATCCCAAGTGTCTTAAGTGGTTCTCGTTGTTCTAGGAGATTAGGGTAATTAGTTGTAATTGTGTGGGATTATTAGGTAAATTAATTTATTTATCTAGATTATTCGAGTAATTTATTGAATTATTTAGAATTATTTAGTAATTTAAATTATTTTTTATAGACAGTAGGAGGATATAAATTCTTGTAGGTATATAGAGTAGGTTCTTGTTGTTCCGAAGGTTTAGGGTAATAAGTAGTGATTATATAAGATAGTTAGGTAAATTAAGTTTATTTATCTAGATAGTTCGGGGAATAATTTTAGTTATTTGAAGTTTTTAGGGTAATTTAATTATTTCTTATAGATAGGATAGTAGGAGGATATAGATTATACTAGGTATATAGAGTTAAAACTTATTATTCAAGAGGTTTAGGGTATTAAATAGTAGTTAAGCTAAGTGTTTAGGTAAATTAGATTATTAATTAAAATAGATAGGGAATTTAAGATTATACTTAGTAGAGTTTAGAATATAAGATAGTAATAATACGAGGGAGGGGGAAGGGGATATTAGTTTATTATATATATTAGTATAAGTAAATACTACTTAAGGCTACTTACGTACCGTACTTAGTACTAAGTACTACCATATAATAGTAGTAGTACTTATAATACCTTTACTCGGTATATATAACTAATAGTCTGTATAATATAATATATTCGATACTAAACTATTAGCCTTATATTATACTTTCCTTATTATATTTTCGGCTCTGTTAACTTAGAGTTAAACTAATAATATATTTAGAGGTAGTATTATAGTACGAGACTCTTATCTTAGCTACCTAACCCCTATCTCGGTTACCTAGGTAGTTACCTAGTATTCTAGCGGCTTCTACTCGGTTAGGGTCGTCTTATAAGACTCCCTACTCCCCTTAGCTAGCTTCTCTCTATATTCTAGCTTATCTATTCTACATTATACCCTTGTCTTCTAACAGGTAGTAGATAATAAGCTATATTAGGTTAGTAGTTTAAACCCGGGCGCTATATTTCCGGAAAGGTATATTTTTAGATAAACTACCTAGGTAGTACTTATATAGTAGTTATAATACCACCCTTCTAAATACTAAGTAACTAAGGCTCATCCTTATAAAAATATCGTCTTTTAATTCTTCTTCCGGGTCTAGTAGGCTAAACCCACCTACTTTAGTTGATTTATCCCTTGAATCGGATCCTGTTAATCAAGATTCTGGTTATATTCCTTCTCCTTCGCGCCCGCCTCCGCCCCCCCCCCC